CCCTGTTAGAACGACTCTGTCAAGTCTAGCATTATACCACACAAATAGCGAATATTTGATGCAATGAGTGTCTTAGTTTTATATCTGTTCTTCAGAGACCAAATTTACTAAACGCTGAAGAGAAACTAATATAAAGCTAATCAGAGAATCCCCTAAAGTTCAAGAACATTGGCATTCTCACTAGCACATGAAGTAAATCAACATCTCAGGTAAAAATGAGCAACAAGATTCCAAAAAGGACAACATCTCGGGGAAACTCCAAAATCACTCAAGTGATCATAATCGTTATCGTCATCATCATACTGAAAAACCAAAACAAAAATCAGCTTATTACAATATGCAAATACTCGTTAATCATGTGAATTCCAAAGTTGTTATGAATCAGTGATCACAATAATCCATAAGCGTGATGAACTCCTGAATCGAATTCATATTCTCCACTAAAAAACAAGAGAGCTTCAGTGAGCTAACCTGGAAGTGCGGGCATGGCACACGACGCCACAGGCTTGGGGGACTTCTCGACCTCGACAAGGCACATCCGGCAGTTTCCGGCGATAGACAAGCGGGAATGGTAACAGAACCTCGGGATATCAACTCCGGCGACCTCACACGCCTGGAGAACCGTGAAACCTTTAGGGATTTTGACCGGGAAGCCATCGACGAATACCTCGATCGCCTCATCGGGATTCGAGAAATGCACGCGTGCTCCGCCCACGGGTGTCCTGGGAGGGAGATTCGGCTGAGGCTGAGGCTGAGAGACAGCGGCGGCTTCCGGAGATTGAAGCTCTGGTTTTGAGACGATGGTGCGGAGGAGGAAAGTAGTGTTGTGGGGACGGAGAAGACGAGAAGCAGGTCGAATTGCTCTCGAAACTAAACTGCCTAACCCCATTTCGTAGACGATCGGTCACTTCTTCTCTTGTGTGTCTCTCGAATCTGGAATTTTTTTGGGTACAACAATGGTTTGAGACTTTGAGTTAGAGAATATTTCGAAATGTTCTTCTTCTCTCTGTGGAGCGTGTGGAAGCCAGAAGGAGGAGAGTGACGATCGGTATTTAAAAAAATTCAATTGGGCCTATTTTAAACCCACAATGAAAGCTTTTAACTATCTAGTAGTTCATAAGGCCTAGGGCCCATATCTAAAGCGGTGTGGGTTCTAAAACCCTAAAAACGTAAGCAGTTCTTGTGCTTCTATATAAAGCTAAAACCTTAGCAAACACCTCAACCAAAAACAATAGACGGCCAGTAAGCCCTAGTTTCTCTGTAGCAATTTTCGTTTATTTTTCTTCGATTTTATATTATGTTTGATGTGTCTAGGGAATTTTCGCTAGTTATGTGTCAATGGTTTTCGTCGATTTTGTCTGTGTTTCGGTGTACTTTAAGAGGAAAGTGATGATAAGGAATTGTCGCCCCAGTCTTATTTGCGTTCATTACGATGGATGTAATATGGTGATTGACTATGTTAATCTGATTCTCTAAAGATTTTTCGATTGTTTTAAGTCTTATTAATGAGTTTAGATGATGGATATGATGAAATGGCATATTGTTTTGTGACACCCAGTCTGATCTGCATTTTGCAGTGTGAGTGATTTGCCATATTCCCTGATCCTAATTCAATTATCAGTTTTCTATATTTATTAAAGTTTTGGTTTTTTTTTTATTGTGTGTAATTAAAAGAGAGGAATGAGGATTATAATACCATACGTCTGCAAATCTGAAATACAGTGTCGATTCATAGACATGCACTACCATCTGACCTCTTCTCATTCATGTTTTGGTTTTCTGTTTTCTGAAACTCTTTATGTTTTTGGTTAACTGCAATCAATGATGAATAAAATCGTCCATATTTAATGATAATCCCGTGATTATTAAACATTAGATCACCATCTTTCGGCTGAGATTGCAGTGTACTTTTATATATCTTTGATTTGGTTTTGTGTTAATATCAATTGCCTATGGTATCTGATGTCCAAAGTTTTGAAAATGTAGTTGGACATTTCGTTTTTCAAAGGCAGAAAGTGAACAAACAGGCCTTGCGACACTGCTAGCTTATTAAATATGCTAACTGTTACTTTTTACCTGTCCACATCCTTATCTTGTTCTGTCTTGTTTTTGTTTTTATCCTTTATGATATTTTTCGTTTTATGTTTTTTTGTTTGTTCTTGTGCAGGGTCATTGGATTTGTCTCTCTCATATTCTGTTTCTGAAGAATTGATTCTTAATGGACAATCGACTCTTTGTCATTCATTGATTTGTGTAATCAGATAATGTATAGCATTATTTTCTAATGAAATTTTTTCTTTTGATTAAAGTTTATGAGTAATCCCATAGGCTTTTGACATATAATATTACAATGTGAAGTTTCTAGAGTTGAATTTAGATCAACCAAACCAAACTATAACAAATAAATGGTCTAAGTTAAATTATCAATAATGTGTTTTTATCAGCTAGAAGAAAAATTGAGTTAAGTGAAAGATGTTGCTCAATTAAAATTTTGTATGGGAAACAAAAACATCCAAGAAGTTCGTACGCCTTAGAGTTTTTCTTCCCCGTTTCATTTTGAGCTACACTGTCATAGTACTTATGGTGGACGGTAGATCAATTTGTATACACATCTGAAACTTCAAATAATTGCTGACTGTTATGTTCTTGTTGTCGCAAGCAATCCAAGGAGCATCTCCCACTTGGAGACAATAGTTGTTTCAGAGCAACCACGGAGATCAAAATCATGCCTCTGTGCACCATTTCATAGACATGCAGTTTTCAGAGTAGATATGTCTTGAGAATCTGAAAGTGGTATTGAATTTCTTTTTTAAAAAACTGATATTGAATTTGCTCTATTTTCCTTGTTTGAAATAGAAGTTGATTTTGATGAGGCGAGAAATAATTTGTGATTTTGATGACGAGAGGTAATTTGTATTTATGTATCTATCTAAATACACTATGAACTTTAGACGAACAGAATTTTCTTCACTCTAATATACAAGCAAATGTTGAGTACTGCTCTGTTCTTGTAGTTGCAAAGAACATTGTGAAGAACATCTAGCACTAGAAATTGACATTAGCAAAGCCTTCTCCGTATCTTCATCCATTCGCCGTTGGACTAGTTTGATGAGATACTCCAAGAAAACCGAATCGAATGGCAATGTGATTGGTCCTTCCGTTGGGAGACCGAACTCTTCTTCAGAGATTTTCAAGAGCTCTTGGAAAACAGAGTTGCTCAGGTAACTTATCGGAAAAGCAAATCGTATTTTATCTGCCGTGTAAACCACGAAACATCCTTTTTCTACAGCCGTTGAGCTGCTTGTAGTAGCACTTGATATTTGGAATGAGATCCTTTTCCTGTGAAGGGCTGCTCTTTGTTGCCATTTCTTGGCCATCTTGATGAGCTTCCTTGTGTTCATCATATTGTTTTTAAATCGAGAAAGCAAGATGGAGAAAAGAAATATATTTGTAAGTTCTGTTTGTAGAGATCTATGTATGAAAGTTGTGAATGATGAACTATACCATAGGCTTGTTTCATTATATAGAAAGGAGAAACTAGTAGGTTTAGACAGGCTTTGTGACAAGCTCCTGAGAAACCTAACCAGACACAACACATGCTTCTGTTTCTAATCTATGTGATCATAAGGGTCCCAAAGTTGGTAATCAATTGTCTCTGCAACTTGTGGATTATAAGAATTATGGCGAGAAGACATGATCATGTGGGTATGTAAGCTATATAAACAATTTAAATGACAACATTTTTGGTACTAAGACTTTAATAAAGAATGCAATAGCCAATAGGCTGCTGTTACATTATCTATGTATATATACAAGAGAAGCCAAAAATACCAAACTCATGAATCTGTACAGCTTTGTGTGTTTGTTGAATGTGAGTCACAAAAATATTAGATACAAGTAGTTATTCAGGGGACAACAAATCTTATGGTGAAATCAAGGACAAAATTGTGGTTACAATTAATTATCAGAGACAGAGAGATAGATACAAAGAAATACATGTGCTGTTGAATCAAAGACGAAGAACATGTAGGTCTCTTCCCAGCGAATCAACTATTCCTGCTAAAATTTCACATTTCCTTGAGATAGATTAAGCTTAGATCATACAAATATCTCGTGTCTGTATTAGTTCTTGCTCATTCTTTTATAACTTCAAAGATATTCATACGGACAACTTGATGAGTTGCTTTGAAAGAAGTTTAACCACTGCACATTTTTTTTCTGACAGAAAGTTTCACAGCGAAACAGTTTGATTAAATCGTTACAGTTGATCTCATTTTCCTTTGTTTAAGGTGAAAGTTGATTTTGATGAGACAATGAAAAAAGAGAGACAAAAATAATGGTTTATATTTCTGAAATAATCTTTCTAAATCTAATACACTAGAATCTTTACAACACACAGAAATTGCCACACTCTAGTTCTCTAAAATACAAGCAATTGTCCTTGTTGTTGTTGAAAAGAACAATGTAAAGAGCATCTGGCACTAGAGATTGACATTAGCAAAGCCTTCTCCGTATCTTCATCCATTCGTCGTTGGACCAATTTGATCAGATACTCCAAGAAAACCGAATCGAATGGCAACATGATTGGTCCTTCCGCGGGGAGACCAAACTCTTCTTCAGAGATCTTCAAGAGTTCTTGGAAAACAGAGTTGCTCAGATAACTTATTGGAAAAGCAAAACGGATTCTATCCGCCGTGTAAACCACAAAACATCCTTTTTCTACAACATTCGAGCTGCTACTGGTGCTTGATCTCTGAAATGAGATTCTTTTTCTGCTTAAGGCTGCTCTCTGTTGCCATTTCTTGGCCATCTTCATGATCTTCTTTGTGTTCATCATTCTTTTCAGGGAATAGCTTTTTTTTTTGTTTAAAGATTGGAAAATTTGTAAGTTGTGTTGTATAACTCTTTGAATGCAAGTTATAGTTGATGAAAAATCCGATAGGCATGTTGTATTATATATATGAGGAGAAACTATTATAAGTTAGATAAACTTAGAGCGATTAAACCAGACATAACACATGCTTCTGTCTTTGTTGTATCTGATCATAAAGGGTCCCAAAGTTAGTAACCAGTCCTCTTGACTGCTCATCAACTTGTGGATCAAAACATCTGCTGAAAAGACATGACCATGTGGGTATACATCTTATACAACAATATCATAAGAAAATTTAGACACAGAGGCATGTGCAAATGAATGAAATATGTAGAACTTGTGTAGGTCCTCAGATGTTCTCAGAAAAGTTAAAACCCTAAATAGAACATGTGGGTATGAATTTTAATGGAGACTTTAATGAAGAATGCAAGAGGTTGTTGTTACAGTACATATATAATGAGAAGCTGAATATACACAAAGAAGCCAAAAGGACCAAGCTCATGCTTCTGTATTGCTTTGTTTGTTAGCGCAAGGACCCCCTAGTTTGTTAGTCCATCAGCTCAATCAAATGTGAGTCACAAATATAGTGGATCAAGTAAATTATCAGGGGACAACAGATCTTTTGTTGAAATCAAGGACAACAAATCTGGTTGAAATGTAATGATCAGATAGAGAGATACAAAGAAACACATGTGCTAATGAAGCAAAGATGAAGAGCATGTAGGTCCATAGATTTTATAGCCATGAGAAAGACAGAGAATCAGTGAATCCTGCTAAAATCTCATATTTCATTTAGACAGATCAAGTTCAGATCATGCAAACAACATGTCCTTGTGGAATCTATGTGTGCCTTTTTAGCAATCACTAGACACTAGTTCGAGGAGGCAGTTCGATATGGAAACATATTATAAATTGTTTCAGTGGAATGGCTTAAAGAGTGGTCTTAAGTACTTAGGGTGATATTGACGTTAATTTGTATTAGACAATATCAAAAGAGAGACAAAAATAGTAATTTGTATTTCTGAACTGATCTATCTATCTAATACAGTAGAATCTTTACAAAGACATAAATTGCTGCACTCTAATTCCCTAAAATACAAGTAATTGTTGAGTAGTACAACTCTGCTGTTCTTGTTGTTGAAAAGAGCACTGTGAAAAACACTTAGCACTAGAGATTGACAATAAAAGAGCCTTTTCTGTGTCTCCATCCATTCTTCTTTCGATCAATTTGATGAGATACTTCAAGAAAACTGAATCGAACGGCAACGTGATTGGTCCACCAGTCGAGAGGCCGAACACTTCTTCAGACATTTTCAAGAGCTCTTGAAAAACAGAGTTGCTCAGGTAGCTTATCGGAAAAGCAAAGCGGATTTTATCTGTTGTGTAAACCACAAAACAGCCCTTTTCTGCGGCGGTTGAGCAAGTAGCAGTACTTGATCTTTGAAATGAGATCCTTTTTCTGTGGAGGGCTGCTCTTTGTTGCCATTTCTTTGCCATCTTTATTAGCTTCTTTGTGTTCATCATTGTTTTTTCAGGACAAAGATTTTAGATCGGAAAGCGAGAAGAAGAAAGAAAAGATTTATAAGCTCTGTTTGAATAAATCTTTGAGTGCAAGTCAAGGTTGATGAGGAATCCAATAGCTACATTACATTATATATAAGGAGAAACTGTTAGAGTTCAGATTAACTTAGAGAAACTAAACCAGACAGAACACATGCTTATGTCTTTGTTTTATGTGATCATAAAGGGTCCCAAAGTTGGTAATCAATCCTGATTGCCCAACAACTTGTGGATTCAAACATTTGTTGAGAAGACATGACCATGTGTATGTGGGAATACATTCTAAACTGAAAATTCAAACACATATCCATGTTCTTGCTTACTCTTATATGCCTTTACAGAGATTCATATGTAAATTATATACACCGCAGTGGATGATTTTTTTAGCAGCTACACCTTTTTCAGCAAGATAGCTTGAAGATTTTAGAGAACTTGTCACAAGAAGTGATTTTTGAAGTTATTTCCGATTATTTTCCTTCAAAATGGAATTTGCTTTTGAATTTTATTGAGACAAAATCTAAAAGAGAGGCAAAATAAGACTTTGTATCTCTGAAATTATCTGTCTATCGAATCCACTACAAATCTTTACATAACACAGAAATGTGCTAAACTCTAAAACACAAACAATTGTTGAGTAGTAGTACTACTCTGTTGTTTCAAAGAACAATGTAAATAGCTTGTAGCACAAGAAATCGACATTAACAGAGCCTTTTCTGTATCTTCATCCATTCGCCGTTCGATCAGTTTGATTAGATACTCCAAAAAACCCGAATCAAATGGCAATGTGATCGGTCCTTCTCTCGGGAGACCGAACTCTTCTTCCGATATCTTCAAAAGCTCCTGTAAAACAGAGTTGCTCAGCTAACTTATTGGAAAAGCAAAACGGATTCTATAGGCTGTGTAAACCACAAAACATCCCTTCTCTGCAGCGGTTGAGCTACTAGTTGTAACACTTGATCTTTGGAACGAGATTCTTTTCCTGTGGAGAGCTGCTCTCTGTCGCCATTTCTTGGCCATGTTGATGAGCTTCTTTGTGTGTCATCATCATCATGTTTAGGGCAAAGATCTCTACACTGGGAAGCGGGAAGGAGAAAAGACTTTGTGAGTTCTGCTTGTACAACTCTTGGAATTCAAGTTATGGTTTACGAAGAGTCCAATAATATTATTGCATTATATTATATATAAGGAGATACTATTAGAGTTTAGATTAAATTTTAAGAAGAAACTAAACCAGACAGGAAAGAAACTAAACCAGACAGGAACACATGCTTCTGTATTTCTTGTCTGTGGTCATATAACTCATAAGGGTCATAATTCACAAATTAGTAATCAATCCTATCAATCATAACTTATCAACTTCTGGATATAAAACACACGTTGGTGAGAAGAATAGTCCTTGTGCGTATGAATCGTATGGTTCTTGAATAGAAATTTATAGGTACAAAGCCATGTGCAATGCAAATGAATGGTAGATGTAACCGTAGGTCCACTGATGTTCTCACCGAATTCGTTTAGCGTTTTGCGATTGTAATGATTTTTGCACTTTATGATGATTGGGCCCACATATCATTTCTAAAGCCCATATATTGCCAGCTTAGGCCCAATGCGTGTAACATGAGCCGTTGCCTTAATTTTTTTTTGGGTCTTCGGCAGTGGCGTCAGATCTCATGAGATTTTCCGGTCAAGAAAACTTTAGTGAGTTCCTCTGAAATCGCCGGTGTGCTCAGGTAATCTCCGATCGCCGGTTTCATTCATCTCGTCATCTTTGAGTTTTCTTATCTGTTACGGATCACAATTGGGCGAGATCGCTGCATTTTTAGTCTCCGATGTTCTTCGAATTTTCATCTAGTAGCGTCTTATGAGCTTAGAAAATTATACTGCATTTTCTATGTTCCTGATCTCCAAGTCTTGTTATACGTAAACGCAGACGATTAGGCTCAGAAACTGATCTAGGCTTTGCAATTTTGTTGGTGGAACGACTTGGTTTTTCCTTTCTGAAATGCTCTTACTGGTTTAGATTAAAGCTTACTTTCCTCATTCCAAGTATTTATGTTGGACTTTTTTTTTCTTTCTTGTTTGATGTCATTATTACTTGGAAGATAGGAAAATTTGGGGAAGATGCAGCACAGGCCAGTTACCATAGAGGATCAGTTAATATCGAAAGCTGTAAGGGAAGAATGTCCATGGGAGAACCTCCCAAAACGACTTCAGTCTATTCTTGGGTCTAAGGATGAATGGCATAGAAGGTAACTCTTTCTTCACTACTTTGTTAGACTTTCTTCAGCAATGAACAATATTTTGTCGATATTGGTGGTTGGAGCTTCTTTGTAGCATTTCTATATTCTACCTTTTGGCTTTTGCATAGAAGTATCCTTTTTTCACTGTTTTTGATTCTTTTATGCAGGGTCACTGATCACTGTATCAAAAAAAGACTCCTATGGAATACGTGTTTTGCTTGTAAAGTTTGCAAAGAAGGTGAATATTATGAAGATATGATGCGTTACTTGCGAAAAACCCTGGCGGTGCGTGTTGATGGTTAACTCTTTAAGGGGTCTTTTTTGATCTAGGAAAAACATTTTGGACATTTTTTTTTTTTTTTTTTGTTACTGTCACAGGATCTGTGATCTGAATTGCTTTTAACAATCACCTGCAGCTGTTTCCGTATCACCTTGCGGAGCATATTTGCCGTGTGATGAGGATATCACCTTTCAGATACTACTGTGATATGATATTTGAAGTCATGAGAAATGGTATATTGTTGCTTGCTTCACTTTAGAGCTCACTTTTCACTTACTTAAAAGTTATAGCGAACGATTTTTCATCCTCATTCCTTTTAAATTTGACACAGAGCAACCTTATGACAGTATCCCAAACTTCAGTGCAGCAGATGCTTTCCGGCTTACGGGCATAGGGAGGAATGAATTCATTGATATCATGAATAAATGCAGATCTAAGGTACTTTTGAATCTAGACTCTATACTGATATGCTGTGCAAGTTACACTCTGGCAGAATCTACTTCCTCTGTATGATATGGAATTTGAAAGTTTACGGAATTCAAGATTTCTTGTTTTCACTTTTTTGGCACTGTAAATCCTAAAGAAATTTTAGTGTTATCATAAAGAATCACTTCAACTCGAGTCAATAAGTGGAGGTTATCCAGCTTCTATTATGTCTTATACTTTTCATACATGTGTTGAGCTTTCCAGAAAATCATGTGGAAGCTGAACAAATCGATTGCGAAAGATTTCTTACCTACTCAACCAGTGGATTTCCCTATTGACCCTTGGTGGGGTGTTTGCCTTGTTAACTTCACCATAGAAGAGTTTAAGGTGGTCTAAGCTCTTCTGTATCTTTTCCGCTTCTTTCTTTTGAAACCAATTTTACTCACAGTGAACTACTGAGATGTCACTGCAATACTACTGTTTCTTGTCTGATAGCAGATCTTAATTACTTGTTCTTTGCATAGAAACTTTCAGAAGATGAAATGGCGACGATAGATAAAATTTGCAAAGAGGAAGCTAATGCATATGTCCTCTTTGATCCGGAAGTCATAAAAGGTCTCTACCAAAGGGGATTGATATACTTTGATGTTCCAGTCTATCAAGATGACCGCTTTAAAGGTGAGTTTATGCCAATACTTTTTTTTGTTTAAAAGGCTTTACTTTTAAGTACTTCACGGGTGGAATGTTGAATTTTTGCCAATACGGTTTCATGCTATTTACGTGGAACCAAGCCTAAAGCTCTTTAGTAGCCTGCTCACAGATTCCAGTATGTCAGTCTCGTGTTTTCTCTCATGAGACTAAGATTTCACTGACATGCCCTCTTGCATCCCTGTTTCAGTTTCAAAGCTTGAAGGGTTCATCTCCAACAGAGAGCAGTCTTATGAAGATCCCATTGAAGAGTAAGGGAACTATTGGGCTACATGGAAGCTTAGCTCATCTTCAATTAAGTTTCCCCTGAGATTATCGAGGAGTCTAATCGCTGCAACTTCATTTTGCAGATTACTGTATGCAGTTTTTGTAGTTTCAAATGAGAACTCAACAGTTGCAGAGCTGGCATCCACTTTGCAAGCTGACCTAGCTCAATTACAGGCTGCTGCATCTTTTGTTTGCCGGTTGGGATGGGCTGTGAAGTTAATTGATCCGGCTGCTGTGCTTCATGACAAGATTATGTCTGGGTCTCCACGTGCCAACCTCAGTGATGAAGAAGATGCATCTCGTGCGTACATGTCTGCTGATGGTGAGGCAGCTCAACATGGAGATACTTTAGGGACAGAAAGCTCAGGATCACGTTCTAGTCATGTTCGGGTTGCTTTCATAGTTGACGCTAATATAACATCGTATCTAATGATGGGTTCTGTGTCGCCAGGTACAATTTTTAACAGCCCATGAATTATCAGCTATCCCTGTAAAAGAACCACTTCTTTTTGAATCATTCTAATATATTCCATTCATGTTAATGAACGCTGTTATAGGTTTGAAATCTCATGCTGTTACTCTCTATGAAGCTGGAAAACTTGGGCATACTAGTATCCCGGACCTTTGCCAGGACTTGAGCACATTAGAAGGAGCAAAATTTGAGGGTGAACTGCAAGAATTTGCAAATCATGCCTTTAGCCTTCGTTGTGTCCTGGAATGCCTGATATCTGGTGGAGTCGCTACTGATTCAACAGTTGATACGATGGGCTCGGGAACTTTGAGCAATGATGAGTCTGTAACTCTTCTTGCAGATGTTACTTTCCCTGATAATTCGGGAGATTCTTTAACCAGCCAAAATAGTGAGGCTTCGATGGTTTCAGATACCCCTCAGGAGGATCCCTTGTTGACAGAACGTGTCCCTGAAAGTGCCGAGCATGAAGCTGCTTCAACTACACTTTCCGTTGAAACTACTGCCTTGACTGAGACCTTAAGTTCTAACCTAAGCCTTCAGAATGAAGGGAAGCCAATCCCCATTGAAGGACCCGAGACCGGTAAAGGAAACAAGAAAAGGAAGAGATATCGTGTTGATATTCTCCGTTGTGAGAGTCTTGCTTCTCTGACACCAGCTACTCTAGACCGTTTGTTTTCCCGTGACTACGATATTGTTGTTTCAATGATTCCTCTTCCACTTACGACTGTTCTACCTGGACCTTCAGGCCCCGTTCATTTCGGTCCTCCCTCCCATTCATCCATGACACAGTGGATGAAACTGGTATTGTATTCAACCGTAGGCACTGGGCCTTTGTCGGTTGTTTTGATGAAAGGGCAGTGTCTGAGGATGCTTCCTGCTCCACTAGCTGGCTGTGAGAAAGCTCTCATTTGGTCTTGGGATGGATCTTCCGTTGGTGGTTTAGGAAACAAGTTTGAAGGTAACTTGGTCAAGGGAGGTATACTGCTGCACTGTTTAAATTGTCTTCTCAAGTGCTCAGCTGTTCTCGTCCAGCCTCTCAGCAAACATGATCTTGATAGCTCTGGAAGGATTGTTACTTTAGATATACCATTACCCTTGAAGAACTCTGATGGTTCCATTCCTCATTTTGGAGACGAGCTTGGACTTCCTCTCGAGGAAAATACAAAGTTGAACTCTCTCTTAACCAAGCTGGCTAACAACATGGATTTGTGGACAGTGGGTTACATTCGCCTTTTGAAGCTCTTCAAAGCAAAGGATCCGTCAGGCTACTTCTCTCCGGATGATGATGAGAAGTATGAATGGGTCCCTTTAACGGTGGAGTTTGGGCTGCCACTTTTCAGTCCAAAACTATGCAACAACATATGCAAAAGAATCGTCTCATCGCAGTTACTTCAGGCAGATTCGCTCATGGAACAACACGACGCGATGCAATGCATAAGGAAAAGGTTGAGAGAGATATGTGCACAGTACCAAGCAACAGGGCCAGCTGCTAAACTTCTTTACCAGAAAGAACAAGCAAAGGAGCCTCCCCGTAGTAAGCTCATGAACTATGCAAGCGGAAGGTGGAACCCACTCGTGGACCCTTCCTCGCCAATTTCAGGTGCCACAAGCGAATTTCAACGGCTGAAACTAGCTAATCGCCAACGTTGCCGGACTGAAGTTCTGAGCTTCGATGGAAGCATCCTTAGGTCAGTTTAGTTCCTTCCATGTTCTCATGAATTTTTTTTTTGTTTTCATTCTTTTTTCTCGGTTGTTGAGTAGTTTCTGGGGTGGTCGCAGATCCTACACGTTGAGCCCTGTATATGAGGCTGCCACTAGGACCATCGACGAGAATGCACCTTCAACCGCAACAAAGGCAGATGCTGAAGAAGCAGATAGCCGAGAAGTGGTTCTTCCGGGACTGAATCTTGTCTATGATGGTTCAGAGTTGCTCCCTTTTGACATTTGTGCTTGCCTTCAGGCTCGTCAACCAGTTGCTCTCGTTGCAGAAGCTGCTGCTGCATCTGCAATCCTCGCCCCGAAGTAGTAAGCTCTCACCGAGACTCTATCCAAATTTCGTAGGACGACATCAAGTGAAAGGTGAAATATATCGACTGAAATATCTTGGATCTTATCCGTGTTCAAAGTTTTACTAGTCTGTTGTAACACTTGGAGTCCTTTTGCAACTGCATATAATTGAAACTTTGGGTTATGTGGGTTTCACAAATTCGTCACCATATAATTTCGGTTTGGATTTGGGACGGTTTGATGTGAATTTTGTTTAATTTGATGCATATCTGAAACAAAGCGTTGATTCAAACACAAACACAAACAGAATTACACCGAAACCTTATCATATATACTCGAAAAATATGAATGTGGTTACATCACATATAGAACACAAAGACAGACCATAACTATCTAACCATAACTACAATTAATCCTTACTATAACTGCTCTCAACCAGACCGTGGCATTTCCTTCTTCTCCAAGACAGAGTTGAAATCATCAATGTAGTCGCTTCTTGACAGCAAATTGAACATGCTCAAGCAACTGACTTGATCGTGGATGAAATCGCACCCAAGCTGCTCTAACTCCGTGTGATAGTCAAGATGATCATCGAAAGCAACGGTTGCTACCACCTGCTCTCGGGCTAACCGAGCAGCTATCCTCTGTCTTGCGATGCAAGTCATCCCATGATCGATCTGTCTCTTTTCCTGCAGTTTCTCTCGCGCCTTTGCTACCAAGTCTTTCAAACTGTGATTCTGATTCTCAACCTTTTCACCTGGTTTTGTTGTAATAACCTTGGGCGTCGTCTTTGTATCGTGGAAAGAGTCAGACCGTGGAAGGTTTTGTTGTTGTACGCTCGAAGTCGTAAGAGATTTGTCAGGAATCAGTCGCTTAACCTTCCAATTCGTCTTCGTACCACGAACTCTGATCGAAGCCCTAACTGATGGCTCCGGTTTCCTAAACTTGGCGGCAGCCACCGGTTGTGTATCCTTAGACTTGAAAGCGTCGATGGCCTTCTTTTGCCTCTTTTCCGGCTTCTCTTCATCAGAAACAGAGTATTTGCGTTTCCTCGGAGCCGCCGTAACAACGTCGCACCTTTCCTTGCGATCTCTTCCCGTTCGACTCAATTTTTCGGGGTCGTCGAACTTTGGGTTTACTGAGAAGAAGGAGAAATTGATGCCAGCATCTTTAATTTTGAATCTTTCATCTGTCGGGAACAAATCAAAAGCCCTAGAAGTCGAAGCAATCTCCATTGTTAGCTAATCGTCAAGTTATCAGAGAAAATTTGCGAGAGAATGGAATCAGAGAAAGAGTTGTCACGAAACCTAGTGTGAGCGGCAACAATTGTTATGGTCACTAGCAGGGTGTTTATTTATAGTCCGTCCCCACACTATCCAGATATATAATATATCTGGGAATTTCTTTATTTTTATAATGTCATCTTTGGTTGTACTCTTCATTTACTATTTACTTTTTGTCCTTTATTCTATTAACGTTTGTTTATTTTTTTGTTTTTGTTTTAAACTTTAAGAATTTACTTTTTCTGTTTCAACATCGCCTTTTTTTTGTTGTCTATAAGTATCGTTCATAAAACATTGCAAATTTCTGTTACACTTCTTTTTATACCTAGAATAATTTTTTCTTTAATCTAATTTTAGAAGGGTTAATTTGCAATATAACCATATTAGTACAAGAATCCAAAAATATAGCTATGCTATTCAAAAAATATGGAAAGTAACTATGACCCACAGAGAAAAGACTAAAAAATCCTTCTGTTTTAAATGAAAACGTATTGATTGATCGATCATTAGGCTAAAAAAAAATAGTATAGTAGTATACTACAAATATTACTTAATAACATACTACATCAATTGAGTATAGTATATTAGTGTACTCTATTTGAAATACTGTGACCAATTTACTTTTCAGGTATCTATATGAAATTTGCGTTGGAAGATGTCTTATATGAATATGAATTCATGAGACGATAATATTGGTAAGGATGAGGAGCTAGTAGATATTCATACAATGTGGAGTCAATTCTCATAATGATAGTATAGTACGGTATAAAATAATATATTTGTACAACTATTAATAGTATACTACACCAACTCAGTATAGTATAGTAATGCAATCTATTTGTTGATTTAAACGAAGGAGTTTTTGGTATATATTGTAGAATATATGAAGAATATAACAACACCTATTTTGGTATGGTTACTTTCTAAATTTTAGGTATTTATATGGTTATATTAACCAATTTCCCCATTTTAGAATTAGATTTTTTTTTTTATAGTTTTCATTGATAATGCAAATCGACATTTAACTTAAAAATTGGATAAGTACATGCTTTGATAAAAATTATTTATAGTAACAAAATGAAATTACATTAGAACCTTTATAAATTAGAATTTGGTAAACTAATAATTGCTATAGTTAATAATTTTGGCAGCTGAACCAATGTAGAAATTAATAAATTTCGATAAAATAACAATTCAATCTTTTGAAAATTTTAAATTTCAACTAAAATATTACAAAGATTCAGAATAACTCATTTGCCAAGATCAGAGCAAATGATTTTGAACAAGCGTGAAATAACAACTGATTCTAAAGAAGCGTAGGCCACTGTAAAATTAGTAAATTTCAATAAAATAATAATTTTTTTAAAACTCCTATGTAAAAATATAGTCCTTATAATTAAATAAATTAATAACTATACATTTAAGCATATAAATAATAAAATATAGTAAAATATGATTATATTGTTGTTTAAAATTTATAAATATTATTTGACTTCAAATTTCAAATTAACTGATATAAAATTTTCTGAATGAATATTATATTTTTTAAACATTTTCTGTCTTTTAATACATAATAAGAATTTTAAAAAATATCTCAAATATTAATAAATTAATAAATAACTGTTTATTGATTAATTAATATTTTTATAAATTAATAAAATTAAAAGTCTAAATATTATTAATTTATCTAGGTTTTTCTATAAAAAATATTTGAAAAATTTAACCAGTTATCTATTCTAAAGATAAATTTAGTGAGATAAAAAACAGTAAAAAAACTTGGAAAATATTCCTCTCTGTCACTATCAAATATAATTGTTTGAGTATTTAGGTAAGATAGCCAGAGTTTTTAAGACAAATTAAGTGATATTTATGTGACAAATATTTTTGGGAGGATTTTACGGGTAATTTTTTTGGGGAGAAAACGAAATTACATATAAAATGAAAATAGGAGTGTAATTTAATAAGAAAGCAAGAAAATTGAGAAACCTTCAATCATTTGATTTAATGTGAAAATCCAGTTTGAATTTTGAATATTGAGCTTGAAATTTGGTTTTCGCTGATTCGCTCTTTTTTTGTATCAGGTCAATTTTGTCGCCTGATCAAATATTTATAGCAACAAAATAAAATTATAGTAGAATCTTTTTAGTAAATTTTGATATGATAATAAGAAAATAATTTGTTTATACCTTTTATATAAACATAGGATCTCAGAAATTAGATAAATTATAATTATATATTTAGACATATATAAATAATATAATATAATAAATTACAGTTATATTATTGTTTCAACTTTATAAATATTGTTTTGAATTAAATTATAAATTCATTGATATAATATTTTCTGAATAAATTTTATAGTATCAAAAACAATTTTTTTTTTTAATAAACCTTAAGATTCAAATAAAAAGTTAAAAAAATATTAATTTGTTAATAAATTAATTATTATTAATTAATCGATCGATTAATTAATAACTTTATAAATTAATATAAATTTTAAGTTTTGTTTTCTTGTGTTTGAAATTGGGAAACAACCTACGGATCCTTCTTCCTCCTCAAATACTTGGCTTAGTTATGATTTTTTAAAGGTTTACGAATGACTTACTTTCTACTGATTCGATGCTTTGATGTTTCAACATCCTTAAAAACAACTTTGTACCAAACCTATTGAATTATTCATTTCAAAGAGAATCATAGTGTTCTCAACACAAATATTCGTGGAAGAGGAACCATTTACAGACAAGCAGTTGAAAGTGTAGAGCAGTGTCTGAGCCTTGTAAGAGAAGCAAAATGGAAGCCTTCCAGTTAGAAGAACCCTAGAAACATCTAAAATTCTAAGTTTAGAGCTGCATAGCGATGAATTTGGAAGTGATCTACTCAATAATTAGAATTATGATTTCATGGGAGTTTAGGACCAAAGCAAAAATACTCATTATAAGTTTACACTTTTTGAGACAATTGTCTTGTATACAATTTTCTTCAATGCAAAAAAAGGGATACAAATATTGGACTAATACAAGTAACAATCAATGTGATCATTCAAAAGAAACAACTTAAATCATAAACTATATTAACCCATACTCTTTCTTCGTTTCCTTGATCTCAGGCTATTGCTGATGTAATTGTCTCCACCTCTGTAGGACGCCACCATGACTTTTGCACAGAGAGCAATCCTTCTCCATCTTTGGAATGTGTCATTCTTACATCCCATTTCATCGATTTCACCATCTTCTCAATCTCTCCTATCGTTTCCACGTCATCTCTTACTATGAAAGTTCCTTGTGGTCTAAGAATCCGATCCACTTCAGCCATTACCGACACCAAGCTGCACCTAAAGGGTTTTGTGTAAACATATATGTTCATCAGACTTTGCAATCAAGAAATATCAAAAACGGCGACAGAGATGCATATATGTGAGTGTATATATGTACCTCTTCTTTAGTGCAGAGAAAAGATGATCAGCATGAAGAAGGTCGTAAGTTCGAGGGTAAGTGCTGAATGATTCACACCAATCATGGTAGATTCCAAACAGACCACGCTCGTATATAATTGGAAGTGTATCCGGTGAGTCGATAGGGACTACATTCATCACCCACAGTTTCAGATCCTTCAAAGCAGCAGCAAAACTGAAACCCACAAAGAGAGAGAGAGAGAGAGTTAACATTAGAAACGAATACATTATAGAGACCAATTCTGTTTTGATGAAAGTTTTTTGCATACTTACCCTCCATAGACAGCTCTCATGTCCATCACATTTCTAACATAAGACCAATCGATTCCCATACCGTTGAGGTATGACTTTGAAACAATAGTCTTCCAACGTTCATGGTCTGCTGTGAAATCCTCTTGTGCAGGTTTTCCATATACACCTTCCTGAGAGTCTAACCACTGAGGAGCAGTCTCCACTCTCTCCGGCCACTTTTCAGGCCAAACTGCTCCGCGTTTTGATGAGTCTTCCGTCACTTTGTGCATACATGCCTCAAGTGGAACATTCCTGCGGCAAACACATCTAATTTTAGCATCATAATTGCATTGGATTACTAGTCAACCGATGTGAGAAGGGAAATAGAAAAACCTACCAAGCGGCATTTTGATCATCGGAGTCTTTGCAGAGAGGTGGCTCGTTTTGAGATCTTTTGTTGTAGCATTTATTAGTCATTGGCTTTTGGTAAATGGCAGCACCAACTTCATTCAGTTCATCTTTCTTAATCGTCATCAGTTTCCAGCACATTGCCTTTGTTAGCTCCGACATAGCTACAAAACAGAGAAGCATCTCACAAGTTAGTTACTTAAAAAAAACCAATTGTATTATATTATGTCCAAAATCAAAAAGGAACAAACTTTCCAAACCTTTCCATATGCCAACGTCTTCTTCGGTCTTCCTGTAAACTGGAGTTGCCGACCAGACAAAGAAACCACCTGGCCTCAATGCACGATTCAATTCCAAAAGCAGCTTACCGCCTTAAGTTTAAACAACAAAAAGGAAGGAAAAAATAAACGTTAATAAATGAACCGAAGATACTAAGGCTTAATACAAAATGGGAAAACTTTTTTTTTTAACCTTCGATGTGCCAAGGGACTCTACAACGAGCACAATGGATAAGGTCGAAAACAGATCCTGGAAAAGGCAATCTCTTGGTTCCCATAACATTTGACATTGCGGGAATACCACGTTCCAAAGCAAACTGCACCTGCGCCTCGTGTTCATCTTTGGGTGCAAATGACAAAGCAAGCACATCTCTGTCAAAGAGATATCCTCCGAAGCTAGCAACCCCACACCCAACATCCAGTATCACACGTGTTCTATTTCCCCACGCAATATCAGGATATGACTGCCAAAAAAAAACATTATAATAGTAACGTCAATAGTAGTCAATGAGAAATGTGTATAATATACATTGAGTGAAATAAGAATAGTATAAATTGTACCTCTTGTAGGAAATCGATGTAGTGGAGAGCACCGTTCTTGAACTGAGTACCTCCACCAGGGAATGTTAAGTATTCACCACTCATCTTCACCCAGTTTTGATGTCCCTTGACTTCTGCAAGCTTGGTGTGAGGAATGTTGTTGTACCAGATCTGCAGAAACACACAAAACAGAAGGATTAATGGATATTTTAGTGACCAATAACACTACGAAGCACAAGCAGGTATGTTGATTTTCTCACCTTTTCTCTGCTCTTAGGCCACTTGATGGATCGCTTATACCCTTCGGGAAGAGAAACGAGGCAGCGTGGAGATTCCTCAGGACAATGCCTCTCACGATGTTCATAATGCTTTGTGGAATGAAGCTTCCTGATAGCTTGCAAATTGTCAAGGCAAGGTATGTAGTCTGATCCAGCTGTCACATTGCATAGTTTCCATTTGATCGAGGACACTTGTGCTTTCTTCTCGTTCTGCGACTCGACCAATTGCGTTGACCAAGCCCCACTTCCAGTGCTTGACTCCTTTGTAATCTCAGCCTGGTCACCAGCTGGGAAAACATCTTTGCTCTTCTCAGTGTTCTCTTCACTTTCACCAGCGTTTTCCTCTGACTTCTTCTCGGTGTTTTCTTCAGACTCACCGGCGTTTTCTTCGGTTCCATTACCATCCTCGGACTTGTTTTCTTCCGAGCTCTCTTCAAGTTGTGTTTTCTCTTTTTGCTTGGCTTCATCACTTTCTGACTCCGTCTCTTTCTCACCCTCCCCATCTTTTCTATCACCATCACCGTTTTTGTCCTCGAATTCCTTCTTCTCCTGAACCTGCTCTGTTTTCTCCTCAGCAGATTTCTCAGGATCATCAGGCTTCTCTTCGTTGCTCTCTGTCACAGCCTCTGTTTCCTCGCTCTTCTCATCAGAAAAGCTCTTGGAGCCTCGGTCAACTTCTTCGTTAGTGAAATCACTCTTGGCAGTGGTTTCCACATCTTTTGCAGCCTGGCTCGCAGAGAAGTCAACGGACTCAGTTGGTGCAGACCATGAAGACATGAACATCCAGGCCCCAACCAAACAGAGAGAGACAATTAAAACTATGGTAATGGTTAAGCCATATCCGGATGACTTCTTCCCGTCTAAACGAGAATATCTCCCCATTGCCATGTTTCTAAACCCACTCCACAGTCAGTCCCTAGTCACATGCACCTGCAAAACCAAAATACAATTGACTTTTAGTAACGAGTAAAACTACCAAAAGGCCGTCATGTACTTAGATGTTGCCATATTAAAACCACTGATTATCAAACCACTGTAGACACTATGGAGTAACTGACTAGTCTCATTACTTGCTTTACGTGAAACTGCTTTGTTTAAATGGGCCAAGTCGAATTTACCGAGCTTAAGCAGAGGGCGACGATATGATACTGAAGATAATGCAAAACAACACAGAGCAGAGAACACATAATCGCATATCTAAAGATCAAACTAAAATCTACAAAAACACTCGGTATATTATAACTTAAACGAACAGATCAAACATTAGCCAAAACCCAAATCACAATACTTGGAGCAAAACATCAGTGAAGAAGTAAAACTAAGCAAAGAAAAGATCATACACAATTTCCGAATCTTTACATTCACAGAAATACCCAGAAGTAAGAACATTGAAAGAAAGTGAAAGGAAGCTGGTGTATTTCAAGTAAAAGATTACCAGAGAAAGGGGTTGGTTGCTTCAGATTTCACCAAAGATTGCAACTTTGTGAGCAGAGAGAGAGTAGAGAAATCTCCAGATCGGGATCTAGTAGAAAGAGCGAGGGAGTATATCAGAGCAAGTGGTGGAGCAAAATCATACTACTTTACAGTGTTAAAATACCAGAATTTGGATCTGATTTCCACCGAATTTAATTATTTCTGCTCTTTTTTAAAATAATTGACAAATTTAGTCTTCGAAGATGTGTGAATGTGATTGTTTATTATTCTCTAAACCCCGCGTCGGTCACCGACATATATAAAAGACTCTTGCATAAAACAGTAACGTCGGATACGGCCCATTGGGCCTATACGTGTTAGCGCATATTCTACATCTTGATTATTAACAAGGTAGATTGCTCATAATAGCACAAACTTATGTTTTCTTTCAACACTTTACATTGAAGATTTTATAATAAAAAAATGCATAAATTTTCTTCAAAAATACATATTATCCAGTTTTTTTCCTAATTTTTACAAACATGCTATTTTGATATAATTTTTAGCTAAAAAAAAATCAAAATTGGAAATAACAATTTTGTTTTTTAAAAGATAGAGTAAAACCATAATACGAAAAAGCTTATTTCCTCTTTCATCTTTCATCACATATAGGTTTCTCTCTAGTCTCTACACCCATTACCACACAAAGTAATTAAAAAAAGGAAAACTTATTTCTCTCCTCCTCTCGCTATGCCTCTCTATCGTGTGTGTCAAGTCTCATACTTAATTACTTTTGTGTGAAATAAATAGTTTTTTTTTCTCCATGTTAACACACAGCTACGAGAATGGAGGAAAATAGAATCTGTGCTTTGCCCGACGATTTGCTCGTGGAGATCTTGCTCCGGGTCCCGACAAAAGATGCAGCCGCCACTGCAAGCTTGTCTAAACGGTGGCGTTCTGTCTGGACGATGCTTCCTGAACTCGAGTTCATAGACAAAGGCAACGAGACCCTTGCGTTGGTTATTGACAAGTCATTGCAACTCCATAAGGCACCGATACTACGGAACTTGACTGTCGAGCTCAGTCCAAGTTGTTGTTGTGTTGACGACGACGTAGATGTTGGGAAGTGGGTTGAGGACGCAGTTAATCGCGGTGTGAAACAGTTAGATTTCAAGCTCCTCTGGAACGCAGCGCCCACAAGCTTTCCAAAGTCTCTTTCCACATGCGACACGCTCGTTGACTTAAGTCTCTGCAACGAGGTTCTAGTGGATGTTTCTTCCCAGGCACGCCTACCATCTCTCTTATATCTCTGTCTTGACGAGGTGGTTTACAAAGACCAAGACTCTCTTGTTAGGCTTTTATCAAGTGCCCCTGTTCTCCGGTCTCTGAGGGTACATCGGCGTGAGGCTGACAACTTGAAAGTCTTTACCGTGAAAGTCCCTTCCTTACAATCATTATCTTATTGGAGTACTTGGTACATGCGTAAGGAAGAGGAAGAGGAAGAGGAAGAGGAAGAGGAAGAGGAAGAGGAAGAGAAAGATCTCATCCAGTCGTTGGTAATTGATTCCCCTGCAATAACAGATTTAAAGATAATCCAATTTTGGGGTTCCTATTGCTCGATAGAGAATATACCTTGCCTTGATAGGGCATACATCGGCTTATTTGATAACCACGATGACAAGTGTGAGAGATCTCTTTCTTCTGTCCAACATCTGCGACTGCATTTGACCAAATCAATGGTAACCAACTATTACATATATCCTTTGTTCCTTGTTGCTTTGATTTGGCATACAACTAAATATATATATATATATATATATGTTGTTTGTCTTTTTCTTTGTCTATCACAGGTTGCGTGTTGTAACGCCATTAAGTTCTCCCACCTCATAGAGTTATACATTTATCCAAATACTTTAGTAGATTGGTTGGAACCACTCATGTTTTTGCTTCAAAATTCTCCCAAACTGGAATCTCTTACGATCGACACGGTAAGTGCCCTCTTCCCTTGAAACGAGCGCATGCATGCATCTAGTTTTGATGAACTTATTACATTAATACTATAATGTTGATATCAGAGACTTTGGGATCCTCCATCTTCCTCCTGGAACCAGCCAAGTTCTATTCCCGGATGCTTGTCGTCTCATTTAGACTTGTTTCGGTGGATAGGCTATGCAGGAAGAGAAGATAAGAAACAATTAGTCGCCTACAGTCTCGCTAACTCAAAGTGCTTAAAGGAAGTTCAGATCTCATGCACTGAAACCTCTAATCTTGAAGAGATACAAAAGGAGGTAGAGTCTTTGCCTAGGGTTTCAACATCATCTCAGCTCCTATTCTCAATGGAAAACGGAACAACTTCATCTTGATATTTGTTATTAATCAAAAGCTACTATTTAATGTTCTCGTTTTGTAAATTTTCCCGTTATATACAAACTAAACATAGAGATGTGGCTGAAACATGGCTGAGAACTAATGCAAACATGAGATGTTTCGTACGAGTTCGATCAAACCAAAAGGATGTGGATTTGCCATCCCTAACTTCAGACCCAAGGAAAGAAGCTGCCAATGCACGCGAACTAAGCAAGCAAATGAACGTTTATAATTTCAGAGAAGAAAACAAAATCTGCAACCAAGATTTGAGTAAAAGTCAAATTACACAAACATTGGTTCACTAGACGACAATGAGAGTAGATCCATACGGAGAAGACAACTCTGGATAAAGTAAAGCGTTTTAACCTACAAAGTTCCTCCCCTACTCATTCTTCTTGTTGCAATAGAACCTTACTACGATACTCCCCCAAAGCCCATATCGGAAAAATGTTTCGATACGCAGCGTAAGTTATCATGCAGTTCCTATTGAAGACTCCCATTATTTCCTGAGAGCAAAGAGATTCATTACGATCTATTTAACAAAGAGAAACTCTAAAAACCAATGCGGTTGATGCAACTTGTTTACCTGTTGGGGGAAATCACCATTCTCCATCTGAGCATTAATCAAGTATCTTGCAGCACGGTGTAGTGGCTTTTCATCTACCTCAGCCTAAACCACATACACATGAACAAGTATATAAATGAAAAGGGAGAGAAAGAATGAGCCATCCCCAAGCACAATAAACCCAAGTTTAATGTTTATTTTAGGAATCCACTCACTTGCCCAGCACCAATGAGTGTTAGCAAAGCCCATGCTGTATTCACCACATGAGACCTGTTGCCTTCGAGGTTTGAATATACCTGTCATAACACACACAAAACAAATAAAGCGATTCATCAAGTTAGGTAGAGTTTAACTAGTGAGCATATGAAATCAGTAGCTTCAAGTAATAAAATAACCTTGTCTTGACATGAAAGATAGCTTTCTCCCCATCCGCCCGAAGGACATTGTTTCGACAGTAGAAATTCACAAGCTTTGGCAACATGTGGAGAGTTTTTCAATGTCTTTCCAACGGCTACAAGGCCTTTCACTCCGAACCACGTACCATACGTGAAGCAAACAGCCCATGATCCATACCTAGGACATATACTTATTAGAAGATACAGATGATATAAGAAAAAAAAGAAAATGCAACTCTCCAATCATGACTAGAGCCAAACCATGAGCCATCTGCTGCTTGAATAGATTCAATGAACTTAACCGCCTTCTCAATGCACTCATCCACATCCTTTTTCCGATGACCCGGATACAGCTTTCGAAATGCTATTAGAGCTTGGATTGCAGCTGACGTACATTCCACATAACTACAGAACCATTCCAGCGCATCAAAGAAAATTTCCAAAAGATGAAGTATAATTAAATGAAAGATGTTACCGCCTTACGGATAATCGATAACAATGTCACCAAAGGTTTCTGCTGGGTTGATTAGCTGCCAACAGAAATAAGTAAACTTTTCACTTCAAACTCAAGCAAATGGGATTAGGGTACACATCTTTGTGAGAGCTTGGACACATAGATACAAAAAGTATATGTCACAAAGCTTGAGAACATTACTGATCTATATTCGGGTTACACAGACATTACCTCCAACCAAGGGTATGACCTTGTGAGCTCATATGTTGCGAGGCCTCCATCTGCATTCTGAAATCAGAAATTAGCTTCTAATCAGACAAGGAAAATGTTTTGCTTTGCGGAAAGAAGACTCATGACTGATCAAATACACTACAATTAGCACCAACATATATGATACAAGTATTGCAAACAAAATTTAACCTGTAATGAAATGATCACATTAACAGCATCATATAACCGGTTTGTAGCTACTGGTTCACCAACAATCTCCCTGGGAACTTTGGATAGCAAAAGAGCAGCCTGACGAGGAAATCACAAACTCATTACTACCAGAAAATAAATCATGAAAAAGTAACTCTGTCACATTGTTATTACTTTAAGTCCTTCAGCGGTGCAATCGGAGATAGGCCAACCGTGATCTGCAGTTGAAAAAGGCCAAGCCCCTTTAGATATGTGGCGATACCAGTAACTCAGATCTCCAGGGCAATCCTCTGAAACCTATTTCATCAGAAGAAACAATAATGAAGGACAAAGAACATCCAGAGCAACACGATGATATTTCATTAACTGCCGATCGCAAACCTGTGAATTCTTGACATACGAATGTGCTTTTGTCAAAACGGGCCCATATTCTTCAAGAAGGTTGGTTGCCAGAATAGCTTGAACAGCAAAACTCGTATCCCATAGCTGGCTTCCGTTATAACCCTGTCAATAGCTGCTGCATTAGAGTATGGACGACAGGTTCAATTTTTAAAACTAGTAATTGGATAAAAAATGAAGTAGGGGTTTTGGTTTGGCAGGAGAGGAAGAAACATAGTAGAGTACATAGAAATGCAGATGCTCTCAAGATATGAAATCAATTTTATCAAGGGTGTTTCTTTCCTTCATATGAAAAATGATCCTATCAAACACATAGTAGAGTAAATTTCCCAACTATATCTGAGTAAATATAGAAATTTCATTCCGAGTACTATATAATTCTGAAGAGCTTATGTATTACTATTGAGCAAATGATTCTAAAAGCATAATATTTATATTGGTTCGGCAGTCATTTCCGTTCATCTAACTAGCATAATCATATATACAAATATGCGGTACCTGCATCTTCATTCCATCTTCAGCTATCCACAGATAGTCATGGATTCTTGGTAGGTGCAATTTGAAAGCCTCTGAGTTTGGGTCCTCTACCCAACAACAAAGCATATTTAGTACCTATTAAAAAACACAAAACGAAGATGATGAAAGTAGAGGATTAAAAAGCAGAAAGAAAATACGAGGTCTAAAATAACAATGGACGTAGGGTATGGTACAGAACATGTCGTGGAAAGTTTGATTTCCATACCTTATTCACCGGTCCTATGCAGATGTACCTTGTATTCTCATCTTCGTAATGAATATGTTCTAGTGTCGTTCTTAGAGCCTTTTCTCTCAAATTTGCACCAGGCCATCGCGTTAGAACAGGCTCAACAAACTTGTGAAGTGATGCCCAAAGAATATCTTGCACAAGTGGGTGTGGATAGTATAAATCCTCCTTCAATAGAAAAGCAACTGTCAGCACAAAAACAGTTACCCCTGAGCATCTGAGGACACATTGATATGTGTAACGACCTATATTACGAGTAAAGCATATTCTCAAGAATCATTTAATGTAATTGTGTTACTCAGCCAAACAAGGATCTAACTATAATCTACCGATGCTCAGGTCTTTACAGAAAGTACGTAAGTTCTTTTAAAAGATATGCTTATGTGGTAGAATAGTTATGAAAATCACAACCAATTCCACGAACCTTTGCACAAAGGTTACGTGCTTCATTCCAGTCGACTTCATGATATGGTACAGTGAAAAGCTCCTTTCTCAGTGATAAAACAGTGGACGTTATGGGACCTACAAACCTTTTTCCATACAAATACGACATCGGCAAGTAGACCATCCGACAATGACACCACATCCTTCCTGCAGCATGATAAAAGAATCTTTCTTATGCTGATGTTCTACTGTGCACATGAGAACTGAAAAACAAGCTGTATCAAAGGAAACGCATATCCATTTAAATGCACACACAGTTAAAACAGTAGATAAGTGTGCTTTGAACAAGCGTGCAAAGCAGAATAGATTGCAATATATGATCAGATGAACAAATTCTTTCAAGATTTAACAAGATGGATGTTATTCCATATCATAAAGTCTGAGATGACACTGCTACTGGAGCTCATTTTCAAGCAGGGTATATAACTATCTAAAAACCAATCAATTATAACTGAACCTAAGGTACAATAGAGGAAATAAAACAGATACGGGCACTTTTGTTTTCCCGTGCTCCATATTATTGAATAGCCATTTAACCAAAAATCGATTATGCGAGGAACTTCATTTGTATGTGTGATTAGTCGACCAACAAATCATTGGAGACTGGAAAAAAAGAAATTGAACACTATCCAAGTTGTGAGAGTCAAGAGCACAGGAAGTTTTCGTTCAAGGAATATTTATGAGCACCTGGATGGATTGGCAGGAAATACGGAAGAAGCCATATCTCAGGTGGCAGTGGGTTATTACCAGACCATTCAAAAGCTCCAAGTACCTTTATTCACAGATCCAAGCAAAAAAGATGGGTCAAGTAACAGAAATATTCATATGATTTAACTTATAAGGACAGATTAGAGGTCAAGGTTTCAGTACAGATAGCCACATTTTTCCCCAAGATGTGATATTGGTAGCGCCACCATGATTTAGTATCCAGTCTCGCCCTTTCTCCATAGCTCCGTCTCCATCATTTGGTCCTTCTCCAAGCAATCTTAAAGTAACATAGTTCAAGACAGACCCAAACATGGTGCTGGGGCCCTCAATATGTAGACCCCAACCTCCGTCCTCATTCTGAAACCAAACCCGCCAATAGTCAAAAGTGATTTAGAATCGGAAAGTAGAAGAAGGAAACATATAGATGTGTGCACACGTCTATTTTGGATGTACATATTATGTGTCTAAGAACACATAACAGTATTAAAACACACAATAAAGCAATGCAAGGAAACAGAATTACAATAAAGATAGAAGAAAATTTCCTGCCTGGTGATTAAAGAGATAACGACGCATTTCTTGTTTATGTTGTTCCGACAACACTGTATTCAGGGCTCCAGTTATGGTGAGTGTAATTATCTGGAAGCATGTAAGCAGAATTAGGTTTCGTCTGCGTTTTCATCAGAACATGCAAAAGAAATCTTAGGTACACAAAGTTTATGAACTAACCAGTCCTGGTAGAAGAAACATAGGACCACCATAATCTCCTGGCCAGTGCCCGTCATGCGCCTGTATCGTCGAATAGAAATCTACACCTCTTTTTAACGTGCTTTCCACCATCTTGTCTGTAAGATCATCACCATCTTCTACTTTGACTTGAGGTAAAACTGAGCTGTTCAAGTTCTCTCTTGAAAACTACAGAAAAAGAGAGCGAGCGAGAGAGAGATAATGTTCAGATTACAAAATGAACTTTTAAAGCAATAAATGCTTGAAAAATAAGAGAATTGTTGCCAGTCCAAGTAGTGTCATATATCAATCCCTGATGGGTGATCAAAGGATAGACATCGCTATGAAATCAGGGGATAAAACCATGGATGAAAGCCAAAAGATTACGAAACTCTCAAACAAAACCGGTTAAACAAGGTAATAAAGAGAAAAGCCTTCAAGGAATCGTAGCAATAAGTTAACTCAGATGTTTCAATGTCATCTTAGAAATGTAGAAAGTAGCTGGCTATGCTCTGTTTGTACTCGTCAATCCATTGTACACTATTTGTCACACAGATGCATGGGGTATACTTGGTATTAAAAAACTGAGAGATGCTATAGTTGTGTAAAGTGGCTACTATAACGCACCAAATTAGAGACAGTGAGATACAATGGACCTAGTTGCGCTAAGCTCACCTGCTCCTGACAACTTGAGTTGATTTCAGGGGAAATAAAACTGCAGATCAAATGATGATTAAATAGGGTGTGTGTAGTAAGTAAGTGACCTTAACTGTTGATGCTTCGTTCTACTTTGAGATTGGTGAATGAGTAAACTAGTCGTCAGTGAGAAATCTTTGAATATCAAAACTTGAGAAAACGATAAGCAGCTCCTGATTCCATGGAGGCAACACATTCCTATCTATCACAGACTAAAAACGATGGTAGGGAGAATAGAGCACCTGAAGGCGCATAAGCAGATCGGAGCTGTGTTTCTTCACGAATCGGTTCTCCGTAAAGGATTGTCTAGCTTCCTCGACGTCGGCGAGCTCCTCAGGGGTCCCAAGCTTCGGATCGAACTCCCAAAACTGCCTTCCGACGTGATTATTGGTGGTTCTCAGCCATGGACTACCTCCCTCGGCGATCTTCAGTTTCCACATTCTCGCTACACCGATTGTAACGACGAAGATGAAAATGACGATGGCAACCTTTAGATGCTCTTGCAAAAATTCGGGTATTTGTCTCAATTTCAAGTATTACAACTGGTTGGCTCAGATTTCTCCAAAGATTGAAACTTTATGAGTAGAGAGAACACGAGAGTAGAGAAATTTCCAGATCGGGATCTAGTAGATAGAGCGAGTGGTGGGCGCAAATCATACTATTGTACTTACGGTGTTATAAAATACCAGAATTAATTGCTTTTGCTATTTTTTACTGACTTTGGGACCATTTTGATCCATCACTGACAAGAAACATGGCACGTGTTTTTGTCTCGCTTCGTTCCTCTAAATATATTCTCCTTTATATATAAATGCAACAAAGCTTATCGCATTTCTTCAAATGGTTCTCCAACACAACAAACAAATAGATCTTTTTATGCTTTCCGATCTAAAAAGCTCATCAAGATGGTCAAGAAATTGCAAACAGAGATCAGTCTTCCACAGGAAAAAAGGATCACATTCTAAAGATCAAGGATTGCTACCATTAGCAGCAAAACCTCCTCGGAGAAGAGCTGTTTTGCTTTTCCAATAAGCTACCTTAGCAACTCTGTTTTCTAAGAGCTCTTGAAGACCCCACAAGAAGAGTTTTCTCGGAGCGTCTCATCAAATTGATAGAAAGACGAATGGATGGAGATACAGAATATAATGCTAGTTGTTCTTTACAGTGACATTCTGCCAAGAAAAATGGTTCGGTGGCTAAAGATTTTATTCACCGTGATTCATGGATTGTCCCTATGAATCGCTGAGAATTCATACAAGACTATATATGCAAGAACTAATGCAAACATGACATGTTTCGTATGAGTCGCTGTCTTTTTTTTTTTCCTGCATGGCCAAAAAATATGTGGCCCTACATGCTCTTCATCCTTACTTCACACCACATGTGCTTCTTTGTATCTGTTTGATCATTAGGTTTAACCAGATTTGCTGTCCTTGATTTCACCAAAAGATTTGTTGTCCCCTGAGTAAACTACTTGGTCCACTATTTTTGTGACTCACATTTGATTTCACCAACTAGGGACTCTTATGCTAACAAACAAAGCTATAAAGAAGCATGAGTTTGGTATTTTTGGCTTCTCTTGTGTATAATGTAACCAGCCTGTTGCATTCTTTATTAAAGTCTTAGTACCAAACTCTTGTCATTATATATGTTTATATAGGTTTCATATAAACCCACATGATCATGTCTTCTCACCGTAAGTTGATTTGCAGAAATATTTGATTACCTCCTTGGGACCCTTAGAGTAGAAACATAAGCATGTGTCGTGTCTGGTTAGGATGCTCAGGAGCTTGTCACAAAGCTCATCTATACCTAATATTTTCTTATTCTATATAATGAAACAAGCCTATGGTATTCTTCATCAATCATAACTTTCATTCAGAGAGCTCTACAAACAGATTACACAAATCTTTTCTACTTCTTTTCGATCTTAATCTCAACTATAAATGATGATGAGCACAAAGAAGCTAATCAAGATGGCCAAGAAATGGCAACAAAGAGCTGCTCTTAAGAGGAAAAGAATCTCATTCCAAAGATCAAGTAATACTACTAGTAGCTCAACCGCTGCAGAGAAGGGCTGTTTTGTGGTTTACACAGCCGATAGAATCCGTTTTGCTTTTCCGATAAGTTACCTGAGAAACTCTGTTTTCCAAGAGCTCTTGAAGATCTCCGAAGAAGAGTTTGGCCTACCGACTTGTGGACCAATCACTTTACCATTCGATTCAGTTTTTCTGGAGTATCTCATCAGGTTGATCGAAAGACGAATGGATGAAGATACAGAAAAGGCTTTGTTGATGTCAATCTCTAGTGCTAGATGTTCTTTACACTGTTCTTTACAACAACAACAACAACAGAGTAGTACTTCTCAACAATTACTTGTATTTTAGAGTGTAGCAATTTCTGTGTTTGTAAAGACTTTCTTGTGTTAGATATGACAAATCATAGTCAGAAGAAATACAAACTATAATTTTTTTTGTTTATTGTCTCATCAAAATTCAGAATCAACTTCCATTTTGAAAGAGAAATACCACTTGTTGTGACAGTTTCATCTCTTATATCACCAACCCGTTTTCCTGAAAAATGGTGAAGCTGCTAAGACTTTCGTCAAATGTCCATATGAACTGTGTAAACACACACAATAACAAGAGATGGTTATGATATTGCAATAATACACATAATATTTTGGATATGTATATCTGTTGTAACAAGAAGAGTAACAGTTACTTGTAGTTTAGAGTCTCTGAGACAAATAGTATGTAGATACAAATAATATCTCAATATACAGTTTGATCTACTGTTATCCACCAAAGAAAAGATTAACTTGGTGAATAAATTTAATAGCAGTCCCCTCATAATTTATGGAAAGTTAAATCTTTTGATAGATTCTCAGGGAAAACAAGGTTAAGAGCCTTGGACTGTTTAAGTTAATCGGGTTTCATTATAAAGTTTATCCAAACATCTTTTTCTTGCAAAGTTAAAATCTTTTCTTGTGGTTCAACTTCTCTGAGAATATTATAGGACCTACAAGTTCTACTTATTTCATTTAATTAGCACATTTCTTTGTGTAAATTATGTTTTAATACCCACATGGTCATGTCTTTTCAACAGAATCCACAAGTTGATGAGCAGTCAGGACTGGTTACTAACTTTGGGACCCTTTATGATCAGATACAACAAAGACAGAAGCATGTGTTATGTCTGGTTTAATCGCTCTAAGTTTATCTAACTTTTAATAGTTTCTCCTTATATATATAATCCAACAAGCCTATTGGATTTCTCATCAACCATAACTTGCATTCAAAGAGTTATACAACACAACTTACAAACCAAAAAAGCTATTCCCTGAAAAGAATGATGAACACAAAGAAGATCATGAAGATGGCCAAGAAATGGCAACAGAGAGCAGCCTTAAGAAGAAAAAGAATCTCATTTCAGAGATCAAGCACCAGTAGCAGCTCGAATGTTGTAGAAAAAGGGTGTTTTGTGGTTTATACGGCGGATAGAATCCGTTTTGCTTTTCCCATAAGTTACCTGAGCAATTCTGTTTTCCAAGAGCTCTTGAAGATCTCTGAAGAAGAGTTTGGTCTCCCCGCGGAAGGACCAATCATGTTGCCATTCGATTCGGTTTTCTTGGAGTATCTGATCAAATTGGTCCAACGACGAATGGATGAAGATACGGAGAAGGCTTTGCTAATGTCAATCTCTAGTGCCAGATGCTCTTTACATTGTTCTTTTCAACAACAACAAGGACAATTGCTTGTATTTTAGAGAATTAGAGTGTCGCAATTTCTGTGTGTTGTAAAGATTCTAGTGTATTAGATTTAGACAGATTATTTCAGAAATATAAACCATTATTTTTGTCTCTCTTTTTTCATTGTCTCATCAAAATCAACTTTCACCGTAAACAAAGGAAAATGAGATCAACTGTAACGATTTAATCAAACTGTTTCGCTGTGAAACTTTCTGTCAGAAAAAAAATGTGCAGTGGTTAAACTTCTTTCAAAGCAACTCATCAAGTTGTCCGTATGAATATCTTTGAAGTTATAAAAGAATGAGCAAGAACTAATACAGACACGAGATATTTGTATGATCTAAGCTTAATCTATCTCAAGGAAATGTGAAATTTTAGCAGGAATAGTTGATTCGCTGGGAAGAGACCTACATGTTCTTCGTCTTTGATTCAACAGCACATGTATTTCTTTGTATCTATCTCTCTGTCTCTGATAATTAATTGTAACCACAATTTTGTCCTTGATTTCACCATAAGATTTGTTGTCCCCTGAATAACTACTTGTATCTAATATTTTTGTGACTCACATTCAACAAACACACAAAGCTGTACAGATTCATGAGTTTGGTATTTTTGGCTTCTCTTGTATATATACATAGATAATGTAACAGCAGCCTATTGGCTATTGCATTCTTTATTAAAGTCTTAGTACCAAAAATGTTGTCATTTAAATTGTTTATATAGCTTACATACCCACATGATCATGTCTTCTCGCCATAATTCTTATAATCCACAAGTTGCAGAGACAATTGATTACCAACTTTGGGACCCTTATGATCACATAGAGTAGAAACAGAAGCATGTGTTGTGTCTGGTTAGGTTTCTCAGGAGCTTGTCACAAAGCCTGTCTAAACCTACTAGTTTCTCCTTTCTATATAATGAAACAAGCCTATGGTATAGTTCATCATTCACAACTTTCATACATAGATCTCTACAAACAGAACTTACAAAAATATATTTCTTTTCTCCATCTTGCTTTCTCGATTTAAAAACAATATGATGAACACAAGGAAGCTCATCAAGATGGCCAAGAAATGGCAACAAAGAGCAGCCCTTCACAGGAAAAGGATCTCATTCCAAATATCAAGTGCTACTACAAGCAGCTCAACGGCTGTAGAAAAAGGATGTTTCGTGGTTTACACGGCAGATAAAATACGATTTGCTTTTCCGATAAGTTACCTGAGCAACTCTGTTTTCCAAGAGCTCTTGAAAATCTCTGAAGAAGAGTTCGGTCTCCCAACGGAAGGACCAATCACATTGCCATTCGATTCGGTTTTCTTGGAGTATCTCATCAAACTAGTCCAACGGCGAATGGATGAAGATACGGAGAAGGCTTTGCTAATGTCAATTTCTAGTGCTAGATGTTCTTCACAATGTTCTTTGCAACTACAAGAACAGAGCAGTACTCAACATTTGCTTGTATATTAGAGTGAAGAAAATTCTGTTCGTCTAAAGTTCATAGTGTATTTAGATAGATACATAAATACAAATTACCTCTCGTCATCAAAATCACAAATTATTTCTCGCCTCATCAAAATCAACTTCTATTTCAAACAAGGAAAATAGAGCAAATTCAATATCAGTTTTTTAAAAAAGAAATTCAATACCACTTTCAGTCACACTTTCATCTAAATCTCTGAAGATAAATTCTCAAGACATATCTACTCTGAAAACTGCATGTCTATGAAATGGTGCACAGAGGCATGATTTTGATCTCCGTGGTTGCTCTGAAACAACTATTGTCTCCAAGTGGGAGATGCTCCTTGGATTGCTTGCGACAACAAGAACATAACAGTCAGCAATTATTTGAAGTTTCAGATGTGTATACAAATTGATCTACGGTCCACCATAAGTACTATGACAGTGTAGCTCAAAATGAAACGGGGAAGAAAAAGCTCTAAGGCGTACGAACTTCTTGGATGTTTTTGTTTCCCATACAAGATTTTAATTGAGCAACATCTTTCACTTACTTCAATTTTTCTTCTAGCTGATAAATACACATTATTGATAATTTAACTTGGAACCATTTATTTGTTATAATTTGGTTTGGTTGATCTAAATTCAACTCTAGAAACTTCACATTGTAATATTATATGTCAAAAGCCTATGGGATTACTCATAAACTTAAATCAAAAGAAAAAATTTCATTAATAAATAATGCTATACATTATCTGATTACACAAATCAATGAATGACGAAGAGTCGATTGTCCTTCAGGGATTAAGAATCAATTCTTCAGAAACAGAATATGAGAGAGACAAATCCAATGACCCTGCACAAGAACAACCAAAAAAACATAAAACGAAAAATATCATAATGGATAAAAACAAAAACAAGACAGAACAAGATAAGGATGTAGACAGGTAAATTAGTAACAGATAGCTTATATAAAGAAGCTAGCAGTGTCGCAAGGCCTGTTTGTTCACTTTCTGCCTTTGAAAAACGAAATGTCCAACTACATTTTCAAAACTTTGGACATCAGATACCATAGGCAATTGATATTAACACAAAACCAAATCAAAGATATATAAAAGTAAACTGCAATCTCAGCCGAAAGATGGTGATCTATTGTTTAATAATCACGGGATTATCATTAAATATGGACGATTTTATTCATCATTGATTGCAGTTAACCAAAAACATAAAGAGTTTCAAAAGACAGAAAACCAAAACATGAATGAGAAGAGGTCAGATGGTAGTGCATGTCTAAGAATCGACACTGTATTTCAGATTTGCAGACGTATGGTATTATAATCCTCATTCCTCTCTTTCAATTACACACAATAAAAAAAAAAACCAAAACTTTAATAAATATAGAAAACTGATAATTGAATTAGGATCAGGGAATATGGCAAATCACTCACACTGCAAAATGCAGATCAGACTGGGTGTCACAAAACAATATGCCATTTCATCATATCCATCATCTAAACTCATTAATAAGACTTAAAACAATCGAAAAATCTTTAGAGAATCAGATTAAAATAGTCAATCACCATATTACATCCATCGTAATGAATGCAAATAAGACTGGGGCGACAATTCCTTATCATCACTTTCTTCATACAATATCGACGAAACAGAGCTAACGAACAAAAAAAAAAACAGAATGTAATAATAGAAAAGCAATCAGTAAATTGGATCAGAGAATATGGCAATTCACTCACTCTGCAGAAGCAGATCAGACTGGGTGTCACAAAACAATATGCCATCTCATCACATCCATATCAAGTATATGACGATTACGGAAAAACAAATCCAAAAAAAATTGAGAATCAGATAAAATAGTCAATCACCATGTTGCAATTGATGCAAATTAAGACTGGGGCGACAATTTCATATCATCACATTCGTTGAACATCATAGATGAACAAAGCTAATCAAGACACGGGTAGAGAAGAAACCCTAGAACAAGATTCGCAGCTGATAAACGAAGAATACAAAAACCCTAGATTGATAATCGGAAGGAATTGGGGATTTTGTTTGAGGCTGTCGAGTCGAGTCTCTGAGCAAGTTAAGCGTAGGGCTTTGCCATTATATAGAAATCAAACAATAGGGTTTAAGAGGTATTCCGGTTCAGTCCGGTTAAATATTAATTTGACCGGTATTTGAATATTTTGAACACTCTCAAAGTTTTGGGGGCTTTAGTTGAGAGAGCGTAAGAGGGGGGATTCATTTTCTCAAAATGTCTTTGTAAAATGGAAGTTTTCAACATCAAAGGACAAATAACTTCTACATCTTCCATTAATTTTCACATTGTCTTTGTATCACATGGTTATGTCTTCTCAGTTCTCATTATAAGAAGGTTTATTGATCCACAAGTTGATTTGGTTACACCAACTTTGGGACCCTTTTGATTTGATCACAGACAAGAAAAATAAAAGCATGTGTTTTTGTCTGGCTTGGCCTTGCCTTCTAAGTTTAACGCTAATAGTTATTCCCCTTCTATATAATGCAACAAAGCTTACACCATTCTTCATCAAACACAACTCATTCATTCAAAGAGTTTTCCAACACAACAAACAAATAGTATCTTTTTTATGCTTTCTGATTTGCAAACTTTTTCTTGGAAAATGATCAACACAAAGAAGATCATGAAGATGGCCAAGAAATGGCAACAGAGAGCAGCCTTAAGCAGGAAAAGAATCTCATTTCAGAGATCAAGAACTGCTAGCAGCTCGAATGTTGTAGAGAAAGGGTGTTTTGTGGTTTATACGGCGGATAGAATCCGTTTTGCTTTTCCGATAAGTTACCTGAGCAACTCTGTTTTCCAAGAGCTTCTGAAGATCTCTGAAGAAGAGTTTGGCCTCCCCAAGGAAGGACCAATCATGTTGTCATTCGATTCGGTTTTCTTGGAGTATCTCATCAAACTAGTCCAACGGCGAATGGACGAAGATACGGAGAAGGCTTTGCTAATGTCAATCTCCAGTGCCAGATGCTCTCTACACTGTTCTATCCAACAACAAGAACAACAAAGTAGTAGTACTCAACAATTGCTTGTGTTTTAGAGTTTGGGAAAATTCTTTTCTTTGTAAAGTTTATAGTGGACTAGAAATACAAACTATTATTTTGTCTCTCATTTAGATTGCCAAAATCAACTTCAAATTGCAAACAAAAACAAATGACCTAATTCCAATACCACTAATGGTCACAGTTCATATAAATTCCTGAAGAACAATCAAGACGTTTCACTGAAACTGTTTTGCAGCTCTTTTTGAGACATATCTACTTATGTTACGTACGTTGGTAGATAGTCATATGTCTATTATCTGCGTCGCAGTGGATAAAATTTGCTAGAGTGTCAGGCACGCAAGATATATGTTCCTTCGAGGCGATTCCGTGAGTCGAAGTGAACAATTTTCAAGTTCCAATTATATTGATATAGAAGATGTACTTGGAAAAATGATGAAGAACAAGGAAAACATTAAGGGTGTGTACTTAATATTCTCTCTACGAAAGTTACAAAGAGGTTAATAGAGGAGTGGCGTTTTAAACTTCACTCTATGTAACTTTTACAATTCTCTTACGACGGCTACACCTTCGGTTAACAGGTATCTGAAAGCGAAAGAAGATAATGCTGAATTACACAATTATAATATACTAGGTATTTACATGTGCTATGCTGCGGGATATTTTTCAAAATTTTGTATATATTTTTAATATAATAAAATTATTTTTGGAATGTAAATGAGTATTATATTTATTTTTTATTAGTTTAAGTTATGTATTTATATGTTTTAAATCTGAATAAACATTATATTTTTTTATTTTTAAAATTATAATTTGCTATTAAATTTAGTTAGCTAACTAATTATAAATATATATATAAGAATAAAACAATACATTTTTAGTACATTCATGCTAATGGCAATTGTAATATATTTTCTCCAATAAATTGCCACATGATCCTCCTTTGTAATTATATAAAGCAAAATATCATTTAAAAAAAGATTTATTAATTAATATAATTATTTTGAATTATAAAATTTATTTATTTATCTAATATTTTATTATAACATATGTTTCTAAAACCACCAAATTATAATCAATAACATTCATATCAAAACAATTGCCATTGTTTTAGAACTAAATAGAAAATTATGTTTGAACTCTTAAAATATCGTTTTAGTTAAAGTTAAATAATTAAATTTTGGTTACTGTAAACATAATTTAACTTAGAAATTTAGCACATAGAAATTTTATCTTCTTACAAAAATCGAAAAATCGCATTTCCCGTCAAAACAAAAAAAACTTCATTTTCCCATTAAACTTAGAAATCGGCTATTCCCGCCAAAATCAAAAAATTCATTTTCTCGTCAAACCTAAAACCTAAAATTTTATTTTTCTGCGAGAACCTATGTTTTTCCACCAAAGTCGAGAAATTACGTTTTTTCACAAAAACCAAAAAATTTCATATTCCTGTAAAAACCAAAAAAAAAAATAGTATTTTCCCGCCAAAATCGAAAATTTTATTTTTCCTGCGAAAACTGAGAAATCGTCTATTCCTGCTAAAAAAAATTCATTTTCTTGTCAAGCTCAGAATCACGCTTTCGTACAAAAACAAATAAACTACAATTTCTCGCGAAAACAAAAAATTGCATTATCTTCCGTGAAATTATGTTTTCCCGCAAAAACTAAGAAATTGTTATATTTTTATCGGTTCAAATTTTTGGTGATGTGTGAGCTTCTTATAACATAAGGTTTTTTGCGTTGTTGTCATGGAAGCATAGTTGATGCCGAGCCTACACTTTTTCAATCATATACGTCTATGTCAAACAAACAGATAGCTAGAATTTTTTTTATTATTTATTTGTTATTATTTATTATTTGGATTTGGTTTTGGCAAAAAAAAAGAAAACAATGATTTAATTTTTTTATTTGTTTTTTTTATTATTTGGGTTTGGATTTGGTAAAAAGTAAAAAAAAAAATTTTATTTGCTGTTATTAGTTATTTGGGCTTGGGTTTGGTAAAAAATAAAACAAAAATTAATAGAAAAAATATTTGAGTTTTTAATGGGTTTAAATTTAAAAATTAAAATAAGTAGATGAGATGTATTAATAAAATGTTTTGATTGGTTATTATTTTTGCTGATGTGTCATGTTTATAAAACTTAAAAAAGCTGAGGTGCCAAACCATTGAGAGACTTTAATGTTATTGTTGTGTTGATTCAGACATCCAAGAAACCTACCATAACCACTAAATTTTCTAATGGTTTTTTTAACTTCACAAATAACAATCAAAGGACCTACAAGTTTTATACATCTTTCATTTACTTGCACATGTCTTTGTATCTAAATATTTTCACACAAGATTCATACCCACATGGTTGTGTCTTCTCACCATATGTTTCTGTTTCAATCCACAAGTTGATTAGAAGAAACGATTGATTAACTAACTTGGGACCCTTGAGACAAGAAATACAGAAGCATGTGATTATGTTTCTCCTTATATATAATGCAACAATCGTATGGCATTCTTCATCAATCATAACTTGCATTCATAGAGTTCTACAAGAAGTTAGAAATCTTTTTTTGGACGGTGCTTTCTCAAAAAATATTTTCCCTGAAAATAATGATGAACACAAGGAAGCTCATGAAGATGGCAAAGAAATGGCAACAAAGAGCAGCCCTCCACAGAAAAAGGATCTCATTTCAAAGATCAAGTGCTGCAACATGCTCAACCGCCGCAGAAAAGGGTTGTTTTGTGGTTTACACAACAGATCAAATCCGGTTAGCTTTTCCGATAAGCTACCTGAGCAACTCTGTTTTCCAAGAGCTTTTGAAGATCTCTGAAGAAGAGTTCGGTCTCTCGACTGGTGGACCAATCACGTTGCCGTTCGATTCAATTTTCTTGGAGTATCTTATCAAATTGATCGAAAGAAAAATGGATGGAGACACAGAAAAGGCTCTTATAATGTCAATCTCTAGTGCTAAGTGTTTTTCTAAATGCTCTTTTCAACAAGAAGAACAACAAAATAGTACTACTCAACAATTACTTGTATGTTAGGGAATTAGAGTGCAACAATTTATGTTTTTGTAAAGATTCTATTGTATTAGATAGATAGATCAGTTCGGAAATACAAACTACTACTTATGTCTCTATCTTTATATATTGTCTAATTCAAGTTAACGTCAATATCATCCTAAGGAGTTAGAGACCTCTCTTTTAGCCATTTCACAAAAAACAATTTTGCAACTCCTTTGAAGACATTTTTTTTTATAATATTTGTCCATATCGAATTGCCTTCACATGGCACACATAGACTCCACATGGACATGTTGTTTGCATGATCTGGACTTGATACTGAAATATGAGATTTTACCAGGAATCACTGCCTCTCTGTCTTTCAGAAAGACTCTTTCTTATGGCAATAAAATCTATGGACCTGCATGCTCTTCATATCTGCTTCATTAGCACATGTGTTTCTTTGTATCTCTCTATCTGATCATTAAATTATAACCAGATTTGTTGTCCTTGATTTCATCAAAAGATTTGTTGTCCCCTGAATAATTTACTTGATCCACTATTTTTGTGACTCACATTTGATTGAGCTGATGGACTAACAAACTAGGGGTCCTTGCGCTAACAAACAAAGCAATACAGAAGCATCAGTTTGGTCTTTTTGACTTCTTCTCATTATATATGTACTGTAACAACAACCTCTTGCATTCTTCATTAAAGTCTCCATTAAAATTCATACATATTTAGGGGTTTAACTTCTCTGAGAACATATGAGGACCAGTTCTACATATTTCATTTATTTGCACATGCCTTTGTGTCTAAATTTTCTTATGATATTGTTGTATACGATGTATACCCACATGGTCATGTCTTTTCAGCAGATGTTATGATCCACAAATTGATGAGCAGTCAAGAGGACTGGTTACTAACTTTGGGACCCTTTATGATCACATACAACAAAGACAGAAGCATGTGTTATGTCTGGTTTAATCGCTCTAAGTTTATCTAACTTATAATAGTTTCTCCTTATATATATAATCCAACAAGCCTATTGGATTTCTCATCAACCATAACTTGCATTCAAAAAGTTATACAACACAACTTACAAACATCTTTTGCTTTTCAATCTTCAAACAAAACAAACAAAAAAAGCTTTTCCCTGAAGAGAATGATGAACACAAAGAAGATCATGAAGATGGCCAAGAAATGGCAACAGAGAGCAGCCTTAAGCAGGAAAAGAATCTCATTTCAGAGATCAAGCACCAGTAGCATCTCGAATGTTGTAGAGAAAGGGTGTTTTGTGGTTTACACTGCGGATAGAATCCGTTTTGCTTTTCCGATAAGTTACCTGAGCAACTCTGTTTTCCAAGAGCTCTTAAAGATCTCTGAAGAAGAGTTTGGTCTCCCCGCGGAAGGACCAATCATGTTGCCATTCGATTCGGTTTTCTTGGAGTATCTGATCAAATTGGTCCAACGACGAATGGACGAAGATACGGAGATGGCTTTGCTAATGTCAATCTCCAGTGCCAGATGCTCTCTACACTGTTCTATCCAACAACAAGAACAACAAAGTAGTAGTACTCAACAATTGCTTGTGTTTTAGAGTTTGGGAAAATTCTTTTCTTTGTAAAGTTTATAGTGGATTAGATAGACTAATCACTTCAGAAATACAAACTATTATTTTGTCTCATCAAAATCAACTTCAAATTGCAAACAAAAACAAATGACCTAATTCCAATACCACTAATGGTCACAGTTTCGTATAAATTCTTGAAGAACAATCAAGACGTTTCACTGAAACTGTTTTGCAGCTCTTTTTGAGAGGGTAAGAGGATAATATTCACTCTATCAAAAGTTACAAAGAGGGTAATAGATATGTAACTTTTTCAATCAATTTACAATTCTCTTACGACGGCTACACCTTCATTCATTGATCGGTTAATAGGTATCTGAAAGCGAAAGAAGATAATGCTAAATTACACAATTATAATATATTCAGATACCCAAGAAACTTACCATAACCACTAAATTTTCTAATGGTTTTTATCTTCACAGAGAAACAATCAAAGGACCTACAAGGTTTATACATCTTTCATTTACTTGCACATGTCTTTGTATCTAAATATTTTCACACAAGATTCATACCCACATGGCTGTGTCTTCTCTCACCAGATATCTCTGTTTCAATCCACAAGTTGATTAGAAGATATGATTAATTACTAACTTGGGACCCTTCAGACAAGAAAAACAGAAGCATGTGATTATGTTTCTGGTTTGGTTGCTCTAAGTGACTTTATCTAAACTGAATTAGTTTCTCCTTATATATAATTCAACAATCCTATTCCATTCTTCATCAAATCATAACTTGCATTCAGAGAGCTCTAAAAGAAGTTAAAAATCTTTTTTTCCATTGCCTTCTAAAAACATTTTCCCTGAAAATCATGATGAACACAAGGAAGCTCATGAAGATGGCCAAGAAATGGCAACAAAGAGCAGCCCTCCACAGGAAAAGAATCGCATTCCAAAGATCAAGCACCAGTAGCATTTCAAATGTTGTAGAAAAAGGATGTTTTGTGGTTTACACGGCGGATAAAATCCGTTTTGCTTTTCCAATAAGTTACCTGAGCAACTCTGTTTTCCAAGAGCTCTTGAAGATCTCTGAAGAAGAGTTTGGCCTCCCCACGGAAGGACCAATCATGTTGCCATTCGATTCGATTTTCTTGGAGTATCTAATCAAATTGGTCCAACGGAGAATGGACGGAGATACAGAAAAGGCTTTGCTAATGTCAATCTCTAGTGCTAGATGTTCTTTTGAGCAACAAAGTAGTACTACTCAACAATTGCTTGTGTTTTAGAGTTTCTAAAGAGAAAATAGAATTTTTTTTTTGTATAGATTCCGAATTTTTGTATACTTAATACAACACAAAAATTACCACTCCTCTCTGTTTGGAAAGGGAAGCTGGATTTTAAATATAACCAAAAAAATCCAGCTTTAGGCATCGTGTTCACATAATGAACTGAAAATGTGAATGAGAAAAAAGAAAAAGAAAAATTTCGGAATTCTAATGATGGATATTTTCTACTTTACCAGTATTAATCTACCGAATTTTCATTTTGTTCAGAAATGGTTTTCAGGTGCTTCATCTATAAGTTTGAGGCTTCCCTTGTAAACAAAAGAAAACGAGGGAAAAATATTAAGATGCTATTTGGGTATTACATTGATGTACCAACGCTGTAATTTCTCCAAAAAACATTGAGATATGTTTAAGAATAAGTACCATGTCTCAATTGGATAAAAAGCAAATAATAATCAGACATAAAACTGCCCAAGAATCTACCTTTTTGTCTTTAGTAAGAACATCTTAAAAAAAACTCTGGAAAATTGGACAATACTTTCTACTTGTACAAAGAACAAAGCCAAGAATCTTCTTGGGTTTTACCAAATTTGCCTTAAACTTGAAGCTACGAACTTTACAACTCTCTAATAACCCTTTCTTTATTACCAGCAGCCTTAACAAGAAAAGAACAATGCAAGCTAGTATATAAAGTAGCGTCGTTATGTCTCGTTCCAAACATAAGAACAAAACTTAATTTTCCTCATTCTTCTTTCTTCTCTCCTTCTCCCCGGTTTTGTAGTTTTACAAAAGGCGAAATGGCGGGTGAGCAAATGAAACCTGCTGCTTCTCTACTTCTGGTGCTGAACTTTTGCATGTATGTGATTGTTCTAGGGATTGGAGGATGGGCCATGAACCGAGCCATCGACCATGGATTCGAAATCGGTAAGTACACGATCATGACTGGTTTGGTTATCGGTTTTGATTTCTGAACGTTTCTATGTATTGTTGTCGTTCTTTAACTTCTAACATTTCGGATTCTTGTGGGAAACAAAATTGAGCAGGCCCTGATTTCAATCTTCCAGCACATTTCTCCCCAATTTATTTCCCGATGGGGAACGCAGCCACAGGGTTCTTTGTGATATTCGCGTTGCTTGCGGGAGTTGTTGGTGCGGCTTCCACAATCTCGGGCCTTAGCCACATTCGTTCTTGGACCGTGGGAAGCTTACCGGCTGCAGCCACAGCTGCAACTATTGCGTGGACACTCACAGTCCTTGCCATGGGGTAATAATATAAAACATAGAAACCTCTCTCGTATCGTATCACAAGTGAAAAACACATAATGTTCTGAGAATGGCATGGTAAGACTAATCATTCTTTCATCACACAGATTCGCATGGAAAGAGATCGAGCTTCACGTGCGAAACGCAAAACTGGTGAGTTTTCTATGTTGGAGATTCCAAATTTTGGAAATACCGCCATTATTGGCTTCATGCTCATCCCCTTTTCTGTGTCTTCTTCTCTGTAGAGAACCCTGGAGGCGTTCTTGATCATACTATCAGTCACACAGCTTCTTTACATCGCTGCTGTTCATGGCGTAAGGAGACCTGCTTAAGGACTCGAGGGCTTTTGGGTTTCTTTCTTCTTTATGTGTCAATCATCCGAAACTCGTGATTGGTGTGAATCTTTGTGTGTGTGTGGTTTTATTTTCATAGGAAGTTGAACAAAAGCTTAAGATTAATTCATGCATTCTTTCTGTACAAAAGGATCAGATCTTGTTTTGTGTGTGTGTGTGTGTGTCACTTTGTGTTCATTGAATAAAATCAAACTTTGAGGCTTAAATTGGATCATACCACTGCACATATCTAATGAACTACATAGAGAAGATCATTGATAATTGTTAAAAAAAAAAACCATAGCTATATTTCGCCCCATGAATCTAAATTCTTTTTTAATGAACAAATGAAGAATGTATTTTCAAAAGAGAAATATGAAATTTTAACCCTGTCTTGTTCGTATGTTGCTAAAAGCCGCCCACATTATTATGATATTATCTATCAAAGACAATGTACAGAAGAGTGTACGGACCGTGAATCCTGGGTTTTCGGTTGTCTTTGAGCTTTGGCTGTCATGATGCGCGTCCACCTTTATCTAACTCCTGCTCTTCCGCAGCACAATGCAGAGAAGACATGTTAGTGAGACGGGTATAACATAATAGACAATGTTGTCAAAGATTCACACAAGAACGACAAAACGATTTGATCCCTGAGGGAGAGTTTAGAGAAACTACAAGAATCTGATCCATTTTTACTGATGGCAAAATGTTAGGAGATGAGTTTATGGTAACTGCTATTTTTACAAGATTTTGTGACAATCCAAATAAACAACATTCGAAGTAGTTAATAACTATCAAGAATTGCAAACAAGAAAAAGGAGAAACTAAAACTTGAGGGGAAGTATCTTATTATAAAAGCAATCCAAGTTTCTGAGAACAGATCATTGTGAAAGACAAGGAACAAATTTATCTAGTTACAGGCTTGTAGCTCGACCAAAACTTCTCGGTAATAACTGACCAAGCATGAATTGTATTTCTAGATAGCTTGGTATTTAAGCATCAGTTCTAACCAATTTCAGTAACTACTGAAGAAGAACGAGCATAACAACGAAATAATTGGAAAAGCCTTTCGGAGAAGGTTTCAAAGTTGAAGAAACTAATTGAAACTGAGCTAAACAATAAAACAATCTGCTTGAGCCATTCACAATCCAAGATTCTAACTCCATGAACCCTCTTACTAGATCATCTAGATGCTTACAGAACTAAGTGAAGTAGTTTCAATGAAATCTTAAAGGCAATCAAGGAAACCACCAGAAGAACAACACAAATTGTAGGCCATGGAAGATCTAAGTAGCCAGATGCCTCAAACAGATAGAGATTACATCTAGCAAGAATCATAAACAAAGACTAACCTGTGTTTATCTGTCAGATCCTGTCATAGCATCAAACAACCCACAGCAGCTTAACCACGAAGTTCGGACGACTGGTGGACCAGACAACAAAAGACGCTGCATACATTCATGAGATTCAGCCAACTGAAAGGAGAGGAATTCACATGTACATGATGCAAGAAGGAGAAAGAGATGCTACCTTTTCCTCGGAGGATACTGTAACTTCAGATTCCCTTACACTCTCTACTTTTTTGCTTGTTCCAGCAGCAGATCCCGGAAGAGTAGCCACCTTACTATCATCTTTTCCCAGTCCTGGAGATGGATACGCTTCATTTTCCTTCTGCTTGACCAAATTTGAGCGTGGTGAGGTCACAACGTGCTCACTCTTTTCAGAAATCACTACTTTGGATACAGAAGCCACAGGTTCGACGGAATCAACAACGGCCGCAATTTCCACAACTGAAGCTACATTTTTGGCGGCCTGGGTACCGTTTTCAGAAGAGGAACTGGGTGGCTTTTCCACAATACTTTTCTTGTCATTCGTTCCTCTTTCAACCGCAATAACATTTTCACTTTGTAGTCCTAGTTCCTGAGTATCATTTGCATCTCCTGATACCTCTTTAGCAGATCCCTTCACCGTACCAGACGAAATAGCAGCAGATGTATCTTTTGTCCCAAACTCTTCATTTCCTTGAGAACCAGGAGAACTCAAATTGCTATCACTTTCCCTATCATCTTGGTTTCCATGTTCATCATGTCCTGAGATGTTTTTTTTGTCAAATTCAAAGATCAAACAAAAACTACTGAGCACACAGAATCATCGTTCTTTTCTTCCAAAAACTACTGAAACGGCGTGTGTTCTTCTTAATCAGTCCAACAAAGTCTTGCTCAAGTCATGAACGAAGCATTATTTTGACAATTCATTGAAAAATCTCAGCTCCAGAACAGATATTCAAAGAATTTTAAACAACCAGTTATATGAGGAGCAAAAGGAACAAATTATTGAGCAGAAATCAAACAGATCTCTCTATACACACCAATCATGAAATGGTTAATTCCACGCGAGAAATTGCGGAGACTTTACGGAAACCACTCAACACTGTTCAAGAGAAATCTATCGACCTAGCAACAACGAATCATGAAACCAGAATCGAGCAGGAAAGCATGAAATGTACCATGAAGATTATCGCCATTGGAACCCTTATTGTTCGTACTTGTCCCAATCGCTTCCTGTTGCTTCTTCTTCTTCAACGCCTTCCTCTTCTTCGCACCTGACGGCATGATCGATCCGAATCAATGGATTTTGTCGCCCAAAAAAATTTGAATGAAACTGTTCGTTCACTTCGAAGTTTTTTTTCTCTCTCTCTCTCTCTCTCTCTCTCTCTTTTCTCTGCCGCAAGATTCTCCACAGTGAGGTGTGTGTGGACTGCGTTCTCCTTTTTGTCTCTTATGTTGGGAAAATCAGAATCTCCCGTAAAGGAAAGAGATAAGGAGAGTCTTATTTGTTGTTTGATTACTCTTTTTCTCTATTTTATATTCTTTTCTTTTTTTGGTCAAATTTCTCTATTTTATTAATCAACATGCCAAAATTGATTTATTTTATTCAACCGTAATAGCATTTCCATTAGATTATACGTACAGAGAAAAACTAAATATGGTATCATAATATTGGATCTTATTGATAAAAATAACTAATCACTTTTAATTTTACAATATGAACATAGTCCTTATTTTACATGATCGTTTTTATTTGTTAATGTTTTAACTATTTACTGCAAGTATACTGTTTTTATTAGTTTATTACCGTCAAATCTTCTACTATTCCGGGCATATTTTAGATAAATCCGATTAATGCACTCGGCCAACAATGAACAAGTAGTTGAAAGTTCCCGGTTGACAAAAACAAAAACAAAACAAAAAAAAATGAAATTTCCCCCATTTTACACCTAATTTATATTTGTTTTTTTTAAAAAAAAAAATTAAACTAAAACAGATGATCCTTTTTGCGATCTTTTAAAATTAGTTTGGAAAAACTGCATCACATTTTAAAAAAAAAAGAATACTCTTAGATATACAATTAACAACAAGTAAATGATATTTTTAAGTAAAGAGGAGCATAATCATGGCTTACCACAAACTTAAGACTCAAAAACGTGAAACCCACCAGCCAAAAATCCAAATTCATGGCTACAAAAAGAGAAACAACCTGAGGCACAGAGCAACACAGATTCTTCTCTCAAAACTTGTTTTTGCTCAAGACATAGCAATAACACAAGATGAGATCATTAGTTACATTCAACCAGAAGATCATGCGGCGGTGTAAGAAACTCCTTATCAGAATCACCAGGAGCTGTCCCAGACGCCATTACCGTCATTTGAAACTTCAAAAGGCTTCTTCTCCTACATCATCATCATCATCATCATCATCATCGGGGAAGCAAGTCAACAGAGTGTTGGCTTCATTCTTCCTCTCTTTCCAAAAGAAGAAGCAGAAGAAGGAGAAGATGAAGCGGCTCAACGAACTCAGGAGTTTCTCTGATTCCGTCAGTGAAACAAAGGTCTCAAATACGGAATCAAGAAAGAAGGTCTTCCCATCTAGTCTCACGCCGTCTTGCCATGGTCAAGGTAAGGCTCATTCACAAAAAGTCTCACAAGATCATGATGCACCAAGAAACAGCACGAGCTCATTCCTTCCATGACTCTTCAAAACTAAGCGAGATCAATCATCATATATTTATATGTATTGCTTTAAAAACTATTGTGTGGATGCTGTAGGATCTCTCAGTGTCAATAGTTGTTAACACTAAGACCCTATGAATGCAAGGTGAAATTCTTTTGTAGAGCAGGGTTTTAATAAGATTGATGTGTAATGATTCATCCGAGAAAAAAACTTTGAATTAGAATCAGAAATGATTATAGTACAAGAATCCAGATAATTTCCCAAACGGAAGAGAAGATAGACATCAAATTTCTTTTATACATCTATCCTACACAAGCACGGACCATTGGCTTCATTCCCTAACCTCTCACCAACCTGAGGCATTTCACATATCAACTCGCTGGTGCCAACCAGGTGAATGTCCTTGGATCAGCTCTCGGCAACGTCTCAGCTGTATGATTTGACCTAGCATCAGAGGAAAAAAAGAATGCAAGCTGTGAAAAATGTTATCATAAAAAGAAAATGATTATAGAACAAAAGCAAAACCAAAACAAATTTACACACTTTTATGCAGCAGCATTACTTCTTCATAACTACGAATTGCCATAGTTTGGGCTTTTGACACTAAGCTTTTGTGATATGCTAACCTCTTGCATTATATTCTTCAAGATTAATGCTGCAAATCAATCCTAACAGCGTTCTAGATCTAACCATACAACATTAGTTTTACAAAACTACCGTAGCTAATTGGGATTTTGACACTAAGCTCTTGTGATGTGTTAAAAATTGACACTAAGATTACTCATAATCTCTAAAAACGAAAATGCCATTTTAAAAAATTTCACATCTTTGTATCCACCACGGCTTACGATACATCGTAAAATCAAGCTTCTTTCACTATTTATCTCACAAAATCTAAGCTCTCCCAATTAATTACCAACCAAAACAACAGGGCAAAATCACAACGCGAAACCGCCTACATTCACATTCTAAAATCGAAATGAATGAATTTTAGAAATCATGAAGCTGAAAACCCTAAGAAATCGACAAACCCACAATAGATAAAACGACCAACATTGGAGCAGACAACTAGAAAATTCCACTCAACGCAACAAAATTGAGATCACAAACCACATTTATCTCGAGAAGAAAAGCGAATCATACCATTTCCAACGAATCTATACGAGTTTGAGAGAAGTGAATCCATGGCCGTAACTGCGAATAGAGATCCGATGTTGGCAGCTAAGAAAGATGGTCTTAAACCCTAAAAGAGAGAGATTTACTGGCTACTTAAGTAAAGCGAGCTTTAAAGAGAGAAAAGAGAGAGAGAGAGAGAGAGAGAGAGAGAGAGAGAGAGAGAGAGAGAGAGAGAGAGAGAGAGAGGAGCACAGATATCGATACGAGAGAGTGTGAGAGAGACTTGTTGCCGTTACGCGAGTCAAGGTCTCTCTTTGTTTTTGTCGATGTTTTATTCCGAGATTAAAATAAATATATAAATATCCCCGCGCATTTTAATTCGGCTGAGTTTTGGGTCTTTAATGGGCTAATACTGGGCTTTATATTTCCAGCAAATCTCTTTCCATCTCCGTCTACAACAAAGGACGAACTCGACGGAGCGAAAGCGAACGGGAAAGTAACTGTTTCGAGAGACGAGCGAGAGAGAAAATGGCGGCGGTTGAGGATTCTTCAGTATCAGCGATTATGGCGGAAGAGAATCTTGATCCGAACACGACGAGCCCTAGCCGTGTAGAGAAGCATTTCCCGGCGATTAGGGCTATCTGCGGCGGCGAAGAAGGTCCGTCGAAGGGGAAAAAGATCATGCGCGGTGGAAATGACAATGTGACGAAGAAATCAACCACCGTAATCCAACATTCGCACTCCTTCCAGAATTCTTGGACGTTTTGGTTCGATAATCCTTCCTCGAAGCTGAATCAAGCCACATGGGGAAGCTCTTTGAGATCCTTGTACACATTCGCTACTATCGAGGAGTTCTGGAGGTGAGATTATCGATGAACATCTCTCTTTCTTATCGTCTCATTTTGTGCTTTCCTATAGAAAATCTAAGCTGGACGGAATTAGAAATCCTTCTGAACCAAAACCAGTAGTATAGGGACTTGGTGATTTCTGCGTACGATCTCTTTTGCGTAATGGTTTACTGATGCAATTTTTTCCCAGTTTTATCTTGCCTTGATCTTAACTTTACATTAGTATAACTGTAGCTTCGTGGATTTCCTCAAGATTTGTATTGGAGAATGCTTGTACTGTATCTATGCATTAACTGTTGTCTTCCATCAGAGATATTGATCACCTGCTCATGATTGTTTGCATCTAAGAAGATAGTTTATCTTAAGGTATCCTTTTTTTTGGTCATGGACAAGTTTAAAGCGCGATTTGTTATCCACATGATGCAGTCTTTACAATAACATTCATCCTCCAACCAAATGGGTTCAAGGGGCGGATCTCTACTGCTTCAAACGTAGAATTGAACCGAAATGGGAGGATCCCATTTGTGCTAATGGAGGAAAGTGGACTATGATGTTTCCTAAGGCTAAACTGGAACCCAACTGGCTTAACACGGTACTGTAACTCTCAGGAGTTCATTGTAGTTTTTCCTTAAGGCCTTATGCTGCTTGTTGGATGCGTCTAGTGATGCTTTGTTTTTGTTGTCTCCTTGTTTTAGTTACTTGCGTTGGTTGGTGAGCAATTTGAGAAAGGAGATGAGATTTGCGGGGCAGTTTTGAATTTCAGAACGAGAGGGGACAAGATCTCTCTGTGGACAAAGAACGCTGCAAATGAGAAGGCTCAGGTAAATCATGGATCTTTTATGTATGCATAATTCTGTGGTAATAGAAAGCGGCTTGTTCACCAGGAAACACAACATGTAGTTAGTGGATTTCCTGAGTTAAGTGCTTAAACCAAAAACTAATAGGAAGAGATAAGAGAATCTTCTTTGTTTCCTTCATACAAAACAAATACATTGGCTTAACATTGGGAAAATTTAAACCTTTGTTCTGTTCATATGAGGTTTTTCTTTCCGGACTGATATCTTGTTGGTGTTTGCTGTAGCTAAGCATTGGGAAACAGTGGAAGGAACTTATTGGTTACAATGAGACAATCGGATTCATATTTCATGTAATTGTTCTCTTCAACATCTTTGTACTGTTTTTCTTAAACTACATTGGTTTGTGCTATTGTGACTTGTGAATTTTCTTTTCAGGAGGATGCAAAGACTCTTGATCGTAATGCTAAACCTCGCTATACTCTATGAGATTCACGTTTTTACTTCTCAGCTTCCCGGAACGAAAAAAGGAGACTCAAAAAGGGAAGTCATATGAGAGAATATGACCTTTAGTTGCTTCTGATTCTACCTTTTATTGTAAAAATATACGCATTTTGGGTTTGAGGTGATCAGCGTTTTCTCACTCTTTCAAACTATAGCAGAATTGGTTAGATGGTTTGTAATCAAATTGTACATGATTTTCGTAATGTTCATAAGAAAAAATTATTTTCTTACGTTATTATCACTTGTTATTGTTATTTGTTTATTGTGTTTAAGTATCATTTGGAACTCATTCATTGGTTATCTTTCTTCTCATAACCATAACAGAAAAGCTGTTGAAGAGAAAAACATCCTTTAAAAAATTACCAAGAAACATTACCCCGCCAAAATACAAACCTTTATTTTGTTTCGTGTGAAAAAAGATAAGTCATTAAACACGCATATATCTTGGGGACATCGGATGGATTACAATTTACAAATACTGTTACGGAAACAATCCGTTCAAACATCAAAGTTTAGAGTTTTGGGATTTAAAGACTCAAACCATTCCTTGATTTGATTTGCAGCGAATAAAGAAGGAAGAGATAGTAAAGAGTGGAATAGGAAAGAGATAGTAAAGAGATTTGCACTTGAGTGCACCTTTGATTTCGTCGATTTTGTCTGTGTTTCTGTGTCCTCAATCCTTCTGTGTACGCTGAACTCGTACAACACCAGTCGAATTAATTAGATTTGAGATAGATCAACAAGTGCACCTTAAAACGAGGAGGATTGAGGACGCTTCCCCTTCTCAAAGGTGCACTTGAGATAGTAAAGAGTGGCATTGGAAAGAAGAAGTCGAAGAAAGTGACAGGAGAACGCACTCTCAACTTAATGGCAGACGCTCGAGAGAATCAGGAAGAAGATCAGAGAAGAAGAAGAAGCAATGAAACAGAGTCGAGATCCATTGAAGAAACGAAGGTAAGCAAGAACTTATTCTGGTGATCCAAACTTACTACGTTCTTACTGCAATTTCTCATTTGACTTGGCGTTTTCGTTTTAGTTCAATCGGTCCTTACAATTTAGGATCTAGAGAAAGATTTGACGAGAGAATTCAAAGACGCCATGAAATAGAGTCGAGAAAGACCTTATGGCTATGTTCTTGCGAAGGGTTATGTTTTTGATTGAAGTGTTTCGTTTTAATTTTGATTCTCAGGGACGAAATCCGGATTTGGGTATGAGCGAATCTGATGAGAGAACTTATCGGAGACAAGAAATGTATCGAAGATCCTGGACAGAGAAGAGGGTAAAGAAACTGAACAAGAACTCAGTACTCTGTTCTGTATGCGGATAATTATTATGATGAAACAGAGTTGATACGGTTTTCTCAGGAGAATGAAGACGGTTTAAGAATAAACGAATCAGGTCAGAATCGTGATCACAGAGATTCATACTCAGAGATACGAGATTATCTGCAACAACAGGGACTGAGAGATAGTGAGATGCAAGGGAGGAGAAGCCATGAAACAGAGTCGAGATTCTTGCCACCGAAGAAGAGGGTAAAGAAACCAACTTGTTAACACAAGAGAGTATATTTTTCTTGATTTAACGTTTTCCTTTTAATTTTCATTCTCAGGCTACAAATCTTGGTAGGGGAAGCGTCCTCAATCCTCCTCGTTTTAAGGTGCACTTGTTGATCTATCTCAAATCTAATTAATTCGACTGGTGTTGTACGAGTTCAGCGTGATGCATTCGACTTTAGCTTATATCGTCCTTGTAGCAAAAGTAACACACGTTATTAACTTGATTTGAGTAGTAACCAGAATCTGTAGAATATAGATTCCTTTTTTTCTTTACTTCATTTGAAAGATAGATAAGCTCTTCTATATGCAGTCTTATCACTCGAAGAACAGGGTTGCTGCACAACCAATGCGTCAGGTAATTTTATAGTGGTTACTAAATTACTCTTATCAGCTATTAATTACTCAAATTTGAAGGACTAAAAATTCTCCATAATAGTTTCATCTAAGGTTTTATATTGGTTTTTGATTTTCAGGATAGAACTTCGGACTGGAGAGCGAGTGAATGCAGTCAGAGATTCGATGAGAGGAGACACGAAAGACAGTCCAGTTCCACGCCAGAGAATAGGGTAACTAAAATGTTTTTTTTACTCTTCTAAACTCGATTTGATGAGCACTTTCATTATTCTTATCAGCTACATGTAAAATTACTTAACTAGGGTCCGAGGAGACACGAAACAGAGTCACTGTCCACGCCAGAGAAGAGGGTAAAACTAAAGTCAATATGATCTTTATATAATTTTATTTACTGTTTGAAGTTACTTATATGGATATCTTCATTCTCAGGAGAAAACTATTCCATATTCCAAAGATCGTGATCCAAGACAAAGGTTCCGAGATATAAGTCAAAGACACCATGAAAACGATTGGGTGTTCAAACTCGAGAAGAAGTATAATAAAAGCCTAAGTCAAATAAGTGATGAAATAGTGGCTGGAATCCTGCGAGATAGGATGGTAAAGAAATTATATAAGACCTGACTTTTGTTCTTGATTTTTGGCTTTGCTCATCTCAATCACTCTTTGACTTAGCTCGTTGCATTTCTCTTCAAACAAATAATCGTAGGAGAAAGAACTTGTACTGGGTGCACGAAACAATCTGCAGGAACAGAGGCAGAGAGGGAATGTTGAATGGCAGAGGATAGAAGCTCAGGAAAATGAGCTGGAAGAGGGAGAGATTCAAGATAATCTGCACGAACAGAGACAGAGAGAGAAGAACATCGGGTGGCGGAAGAGAGATGCTCAAGAGAATGTGCAGGAACAGATGCAGAGAGATACTGAGATGCAAAGGAGAGAGGATGAAGAGAGCTTGGAGGAACAGATATTACAGGTAAAGACACGGAAAAAAGATCTGAATCTCTTCTTCACTGTGATTGCAAGGAGACAGAGAGAACAGTTACTCTGTTTTTTTTTTTTAAATGTTTTCAGGCAAAAGCTACTCCGGCTTCCCAAGTCAAAGAGATATGTGATGAAAAAGATTCGGTATTCAATCTCGAGAAGAGGTTTAATAAAAGCCTAAGACAAATAACTGATGAGATAGTGGCTGGAATCATGCGAGAGAGGATGGTAAAGAAAATGAATATGACCTGACTTTTTTGTTCTTATTTTTGGTTTTGCTCATCTCAGTCACTCCTTGACTTATCTCGTTGCATTTCTCTTCAAACAAATAATCATAGGAGAAGGAACAGGGACAGTTTCAAGGCAATGGGCAGGATCAGAGACAGAGAGGGAACATTGAGTGGCAGAGGAGAGAAGCTCAAGATCATGTGGAGGAACAGATACAGAGAGATATTGAGATGCAAAGGAGAGAGGTTGAAGAGAATGTGGAGGTAAAGAAACAGAAAGAAAAAAAATCCGATTATTTTCTTTACTGGTCCATGATAATATGATGAAACAGACTCCAGAAGAGTATAAGAGGAGAACAGAGAACAGAACCTTACTCTGTTTTGATTTACTTATTCTCAGGAGAAGCATGCTCATGATCAACCGGATCAGTAGGAACAGAGACATGGAGATATTGAAAGGAAAAGAGGGGAAGGCTAGTTTGAGATTTGATCTGTTAGTTGAAGTGACTCGTATCAGAGATTTCATAACCAAAACTCGGGTTTTATAAAATAGAGAGCAATAGATTTTAGGAGGAAACAGAGTGTTACGAGAACACTAAACAGAAACTCTCAGATTCCTTGGAACACAAGAAACCGACTCTGTTCTGAGTTTCAATTTTTTTTTTAACCTTATACATGTTTTTAGGGGTCTTTTGCAAACTAACCATATTATTATGTATATAAATTAAGAATATAGTCATCCAAATTTAGTAATTAGGACACTAACCAAAACCTCTAGAAATTGTCTAATTTACCCTTTTATATACGTTCTATAGAATATATAATTTGGTTGATTAAATTCACTTCTAAAGATTGCCATTGTGCAAAAGTATATAGTAGCTACATATAGTTCGGAAAAAGTAGTATAATCCATTGCAATCACTGAATCACATTAGTAAGAAAGTAGTTGAGTAAATACTCTCATCACAATAGTCTTTTGTTTACACATCAATAAACCAAAATTTTATGGTTTTGATCATGCATATATGTTATACATCTAAGTTTGGGAACATTTTCTGGTTTCTGATCATAACTAAATTTAGGCATCAGTGAATTTGCATGCTCAAATTCTTTGTATTTTTTTTACCAAGATAAAAAAACAAATTCATCTACTACGTATTAGTTAAGTTATAAGTTCATTTGATGAAACACTGATCTGTCTGAAATGCAATGTAAATTTTGTTTAAATTAATGATTCAAGAAACTTAATGTTTGAACAAAAAAAAGTACTAATGCAAATGTGTTACATCTTTAATTCTTTTTTATTTACTTTAATTTTTATTCAGACAAGAATAAAAATTACAGCTCTTGAAGATTAAAAAAAAACTAACAAACAAAATACACCGTAAACATTTCCCGCCAAAAGAATAGCTTTATATTTTCTTTCAATTTCGAATTTTTTTTTTTTTTTTGTAGAATGAAAATTCTGTAGATCGTATATATATGTACATCAGGACGTTGGATTGATCACAGATACTATAGTGGGAACTTTCGTTATAACAGAGTAGAAGAACGAAAGTCAGAAGATGGTTAGCGAAGCGAGGAAGAAGAAGCGCAAGAAATTAAACAGAAGACGAAAACGGTTAAGAGATAAGATCGCCCAAGAGAATCTGGAACAGCAAAGATTGAGTGGTAAGAAAATGAAGCAAGAATCAACTCTGTTCTTTACTGCGGATGAAACAAAGCCGAGACGATTTTCTTTCTCGGGAGAAAGGAGGATCTGTTTTATCGGCAAGAAGCGAAACGGGTCTGATTAACGATTTACAATACTTAAACGCAGATGCGAGACAGATTCTTGGAGGAAAGAAGAAACGGAGAAGTTCTGATAAGAGGAAGATCTATAATCTTGAAAAACAGAGACGAAGACGGCTAAGAATAAAGAATGTGTGTATTTCTATTGATTTTTATCCCTTTGTTTGGGTCTTTTGTTGAACGCTTTTGGTTACGGTGTTTAATTACTGTACGTTGATTCTCAGGAAAAAATGGCTAAGAAAGAAGCTGAGAAGAATCTGCAGCAACAGAGATTGAGGGTAAAGAAACTGAAACTCCTGACTGTGGATGAAACAGAGTCGAAACGGACTTCTACATGAGAAAAGACGAGAACAAGAACTTACTCTGTTCTTTACTGTGAATTATATCGTTCGATTTATTGTTTCTGATTATTTACTTTCAGGAGGAGATGTCAGAGAATCCCAACGTAGATGCTCAACAGAATCTTGAGGAACAAAGACGGATAGATATTGAGAAACAGAGAAAAGAGGAACGTTTGAGACTTGAGCAGGTGTTTGATTGAATCATTCGATATTTATCAGTTGGTTTTTGAAATATCAATGCAGGAAGAAGATTCATACGTGAGTTTTTGTTTTTGTTTTTTTCAGATCCAACCAAGTGTTCTGTTTGATGAACTGAGTCGGCCTAGAGAGTTGATGAAAGAGTTTGGATTTAGAGATTGCGATGGGTTTTAGGAGGAAACAGAGCTACTCATCTACAAGAAGCTCGTTTGTCATGTTTTACGTTTAAGACAACTTGGAACTTGGAAAACAATGTGTAACCATGTTAGGTTAAGTTTTTGGAAATTTTTAATACAAGATTTTGGTGTTGTTTACTTGTTTAGTGGTCATATAATCATATTCGCTGTTATAGATTGAGTTAGTGCTCAATTCGAGTCTAAAGATAGGTTATGGTTTTGAAAGTCATATCACTCACATCTTATTGTAATCGGAAGGCATCCTACGTGTTGGCTACTATTTTCTTGAAACCGGAAAAATATGAAAAACCAAATTCAAAATGATTATTGTGAGTCCGAACTTGAACTGGCTAAATAGAATTTGACCACTAATTAATTTTTCGTATACTAGATCTAAAATGAACTAATTTATTGAAAATACTAGAAAAAGGGACTGCGCTCTGTAGGGTTAATTTGCGGTATATGAAAAACTAAATTAAAATCTATTTAAAATAATTATAAGTAAAATACATAAAATAAAAATTAATAATAAAAATATAAACATCTAAAACAATTTATAATGATTAAAATAAAATGGTATATTTTTTAATTATTAACAATAAGTTTTAAAAGAAAATGTATAAACTAATTAAGATAAAAAAAATTGTTACTACTAATTATTAATAATAAAATAAAAAACTAAAAAGTAATAAGATACACAACTTTTTAAATATGAAGATATACAATCTAAAAATATGATATAAATATGCAATTTTTTAAACTATTTTTATAATTATTAAAAATTTGTATTCACAAAAAAGTGTAAAGCAAAAAATAAATATATAAGCAATCTTTCAATAATAAACCCACTATAGTAAGAAAGTAAAAGTTAGACTCAATTGATTTTTTTTTATGTGGTTTTAAGCAATATAAATAATTTTAAAAAGACACAAATAACAGTTGTGATGGAAAAACGCAACCATAAATTTTGAAAAGACACAACTTTTTAAAGTGCGAGTGACATTTATTTGGATTATTATTATAGATAGAGTGGTTTTTTATGTGAGAACTAAAATTGTGTGGACTACCCACTATGAGAATGTAATCAAATCTAAAACACCAAATTCATAAAAAAATCTAAAACCGTATTTTTATAAAAGACTAAAAAATCTATGGACGGTGCAATTAAATCTAAAAAAAACCTTATTTGCATAAAAAAATCTAAAATCGTATTTCTCTAAAACATCTAAAAAACATCTATAAATATATAAATATATACAGTTATGTACATAGCTACTCCTTCCAATGATCGTTGAATTACTGGAGCGAGTTGCATATTTTCTTCAATCATGAGGCCGATTTGATGCAGAATGTCGACAACAGCTCCTTGATTTTGTTGATTCACTTCTTGAACAATAAGGTAAAAAAAGAAGTGAAGAAGATTCCTTGGAGTATAATCAAACGATGAAGTAACCTCTCTGGCAGTGGTGATAGCATTGGTAATCATTCTCTCCGCTGAATATATATCGACTCCCGAAAAAATGAAGCGAAGAATACAAATTGTCTATTGCATTTGTAACTACTGAAAAATTATGGTTTAATCTAATAGTACTTAGCAGAAAAAAATAAGTAAACATTTATTGTGTGTTGGGCTTTGATAAGGTTTTGAAAGATAGAAAGAAAAAAAGTGTATTATAATCTAAACGTATACAGACGTGGGGTTTTGATTGTACCAATTATACCAAACCATCTAAATCTTCGTCAGTTCTCCCTTCAAAACCTTATCAAACTAATTAAGATAAAAAAATATAATAATCTTAAGACAAGCAAATATAAAGAAGTTATTGAGTTAAGAAAAACTAATTAAGACAACAAAATTAAGTATCTAGAGGCAAAAACAAACAAACATAAGAATCTTAATTACAAACAAATAAAATCTCTCTTACATTATAACATAATATTTTAAAATATTTATTACAAAACTTAACAAAAAATTCACTAATCAATTTTTTTTTATTTATAAAATCAAGCCTGAAAAAATGTTTGGCTTTGATGTAACAAATTTGGTATGAGCGACCGAATTTAAAGACTCAAATAAGATATATATAACATTTAATTTATTTTAATTGATTTAATTTGAATCATAAACTTGAGAAGTTTGATAAATCAGACTCAAATAATTATTATAGATAAATAAAACATACATTAAAAAGATTAAAAAAAAAATGTTTGGCTTACTAGAAAGAAAACACAACCCTTGAATTATTAGATTTTATTTTATATAAAAGAATGCTAACATAAAAAACTTTCAATATTTCACAACTTATTATAACAATTAACTCATTATAGTAAGAAAATAAAAATTAAACCTAATAAACCTATTATAGTAAGAAAGTAAAAGTTAGACTGAATTATTAGATTTTATTTCATATAAAAGAATTTTGACATAAAAAACTTTCATTATTTCACAGCTTATTGTAATAATAAACCTATTATAGTAAAAAAATAAAAGTTAAACCTAATAAACCTATTTTAGTAAGAAAGTAAAAAGTTAGACCCAAATAATTTTTTTCTGTAGTTTTGAGTAATATAAATAGTTTTGAAAAGACAGAAAAACCGCTTCTTCTCTCTAACAAAGCGATTCAAAAAGCGACTGTAATTACTTTTTTCAGTTCGTGATCTCACCGGCCGACGCTGGCTCCGGCGTTGGCTGTACTCTTTCTCGTTCTTTTCCTAGTTTTACTTCTTATATTTTGACAAATTAATGATTTCTACAGATAGGTGTTTCAATCAAATCATGAATCTGTCCATGCTTTGGTTACTCGTTAAAACACAAATCCTCAACATGAAGATGCAGAGGTGTAGCGAGATGAAGAAATTGCCGACGTGTTGGAATCTTACATGGTTCAAAATTGGTTTCTGAGTCATGTTCTCCATCATCTATACCACTAATTTTACTGCAACGAGACAACGGTTCAGGGGTCTTTATCTTTTCTTCATGGTTCTATATTCAACCATAATAACCACTATTCTTCTCCTTCATGGAGTTTATTTCCGGTGTCCATCACAGTGGTGCTACCGGTGTCTTGTATCTGAAATTGTTGTGACATATTCTTCGGACCAAATCCTCCAATTTGATCCAAAATTGAAGCAACATTCTCATCAAATCTCATTACCCGATACTATATGGTTCGGGTATGTCATTTTGGTTTTTGATCCGAGAATTAGTGGTTTCAAAGGTAACGAATAGAGTCAATCACATGATGGATTTCTGATAACGCAGTCACAATATCCTCCAAAGATCTTGGTACAGAATGTTTGGTATCACTCGATCTACCGTTCAGAATTACAATTTGGACACATTAGGCTTTTTGATGAGATTTGCAAGAAGAAAATTCAGCCAAAAAATGATGTATTCAAATCACATTAGAAAAAAATCAAATATAAAATTGGACAATAATCAATTTTATAATTGGTTAACGAGTTTACTTTTCGGAAAGCATCGTTAAATTTCCCTTTGATGTATTTTTCTCACTATATGACACATATATCTGTATATGTAATAATTTGTAATAATTTGTGTTTTAGTAATTCTGTGTAATAACTCTGTAATCATCATCTTTTGAAATGAATAAAATGGTTAGTCGAAAAAAAAATAGTTTTGAAAAGACACAAATTATAGTTAATGAAATGATGCAACTATTAATAACAAAAAGACACAACTATAAATTTTGAAAAAACACAACTTTTCGAAATGCAATTGACATTTATTCATATTATTATTATATTTCAGATTATTATTATATATAGATATACAGTATTTGACAATACTATTGAAAAAAATGTAATTTACGACATAATTATTAGCAAAAATAAAACTCTAATTTTTCTTTCTGTTATATATTAGAGTAATTTTTTCAGGAAATGTAAAATCTTCCGAGACAATGGTCAGTTGGTCAAAATCCGCCCAATTAGAGGAATTTTGGTCAAAATCCCCAATTAAAGTTTTCCCGCGAGATTTCTGAAAATTTAGCTCTCCTGAAAACCCCTCTCCTCCATTGTCGATAATTACAGTCCTGATATGTTTTCGCCATAGAGAAATTAGGGTTTCATTTCGCCATCCCGATCAAATTGGAACAGGAAGCGGAAATGGGTATTCAAGGGCTTTTGCCGTTGCTGAAATCGATTATGGTTCCGATTCATATCAAGGAGCTCGAGGGTTGTACCGTCGCCGTCGATACATACTCATGGCTGCACAAAGGAGCTCTATCTTGCAGCCGAGAGCTCTGCAAGGGATTACCCACCACGAGGTTCTCTCTCTCTCTCTCTCTCTCTCTCTCTCTCTCTCTCTCTCTCTCTCTCTCTCTCTCTCTCTCTCTCTCAAAAGTTGCTTGATGAATCCCAGATTTAGATCGATTGATTTTTGTTTTTCCCCAGATTCAGAAATTGGGTTTCTTTGTCTCCTAGAACATAGTCCTATTTCGTGAAAAATCAAGCTTTTTTCCTTTTATCTCGTGAAGATTTTAATGGGTTCTTCGAATTCAATCCCTCGAGGATGACGGCTAAACCTAATTAGAAAGATCTTTGATGTTGTGGAATTTTCACCAGAAGGGTTTGTATGTGATTGCTTATTCGTTTAGACATGATGAATGTAGTTAAGGTGATTCCTGTCCAACTTGACGCATCTCGTTCTGAAACCAGGAAGCATTTAGCTTAGAATCAAAAAGCGATTGACACACCATTTCGTCTTTGCTAACCAAATTGTAAATGTGATTTCCCTAGTTACAAGGTTCTGCAGAAGATAACGGGTTTACTGGTGTCTAATCTTTCAGGCATATTCAGTACTGTATGCATAGAGTGAATTTACTTCGCCATCATGGAGTGAAGCCTGTTCTTGTCTTCGATGGAGGTCCGTTACCGATGAAACTAGAACAAGAGAATAAGCGTGCTAGGTATGCAAACATATAAGCTAACTAGTTGAACCACAATATGCAGAAACTATGTTTGTTTCTTGGATATCACAAGTTTAATATCAAGTCCTCTTCTTTTCTGTAACAAATCAAGTTCAGGTCCAGAAAGGAAAACCTTGCACGTGCCCTGGAGCATGAAGCAAATGGAAATTCCTCGGCTGCTTATGAGTGCTATCAGAAAGCTGTAGACATTTCACCTTCTATTGCACATGAGTTGATACAGGTTACAATCATTTTTTTTTCTAATAAAACGAATTTATATTTTCTTTATTTCCTTGCTGTGTCAATCTCTTTGAACTGGAGTTTTTCCTACCATGGAAGGTTCTGAGGCAGGAGAATGTCGATTACGTTGTTGCTCCTTACGAAGCCGATGCACAGATGACGTTCTTGGCTATTACTAAGCAAGTTGATGCGATTATCACCGAAGATTCTGATCTTATTCCTTTTGGCTGCCCAAGAGTAAGCTCTCTGTTACACTTTGCATCAGACATTTGCAGTTCATCTATATATCTCTTCTTCTCTTTACTGGTAGAGATAATGCCAATTCTTTATCTATCCCGGTGTATAATTATTGCTGCCTTGAATCGTCAATATTTATGTCGCAGATCATCTTTAAAATGGACAAGTTTGGTCATGGTGTTGAGTTTCAAGCCTCCAAGCTACCCAGAAACAAGGAGCTCAGCCTTTCTGGATTTTCAAGCCAGATGCTTCTCGAGATGTGCATATTGAGTGGCTGTGATTATTTGCAGTCACTTCCAGGAATGGGACTCAAAAGAGCTCATACACTCATAACAAAGTTCAAAAGTTATGACAGGGTACGCATCCTTTTTTCACTTGGTTTTATCTTACAACAAGGAATTTGGTAAAGGAAGAGTATGATTAATTCAAAACCTGGATACTTTACCACACATTAGGTTTAAATTTTCCAGCATTAATCCTATATCCATAACTCTGGAAATCTTTGTTCCTTGTATGATGTTTGTGGTTGATTTGCTTTTAGGTAATTAAGCACTTAAAGTACAGCACAGTTTCAGTTCCTCCTCTTTATGAAGAATCATTCAAGAAAGCTATGCTGACTTTTAAGCATCAACGGGTCTATGACCCAAAAACTGAAGATAGTGTACACTTGTTTGACATATCTGAAGACCTTGGCGATGATTCAGATTTTGTAGGCCCATATCCTTTGAGACAAGTTTTTTTTATTTTAGGCCTCCATTTATCAAGAATGATTAAAAAAAAAACAATTTACTTGATTCCTTAACGTTATTCACATCGATGCCACAACATATTGCCAAGGGTATAGCACTGGGCCAGCTTGATCCGTTCACACAGCTGCCGTTCCAGGTACAATACGCTGACTTCTTTATGATTCTAATCTCTCTTTCCCTCCCGGTGATGTTTTCTTGATTTGTTGTCTTGTTTTCCTAAATGTATAGGCCGAGAGTGTTACTCCTAAATTGGCTGTTGATGATGGTTCCCGTCCCAAAAGTTTCAAACCTGAAAATCTGAAGAAAAAGCTTGATTTGCCAGTTCAGAAAAACCTTCTCACCAAGTATTTCTGTATCCTTCAGTGTTACATCCCTTATCTTTTACTTTTTAACAGTTTATTGCATTTTAGAACTTGGTTTAGTAAGATATCTTCTTGATCAAGTACGTCCTGTATATATTCTAGAGTCTATATAGCTGTTGACAGTAGCAATTTGTTTGATCTGGACTTGTTGTTTTTCACTTAACGTCTAAAGGCTTTGCATCTGTTGAGGCAAAAAGAAAATTCAAGGCTCCGAGGATATCACCAATGTCTCTGACCCCAACAGAGGAGTCTCCAAGCACTCCTGAGGATAATGCAACAGATGTGGATGCTCCTTCGAGTCAGACAACAAATGATTCCCCGGTTTACTGCTTGGTAAGACACTACAAGAACCACATTTGAGTTCTCGGAAGTCGTAGCACAAGCTCTAATCTCTTAATGTCTTTAGGGTGAGAATACTAGCAAAGTTGCAGAAAAAAGAGAGTCACCCGACGATGGTACAGTTCCCCAAAATTCGAAAGAAATTATACAATAATGAATTCGAAACAAATTATACTGTAATGAATTTCCAATCCTGACTCATCTTTTACGTGTCACAATCTTTTAGATGCAATGGAAAGGAATCACAAAGACCTTGATCATAATTACGTCGAACCGCAAGTGGAGAGGCCGAAGACGGATGGTTTGAATGTTGTAGTAAGAAGCAAGTATTTTAAGCAGAAGCAGGAGGAAAAAAGGCTTAAACAATCGATTCCATATCTCAAGGATTGCTCTGTGATTGGTCAGAGAGAGACTGGTAAAACTGTGATTAACAAGTCAAGCGCATCGGGAAGAGAAGAGAGTGTCAGAGAAGCGAGTATCTCCGCCATGAACGAAGTAGCTGAGAGAACAACAAACGTCCACGAGATAAACCACAAGATCGATAAAGAAGAACAGAGCCCATCTGTTGAGATCCTTTCCGCCTTTAGTTCTCCCGAGAATGTTACACCTCTCTCTTCCATTGCTACTAATGGTTTTCGTGGAGCTCCAACAGGGAAAAGGAAGCTTGACTCAGATGATAACCTTCAGAAGGTTAGATATTAATGTTCAGTTAGGCCATGTTCATATTATCCCCGCTTATGATATCATCATTATTCAAGCCATTTACTAACATTTCTAACTATTTCAGGAAAATTTGAACCCCAAGCGCATGCGCATGGACGAAACCGATCCTGGTAATTATAGGAATGCTTGCCCCTTAAAATACTTGAATGCGTATAATCGTTATATAGGCGATGGTACTTGGACTAAATGGTTTTTTGTGCTGTACTATTCTGTGAAGCTGTAAATGCAGAAGCATCATTTGAAACCGAAGATGTTGAGAAGTTTGGATCCAACATTTCACACATAGAGCATTACTCAGAAATAGCAGAGAAATCAGTGGAAAGATTTGTCTCAGCTATATCATCTTTCAGATATTCTGGATCTGGCTCTCGTGCTAGCGGTCTCCGTGCACCTCTCAAAGATATCCACAACTCTTGTCCGTCCAAAGGGTGAGCATTTTGACCTCTCACAGTTTACTGTCTTCAACAGTTTTTGGTGATTGATGCAGTAGTCTCAGAGAGATTTGTTTGTTTACTTTTTGTTTTTCTGGGTTTTCTGTCAAAAAGGTTATCTCCTAAACTAGACTTCAGCAAGTTTGGTTATGCAACGAGCAGCGTGGCAAAGTCAAGGCGATTGTGAGCTCAGATTTGTAAATTAACCAACTCTATAGTTCAAAATGTGAGAAATTTTATCAGAAGCAAAGGCTTTTGCTAAACAACTTTTTGGTCGCATTATATTGTTGTTGTATTGTGTATCTCATAGCTTTTCACTACGCAGAGGTAGAACATTCTTGTTCATAGATTCATAGGTTGGGGAAACAACTTTCAACTTGTAATCTGCTGGAAAATTAGTTCTTTTGTTGATATTTTCTTGAGAAGTTACAGATCATTTTCATAACTGAAAGTTGCAGAGGTCCAAAAGCAATAGTGTTTGCAATAAATGTAAAACTTGGGCCAAAACTATAAACCTTTCAAGCGATTTATTGAGAAAAAGACAAGCTAAGTTTCCGTATCAATGATTTGGGATTATTTGTTTGGACACGTAATAAATTGGAGGGGAAAATTGTGGCTAGAAAGGTATGCACGTGAATGCGATGAAACATATCATTTGTATGAGTCCCAATCAGATTCTGACAGTTTCGATCATCCCACTCGAAGTTTCTGCTCTTCACACACACGTGGTCCAGTTGTACTTCCACGTCATCACACTTATATATTCCGTCCTTTTTTTTTTTAGTTTTATCTTTCTCTGTAAAAATTATTTTTACTAATTCATATACAAATCGGTAGTGACCGAGGATGTTGCAATGAGGTAATCCATAAGTTATGGACTGGACGGTAGATCCATAATCATTTCAGGTCGATGATCAAAACATGTTAAACTAGCCATCTTTTCATTGCTGGTTAACGCATAACCAAACTATTTTTTGAAAAAAAAGAACGTACTCTATTTGTTTAGTTTATTTGATATGAGCTTTAGCGACAACAACAACAAATGTTATTTGATATGAGGGTCGTTTTGGCCAAAAAAAAATTGATATGAGGAATAAGAATGGCCATTAAAACTATATCTTCATAATAGACATCACAGGACGATAACATTACATAGCACTTAACATTAGAACCGAACAAAACACCAAAATTGTATGCATATATATTTGTGGGATATCTGATTCTATTTTTCAATAATATAATAAAATGCTGTTTATTCCTTTGCTATATTGAACTGTTGTTGACACATGAGAGTCATGAATTGTTGTTAAGTTAAATGTTTTTTTTCTTTCTTTTTGAGATGATAAATCACGCTATAATTGCATACAACTTTCTTGGTCTTTTCTCCCTTGATAAATGACAGACAGGGGGAATTTTATGCAATTATAGTGTGACCTATTATTTTCTTGTCGGTTTTATAAAATAAATATTTTTAAAAAGCATGATTGGTTAGAAGAAGAAAAAAAACTGATCATAAGAAAAATACTGTTAAAGTATAAAAACCGTGCATGCTAGATTTGAATTTAATATATTATGTTGAAGGATAAACCAATATAACCGTGCATGTTCTTGTAGATTTGAGTATATAAATATCGCCCCTCGAATGTGAAAAACAAGCTTAAAAGTTTACATATTTTATATATATAATGTACATTAAATAATTTAGTCAGTAAGAAAGTTAATGGATAAGAACATGGCTAGATGCATGTGCCGTCGGCTTATAATCATGTCAAAGTATGTCCACGGGGCGCTCAAATTCCAAAAGGATGGCTACTAAGAAAATTAATTATGCCAAGATCTTAATCATCCCTTATTATAAAGTCAATAAGCATTGTATAATTGATTTCCATATCATTTTATTCTCCGGAGTATTTGGTTAAGAACAGAAGAATTTATTTAATCAAGTTGTTTTCTTCACAAGTATCAAGTTTTTATTTCTACTACTGCATATCCGTGCCAAAAAAAGGTTTTAATATTGATGCCATGTACTATATAATTAATACTCCTATCAAAATGACGAAATGTCATGTATACTGAACTGAGTTAATTAAAAGTAATGCTTATTTTCTAGAGTTGATGTCACCGGCAAGAAATGTCTCTTTCCCAATCAATTAAAACAGAACAGCTGGTTCTGTTCATCTTTTGTCCTCATCTCCATTGGAGAAAATTAATATATTCCAACTTCTGCAGAGATCTTCATAATACATTCCTTTTTTTTTAATCACCCATCACAACAACACATTTATATATATACATATACAACAAATCCAATTTCATCAGTGCGAGAAAAGAGTTGATGAACACCGAAATTCAATTTCTGCATAGAACAATTAACTTGATTTTTTTTTTCCTGTTACCATTGAGCAAAATCAAAATTAAAATATTAAATAAACAAGGAAATAAATGTTCTTTTTTGACATTTTCCTTTTGATCTTCAATAAAGTAATTAAACTAAAAACAATACGAGACCGCTGATTTCTTCCGCAGACGAACAAAAAAATTGGAAGACGAAAAATTGATAAATCCGGTATCGGTACGAATTTAAGCCTCCAAAAATCCGGTTAACCTGAGAACCGAATTACGAACCCGGCTCAGATCTCGTCCTTTGAGAGTCCTTCCGTTACCAGTACAAACGGAAAACGCCATTTGACTTCCTTCGATCCTCCGTCCAACAATCAGATGCGGCGGAATCATTTTCCTTCCTCCGTCATCGGAATAGTCCTCCTCAGAGTACCTGCGCATCATATTACCGGGTATATTCATCGGAAGTGAGGTCGAGAAAGCCGCTGGTGAAGGCAACGGCGTCGTTTTGCTCCGTCTTGATTTGTTTCTCACTCTTTCGGAGTTTTCCCGGAAATCAACGGGGCGATTTTCTTTCTCGATCACGTCTTCCCGCTGGCGAATTGGAAAGAAACTGTCAGAGAAAATGATCTCAGATTCGTCGAATTCTTCCGACATTTTCCAGAAGTCAGGTGGTTTTTAGGTTGTGTAAGAAGAAAATGGAAAGGGGTTTTGAAATTAAGGGTTTTTTGGGGGGGTTTAATCGAAATTAGATTAGATTGGAGAACAGTGGAAGAAGAGAAGAGAAACGAAGGGTTTATATAGAGGAAGAAGAGAGGAAACGTAGAGAGTACTCAAGTTTCTTGTGTCTTATGCGATGATGTCATCATAATGGCGTTGAGTGCGGACCCCGCTTTACTTTCCACATTTATATACATTGTATGTATATGTTTTGACACTTGGTTTAAAATTTAATTATTTTTTAATTTTCATTTTTGTAAGACTTCAAAATATAGTACCATTACTATCTTTTCTATATGTATATGTTATAAATGTAGATCGAGGGTTCTTATTGGTTTGAATCCTTCTTCATCTTCTTCTTATTTTCTTGACTATTACATTTGACAAATCTTATCCGTAGAATGTTGATTTCAAAGTCTTATAGTCATTGCCTCATCGGATACTCGGTTTGTTGATCATATGATTTTAAATGTTATACTTGATTCTTATTAGCAGTCTTATTTCTGGAAACAAGCATATACTATCTACTACCCATACCATTCATTTTTATATAAAATAAGTTTTGTTTAGAATAAACAAAATTTTAACATTATAATTTTCTCTTCGGATTTGTATATTTTATTCTTTTAATTTATTATTGGCTGATACATTTTAATTTTATTGGTTCAAAATTTAAAGAGGATTGAATTACTTTTAAATATAATATAAGTATTTTTTTAGTAAGCAGAAAGCTTACAGTTTTTACTTGCTGAAATAATTGGTTTTTAGTTTTGTATACTGATTTGTTATTGTATTACAAATTATAAGAATTGACTTGCTGGAATAATTTGGTATAAAATTAATTTTGATTTACCAAAAGTGAATTTTCTCTTTGAAAATTTTTTAGGTCGGTTCCCCAAAAGTTCGAGTAAAAATGAAACATTTCTATTTATATTTCCAAGATTTCATATTACTAACTTATTTAGATAAAATCATTTTCCTTAAGATTTCTTGCTGATTAATGAATCACCACATCGACGACAAAAAAAAAAAAATACTCCTTTTTCGTTCTCGTCGATGTAATACTTCTACTTTAACTTTATATTAATATCTTAAGAAAAAAAAAGCGATAGGTTCAGACTGATTGAGGGATAGAATTGTATTAATTAGAAACTTGGAGTTATACTTTTGAAGTGTTTTACTGAAAAAGGAAGCTAGGTGTCTGCGTGTCCTGACATATCAGTTTCCGTTTCTTGTGGCCCACGTATTGTTTCACATTATTGTATCTCGTTATTTCAATTTAGTAGTAATATTTTTCCCAACAGAATATACCAACGTAATTTTTTAATAATGTATAAACTTAGCGTGAATTCTTTGAACTGTTTTGGGCAGTGGTCCAGTTTATGTTAATCAAACTACTTTTTTTTTTAATGTTATCAAATTACGAAAAACGAGAAAGCTTTCTAGTAATACATAATTTATTCTTATTCAAAAAAAATACATTACATAATTTATTTTATTTTTATAAATCTTGGTAACTTTATAATTCATTATTAAGTAAAAAAATAATTTTCTTCACATTTTTATTCATTTGTGGAAATTAATACTGTGTTCAAAATGATATATATATATATAAATATTTTTAAAAAATTTAAAATAATACTTTTTAAAAAAACCATACAATAATTGTTTGCTTTGATGAAATTTCTAGTAGTTGAACAAAAGAAATATTTAGTATCATCTAAGGAAAAACGAGTTTGATCGAATAGGGAACTTGGGTCTAAATTTCTTTTAAAATATGTGTTTGTTTGCATCTTGTGAATTTTCTCTATTGGATATTTGTTGACATGTTTTACTGCACCAAAATAACAATAACAATAGGTGAAGAACAATAAAAGTGCTGAAATGATCCGTTTTGTAAAATAATACTGAATAAGATTCTTTGCGTGCTCAACAATGACAACGCCACGAGGTTTTGTTTCTACCCTATCTCATCTCTTTCCAAGCCTTCAAATTCATATTTTAACAATACAATACATGCAAATAATTTAGGAATTCCCAATACTATCATTCAAATGACATTGATTGATACTATTTTTTTCAATTAACACCGATTTGAACTATTTGGGAATGAATGAGTTGTACCATTTATCCTATATATTAGAATATGTTACAAGTTATAATCCATAGAAAATCCTAAACACAAGTGATGGAATTGTAGTGGTAATCGTTTTATCAATACCCGTTTTGTTTCTTTCAAATTATTATTCAAAGTTCTCGGTTTTGAAAGCATTGCATGGATATATCGAGTAATTTAAAAGGATAATAAGCATAGATAGATACATCAAACTGAACAAGAAAAGGTAGATGCGGCAAGTAAGGAAGTCCTTAGAAACAAAACATCTAATAGCGTTCTAATTAATTAACAAAAAAGGAGAAGAAAGTGGATATACTTTTGGAAGTATTCATAAGTCAAACTGTAGATTGATAAGAAAGATAATTGGTTAGAGAATGGAAAGCTTACGACTTCTCTTCCAATAAAACAAGAAACACACATGACACAACCATAATCAGTTACATACCAATATATATCAGTTGGTCAAATTACATACTTAAACCCTACTATTTCAGTTATGGGTTCAACTCATATTCTTTTTGGATAAATCATATAGATGCCAGCGAAAGTAGATTGACTCAGCTCAATTTGAATGCTTCTGCACCAAAATTTTAAGGAAATTGAATTTCATTTTATTCAAATACTAAGTACGAATGATCGTATCTCTATAATGTTGATAAAAAAAAGTAACGGTTAGTTTCCATAATACCGAGATAGTATTAGAATTATAAAAATGGAAGAGTAGATAAAAATATTAAAAACTTATAATTATAATATGTGAATGTAGTTTACCACAATGGAACAGTTTCTCATGAAAGAATTAAGTGACAGAATGAACTTACACTTTCTTCTATTGCGAATGAGCAAAGTGTTCTGAGTCCATCGTGAGAGTAAACTGTAGTATATTATCTAGCAAACTCTCTTATAGAGCCAATGTTAAACAGTTTACTATTAATAAAAATGTATATATATTACTAATAACAATCAAAACGACACAAATACGTGTACATGGATAATCCATTGATATCATTAATCCACAATGGTTTAGCAGCTGAAATTCAATCACTATTTCGCAACCAGAATTAGCTACAAAAAAAAAATTAAGAGAAAAGAGGCAAACTGATTCATTAAATTAGTCTGAAATTACGGTATTGTAGGCCGCGTCAATGGAAACCCTCATGGGTCCCGCTTTCCAAATCTATCTTGAAGTGCGATGAATTTTGTGAACCAAACACGTGTTACGATTACGTCATCTCAAACAAAGACGGATCTCGGAGTTTATTTATTACTTCGATTGACGGGACTCTTTAACATCTCTGTACTTTGTCTTCTCCTACGTGGCAACTTTTAACTTTTTTGGAGTATCGGTGTGTGACGTGTGTCCTAAATCTTCTTATTCGTGGATTGTGTGATAGTGATTACTTTGTAATAAGATTATGTTTCAAAATACTTTTTATGTGGATAATCTCAGTCACATATATATTATATAATGTATTTTTCGATTTTCTTACACTTTCACTTTGATATGTGAATTAGTCGCCACTGAGTTATTTGAAGCTATAGAATGATTACCAGGAAATAAAAACACTACTTTAGGAATATTCTAAAAAGAAATTATACATCAAATGGTTTCTGTTTTTTTTGTGTTATTTGCTAATGCAATAACTCTGATGTTTTCTTCATATACGTCTTAAAGATGGTGAAATCGACTTCAATGTCATGTATAGAGCTCTGAGAAAGAGAAGATGCCAGAAGAGTCGGGAATCAGTTTCGTTTCTTTGGTTAGTTTGCCATTTTGAGCCACGTTATTATAATATGCTATGGTGGACACCTGTATGGCTGTCACATAGATTTATATACTCAGATAAGCATGCACTTATATTTTCTCTAGAGTGTGGGTTTAATTATATTGAGAAGAAAGCATAAGTAATTTCGTTCAATGTCTTCAAATAACAAATCAGATAAGACGAGTTGAAGATTTTTTTGTGATCACACACGTGTACATATATGTATTCCCCTAAGCATATGTTATCTATTATGTATATATTCGTGTATTATTTTATTATATAGATATTGTAGTAGAGTCAATGTTGTGTTGCCTGCAAGACGACCCCCAATTTGATTTGATATATGAGGTTGCTTGCCGTAAGTTATTGTTAATACCAACGTGAAAGTCAACCGGCAATGTAAACAACACGAAATATGCTAAATTTAATTTCTTAAGTTTATGGAATTGTCCAATGATTGATGTTTATTCTTAGGATTTTGGATTCTTTTATACTAAGGAACGTAAGTATCAGATAATCCAATAACAAATGATCTGGAAAAGATGCTAATCAATGGAGCTACTAGTTCCCTATGACCTGATTCGAGTTTTTCTGATGACAATAATACATTTGAATCCGTACTTTGATTCGCTAATGCTTAATTCAACCGCTGCTTCCAAAAATATATTTGTTTCTTATTGTTATTTTTGTTGTTGCTAAAAGAATGTAAATTTATACGTAATAAGTTCTTGGTATGCCATGCTTATATTATTCTAAAGTTCCTCATATCAATAAGAAAGACACGACATTGAACTTCGAGTTTATAATTTTAAAAAATTGTACATAAGGGTACGTATAATATGAAATTTGTTAAAAAGATAATTTTATTTTCCGTAACCAGAACTTTGCTTCATACATATTCTATACATCTAAACATGCTTTAAGCCTTTAACTCATCCAAATATTCAACCAACAATGTGTTAATGTAATTTTATTTATTTATTTATATAGTTCACAATAAGAACAAAGAAAGTCTTTGTTAACCTCATGTGTTGTTTGAGTCCAACAGTATTTTTCTCTGCGGGATTTCCTCGTACACATGTGCGGTTAATGTTAAATAAACTGACACAGTGTTTCTGCAAGTCTTGCAAGATTTGGACTAAAATGTATGATTTTATGACGAAATAGCCCATTAAAGAAGTCTAGCCCAAAACGGCCCAATTGTATCCGATATTTTAATCGCCGAGGTTGGCCTGGATTATCAATGAAGATACTGAGTAATAGCTATTAGCGATGGTCCAAATTATTTACTTTAAGTTGGAGAAAGACAGAAAAGCAATCCATCAATTCACCAATGTATATAGTTTGAGATGAGATAATTCTTTATTCAGCAATTTATTTTGATATTCCATTTAATGGATAGTAATGTAGAGTATAATTGTAAATGTAGTATCTATAAGTTAATCAATGTATTTGTTACCTAAAACGGAATGTGAGAGAAAATATCAAAAAAAAGAACTCAGAAAATTGAATCGGAGTTGTTTAAAATGGTAGCTACAATTTTAATTAAAGAAATAAGGTGCCATATCTGTATTTATTTCGTCACTTTTGAACTCTTTGCAATTTGATTACGGCTGATTAGAGTGTATGATGTAAAATAAAATTCGTTACCAAATTCTAAAACGTTACTAATCGATCGTTCCTTAAGCTTGTTTCTGCAAAATCATATAATCCAAATTCACATGTCCAATCAACTCTATAAATGTACATGTTCTTGTAAAACAAAATTAAATACAACATTGTCCCGACAGAGCACTATGGCCTGTAATTGTCTTTTTTTATATATATATCAAAAGCAATCAATTTTCGAATGATAGATATATAATGAGTCCAGACGATTTATTACAAAACCAACATTTTGGGATCAATAATGTCATGCAAATCGGTTCGATAAATATTTGTCTTTAGAGTGAAGGTAAAGTAAGCAAAATTTTTATAGTTCTTAATTTTCTTCAAAGTTTTGTTGATGTACCTCATTATATGAGCTAATAACATACAAGATACTATTATACCTCGAACTTACAATTAGCCGTTCTTATGATATCGATATAATTTCTTGAAAAATAGATATCCGAAATAATTGGTCATTAATCTAAAATGATCTGTCGTATAGCTGCCAGACAATGGAGAATTTTTTTTTCGAAGATAGAAGAGCACATAAATTCATCAAACATCGCAAACTATTACATTAGTGAATTTTTAAAGAAAATATTTGCAGATAAACATGGACCGTCAACGTCTTGATAGATTTTTTTTTCTAAAGCAAGAGCACGTTCCTCACTAACTCAGTTCTTGTTGACATTTTCGTTACCCTACAGCTAAACTCCCAACCAACTTTCATTAATTGCAGTTCCAACTCATTAGGCAAAAAATGCAATTAGGAACCAATTAATCTCAACCTTTGATTCCGTAATAGTAAGACCAATTTGGGTGCCAGTACAACGTGAAATAAGGCGTGAGCGACAGTTGTAAATAAAAATAAATAGAAGTAGCATTAATTAATTAAGAATCCAACAACTATAATTTTCTTGGTTAACAAACTAAGAATATTTGAGTTGTAAATTTGACTGATAAAAATTAAATCCGTGACGCATAAGCTTTCATATAAGATAATTTTTTTTGTGGGTGAAATGTAGAATTATGCATGTACACTTATTCATCACGCATGTACACTTGGCCACAGAAGGTGTTGTTTGTTCTTGTTTTCAACGTTATCATCCTGCCAGCTAACAGTTTTGGAATACACTTGGTTCAAACTCGGCTACACATGACTTGATAGGCGATTCACTTTCGTAGCTCCATGAACTATTTTATAAATGCAATGTCCAAAAATGAACATATTATATTCGTGACGGCATACGGATCGTGATCGATCCTCTCACACGTACATTGCTCTTGTTATCTAACCTAATTTCTCCTTTTAAAGAAATATTTGTGGGTTTAATTAACTTTTCGTGGATACACATAGCTCTCAGCTTGCGGAAGAGGGAACTAATCGCTCCACAGTTAGACCAAAATTGATTGGACTCTTTACTGCAAGCACTATAACTATATGGCCACGTTAATAAATCTTGTTACAATGCCATTGACGTTAACGTTTAATTAGTACGGTCACGTTAATAAATCTCACTACAATGCGATTGACGTTAACGTATGATGTTACTGATAACCACAAAAAAGTTCAAAATGAAAATAACTAAAAAGAAAAGAAGGTTCAGTTGAACTCCATAGTTTGATTATACTTTTTTGCTTCTATATCTTTCGATTATTGATGGGTTCACAAAAAAGTTTGGATAGGTGTAGCATACTTCACCACTCTTTACTATTATGTCGGCTTCTGTCCGCACACCCTACGTAATATAAAAATATTTATTTATTACTACATTTTATATATCTTTTGTAAACATATTTAACACCTTAATATGCTATTGGTCGTATATCGATTCACTGAATAGAATGGACAATCTAATAAAAGGAAACGAAATTTTGCTATTTTAAACTTTACAAGGTTTTATGGCAAGCTGAAACATGATTATTTTTATAAAATATCATACACAGTCTTATTATTAATTAAAAGGTTACACCTGTATATCTGATTTTCTTCTACAAATATTCAATCCTGCATGTTAAATAGAATGGTCAGTATAACTCGTATCTACATATTTGTTGATGTGTTACTTATTCAAATGACCGGTAGCTACATTTAACACAGTTGCCTATGTTTGAAGTTTTGTTACTTACGAGTCAAATTTCTTTTTTCGTTCCTTGCTTTGATTGGTAGTAGTTTGTTCTGCGTAGATATATATCTTGCAAACTGTATATTATTTTGTCTATCAGCAAACAACATAAAAATCTACATATATAATAATTTCACATGCATTTTTATGTAGAAAGTTCTTATTTACCAAGCCTAGCAGGCTAGCACATATAAGTTTACTGTACATATGCGTGCGAAATTCCTCCGACTCTACTGCATCGTTGAGACTATTTTCGCCACTTTGATACTTCGAAATAACTCAGCCACAACGATAACAATCAATTGTGAAACAGAAACTATCTCGAATGTAACCTCCTTTGCTTTTAAGTTTTAAGCCCAGACATAAAATATTACGTACCATTTTCTAGAATGTGTATATATTCGTATGATAAACGAAAATGCTTTGACCAGTTCAGCATTACTACTTTTTTTTTTTTATTGAGAAAACAAAAATCAGTAATTCTCCATGTAAATATATATACGTTGGGTCTGTGTGGCGGCTACTAAGCAGTGGCTCGTTTTGATTATTACATGTCAAGTAAAGTTTTCACAAAGAGTACGCGTGAAATTAATGCCCCAACCTAACTCTCTACTCACTTACTTTCCACTCTTTCCAATTTTAAAATCGAATCTTTAAAATCAAATAATTAGTATGTTTTTGTACAGGGAAAGACTCCAAACTCCACCAATTATACAACCAAGTTTTTAACAACTATTATTTTAGTACTCATCAGTGATCAGTCAATGATCCAGAGCGCGGTCGATGATCCAAACTATTTGTTGACCATGCTCAGTGCTATATATAGTTATTTTATCCGACTATGAAAATTTCGAAGTCGTGGGGACTTACAATTTGAAATTACGTTAAATATTCTGAATTTTCACAATCTATCAGTTTTATAAAACATAATGTCGTTCGTAACCGAGTTAAATCAGAGTTTTCTTGAAGTACCCTATTTAATATTTAGTTCATGATAACCAAGAGTCCAAGACTAGTTCTTAATACATGATATAATTATCAATAGCACGGTTTTCAGTATTACAAGAATCATTTAACAATTAAATACACTTTGGAGTTAAAAAAAAAAAAATTTACGTGCCAGACGATAGGATCAATCGTGTTTAAAATATTATATCAAAACCATCGCGATCAATTTCTTACAACGAAGTAATTTGGGAAACGACAAATCCATTTACCAGGAAAATACATCTGACAGAACTGTTTATTCTTTCTTTAACCACGTAATGTCTTTAACTATAGTTGTCTATACGAGAGATCAAAAGATATAAAATGTATTTATATTGGACCCACACCGATCATAAAACAAAGGATGCCACAAAACTAAATTATAGAGCTAAAAAAAAAGAAAAGTTAATATAACACACTTACATTCTCCTACTCCATATATAGGCTCAAAACTCCTTATGGATTCTCACATTTCACAACCACCACTACTCCTACATTTCCCATTTTTTTAAAAGAAAAATATTATAGTTCCCTAAGTTTTTTTTTTCTGGTTTGTGATATCGATGGAGAGTTACTTGAGGAAATGGTGTTTGGTTTCTGTGCTGGTTTTGCTTTTAGGTTTAGGGTTTAAGGCAAAAGCAGATCCTCAAGTTCCATGCTACTTCATCTTTGGTGATTCTTTGGTTGATAATGGAAACAACAATCGTCTTATTTCTCTTGCAAGAGCCGACTATTTTCCTTACGGCATTGATTTGGGCCGCCCAACCGGCCGCTTTTCCAACGGAAAAACCACCGTCGACGAGATCGGTAAACCCTTAATTATATCGTTCCTTCTTGAAAATAAACAAAAAGATTTGTCTCGTTTTTGTCTCAACTAAACTAGAGTGAGACTGAAATGTTATCAACCAGAATCTAACAATGGGCTTTTTGACATCTCTTGTGATATAATGAAGCTGCGCTACTTGGATTTGATAACTACATTCCTGCGTATAGTAGTGTGAGTGGCCAGCAGATAATGCAAGGAGTCAACTACGCATCTGCAGCAGCTGGAATCAGAGAAGAAACCGGTCAACAATTGGTAACAAGAACAACATTTTGACAAACATCTCTCTGTTTCCGTTTAGTTTTTAACTTTTTTTTTTTTTTTTATTAATGTTTTGCTTTTGGGTATGAAGGGACAAAGGATAACATTTAGTGGACAAGTCGAGAATTATAAGAACACAGTGTCTCAAGTGGTGGAGATTCTTGGAGATGAGAATAGTGCAGCTGATTACCTTAGCAAATGCATCTACTCTGTTGGTTTGGGAAGCAATGATTATCTTAACAACTACTTTATGCCTAATTTTTACTCTACTAGCAGACAGTACACTCCCGAACAGTACGCTGATGATCTTATCAGCCGCTACACAAACCAGCTCAATGTAAGTTTCTATGAGACTACGCACTATGCAATAAGTCCTCTGTTTTGTTCCTTATCATGGGATGACCCATTTTATGATATTTAAGAGTAATTTGCGAGTCTATAGCGGCATCAGATATATCATGCAGATTATAATTTGGTCCAAATCAATATAAAGTTTGACGCTTAAGCCCTCTCAACGATACCCATTTAGTAAAAAAAGTAGCTACATGAACCTCACTTTGCTTATAAAGTTGTTCATATTTAGCTCTGTAGGAGTGGACCAATCTAGTTCAACCCTGAGAATACCTTCCTTATTTCACAATCTTCATTTGCGTGTTTATGAAGGCACTATACAACTATGGAGCTAGAAAGTTTGCATTGGTAGGAGTGGGAGCCATCGGTTGTAGCCCAAACGCGCTCGCAACAGGCAGCCCCGATGGAACAACTTGCGTAGAGCGTATCAACTCAGCTAATCGAATCTTCAACAGCAGGCTTAAGTCTATGGTCCAACAGCTCAACAACTATCACCCTGATGCTAAATTCACCTACATTAATGCCTATGGTGTTTTCCAGGACATAATCGCCAATCCATCTTCTTATGGTAAGTACACAAAATTTTATCTCAAGTCCATAAAAAAAAAGTTCGTCCCAAAGTCGATATTTTCTTGTAATTTTTACTAAAAATATCTTCTTGATATATATATTCAGGGTTTAGTGTTACGAACGCTGCATGTTGTGGAGTTGGAAGAAACCAAGGTCAGCTAACATGTTTACCAGGAGAATCCCCGTGCCCGAACCGGGATGAGTTCGTGTTTTGGGATGCGTTTCATCCAACGGATCGTGCGAACACGCTCATTGCGCAGAGATCCTACAATGCGCAATCTTCTGACGACGTTTATCCAATTGATATCTCTACGTTGGCACAGCTCTGAAAGGACAGAGAACAGGAGAGAGTTCTCAACAAAAATGTGTGATTTTCGACTTCTAAATACTGTTCTTGGAAAAAGATTCTGAAGTTTTATATGTTATAAAAACTGCAACCTCGGGTTCACTTTTTTTTTTTTTGATAATAATGTATACTCATCTAGAAGTTACGTTACTCTCAAGTCTTATATCCGTCAGTTGATCGTGTCATAATAAATGAAATTAGAGATTTACTGTCTAAATCTTTTGTGTAGTAAGAATAATCACCAAAAATAAACAGACTCACTGAAATTGAATCTAGAATTGTATCGGAAATAAATATGTCAAATTGTTAACCAAGTTTTGATAACTGAAATTCAATCCTTTCCTTCTTAGTTCATTATATTTAGTAATTTGATAAACTGTTATCAAAACGAATTTAAACCAAAATAAGTTTCGCTACAGTTTAATGATAAAACCACTATATCAAATTGCAAAGTGAGCAAGTGATCGAACCAAACAGAAATCGAATAATCCGAATGTCTGGAAGGTTCATAATTCTTCTCATCATGCGTAATATTACGTAATACATCTTTCAGTTCATACGAGGTCATGGAAGGCACGTAAGTACGTAATCTCTTCTCATCATTCGCAGTATTGCATTCTCTGATGTTGTGTTATATATGAAATCAAGCCCAAATAGTTACCAACCACTGCTTGATTGTGAGATATCAATCTCAAAACATGAAAACAATTAATGCATCTTGTTTTTTTTTTCCCTTAATTAATATACCTTGTTCTTTATATGACTTTATGATTGGGACTAATGACGGTTGAAAGATTGAATTATAAAGTCTTCTAGATACATCTTAGCTCGGTTTTATACCTTTACATCTAATCTAATACACCTAATTAAAAAATCTACGTATCTGTGTTTTGAAATATGACTTCTTCTTTGAAGTGAAAGAATATGAATTCATTTATGACCAAAAGCTTGTGACGAAAGCATTTAGTGACGAATTTAACAGTCACAAGAATGATTTAGGAACATATATATTGGCGCAGTCTATCCAATCTTTTGAATCTTGAATAATGTAGTACTGTATATGTTTGTTAATATATTTTCATATATAGAAGAGTATTTATACACATTATCATAAATTCGTATACGTACAATTCACAAGAGTTGCTTTTATTTTTAGCATTGATGTTCTCAATATTCACTTCTCTTTTTTTCAGGTATCAACATAGATGTCTGGAAACCTCATATTGGATCAAAACTAGTAAATTTGGTAGTGTAATCAGTAAACCACCAACTCGTTTGAGCTCGATCGGATCCTAAACAACGTTAATATCCAATATTTTTATTTGACACATATATAAATTCAGCATGTAACAAGTAACATGCAATGGTATAATATCATAAATGTGTTATTATCGTAAGCTAAAGAGTTTCACCTACGATCTTAAATGAGAAGAGTTGGAGGGGACATGGAAGCAGCACCGGCCTTGTTCAATTATGATATACAAAGTCTTCGATTTATTCACAAAAAATCCACTTTTTCATTTAATGCCCAAACCTAATTCTTCACCTGTTTTCTTTTCACCAATTCTCCCCTAAATAATTGAAATCTATTTAATTTTTTTTCTAAGATACATATATACACAACAAGTGACACCTAAAATACTATAACGACGTTTTCTCTTTCGTGTTTTTATATAAAATGATTTTCCAAATTATGACCAAGTTTGGATTTTGTACGCGGAGAAAACTCCACCGCTGGTCAACGGTCTCAGAAGCACAAGTGGCTTTGTCAAACTCAAACCTACTTGTTTTTCTCTCTCCTTTCAAATTATGCTTCAAAATATCTTGTTCTATTTTTTTTTGTCAATATGCTGCAAAATATCTTCTAAATTAGGTTTTAGACAGCTAATATCTTCGAACAATAATCGAAATTAATATTATGGTAAAAACAATATCAAAGGTATGGTATGACTAAAAAAAGTCTTTGTCGAGAAGTGGTGATCGAAGTATCGTTCAAATGAATATACTCTCCAATATGTTTACTGATAAAATTAAAATAAAATTGTTATCCATTCAAGTTTTGCTTCTTTCATAGTTCATCTTAAGTTCCTTCAAATAATGATGATCTTTAATCTTTTGATCAATATCGATCGAATTGTCGGCACATATACGATTTAAACAATCGGAGAATTCCCTTGATAAACCTTGATTTTGTTCTATTAATGAAACAAAAAAGAAGAAAATAAATGAGACTTTTTTATTGGACCCACCAATCTTAAAGCGAGTAACCCTACAAAATTAAATCTAGTAGCGAAATCACAATATCACACGCATACCACTATATATACACAGACAACTTCTTTGGACTTCTTCGCATTCACTCGCATCAGTACACTTTCCATTTCCAATCTCTTTTGATCATCACTTCAATAGTTTTTTTTTTTGTCTTGAAATGGAGAGTTACTTAAGGACATGGTGTGTAGTGTTTGTGTTGTTGAGTATAGGTTTCAGTGTAGTAAAAGCACAACAAGTGCCATGTTACTTCATTTTTGGTGACTCTTTGGTTGACAATGGAAACAACAATGGTCTTGTTTCTTTTGCAAGAGCCAATTACTTCCCTTACGGCATCGATTTTGGCGGCCCTACCGGCCGTTTCTCCAACGGAAAAACCACCGTTGACGAGATCGGTATGCGACCTTACTACAACCATATCTTCTCTATTCATAACACTAATTAAGTAGCTAAAGTTGTTGCTAATTACATAATCCATGTGATGATTAGAATGTTATTCATTAGTCCTAATCTAACATGGGTTTTGACCTTTCTTTGTGACGTAATGAAGCTGAACTACTTGGATTTAATGGCTACATACCTTCGTATAGCGTTGCGAGTGGTCGGCAAATACTCTCCGGAGTTAACTACGCATCTGCAGCTGCCGGAATCCGAGAAGAAACCGGTCGACAACTGGTAACTAAACATTAAAAAATTTCTCTCAACATTACTATTCATAAATCAAATACTAGAAAAGTTCCAAGAACTATTTTTAATTTTTTTTCTTGAAAATTAAAGGGACAAAGGATAAGCTTTAGCGGGCAAGTCAGGAACTACCAGAACACGGTACGGCAGGTGGTGAGTCTGCTTGGAGACGAGACTCGTGCGGCTGATTACCTCAAGAGATGCATTTACTCTGTTGGTTTAGGAAGCAATGACTATCTCAACAACTACTTCATGCCTACGTTCTACTCTTCTAGCAGACAGTTCACACCCGAACAATACGCCGACGATCTCATCAGTCGCTACAGCACTCAGCTTAATGTACTCTTTTCTCTCTGCTTCTGTGTCATTAGTTTTTCAATTAACACACATGCTGTGGCTAGATCTCTCGAAATTGACACATTTGGTGATAATCAGTTTTTTTTTGGGATTGAGTTTGGTCCGAATCTAGAAAAAAAGTTTCCATCTTTAGCTTTCCTATTATGGCCCATCTGGTGAAAATTCGACCATTTCAGTAGAAAATTACAAAATTAGTATTTTTCTTGTAGAAACTGAGGTCTAAAGATTTCGTGAGATCTGATTTTAGGAAGAAGATTTCAAAGGATGTGCATTCGGAGGCTTACTTGCTTCACAATCGTTTCTATTTTGGGATTTTGTGTAGGCACTATATAACTACGGGGCTCGAAAGTTTGCATTGATCGGAGTTGGCGCAATCGGGTGTAGCCCAAACGCGCTCGCACGCAGCCGCGACAGTAGGACTTGCGATGAAAGAATCAACTCAGCGAACCAAATCTTCAACAACAAGCTAAGATCCCTCGTTGATCAGCTCAACAACAATCACCCTGATGCAAAGTTCACCTACATCAATGCTTACGGCGTTTTCCAGGACATGATCACAAACCCCTCTAATTTTGGTACATAGTACATACACACACAAGATAGGTTTTGAGTTTCAATGTTAAAAGAAACCGAACTTGATACCGGTTTTGTCGGGAATGTTTTTGTTTCCAGGGTTTAGAGTGACAAACGCAGGATGTTGTGGTATCGGGAGAAATGCTGGTCAGATCACATGTTTACCGGGACAAAGACCATGCAGAGACCGAAACGCGTACGTGTTCTGGGACGCGTTTCACCCAACGGAAGCCGCAAACGTGATTATCGCAAGGAGATCGTACGTGGCACAATCATCTTCAGACGTCTACCCTATTGATATTTCAAGGCTTGCACGGCTTTGAAGAAACAGAGCAAAATAAGAACTAAAAAAAAAGTTCCACAAACGAATGTGTGATCTTCTTTCTTGTGTACCGCTCTTTTTCATATCTATCTTATTGGCATTAATCGAAAATCAAGCGCAACATTATATAAAATATATAACCCGGTTTCTATATAAACCGGTTCATAGCACATTGTTCACGGGAATTGAGCGTTACGTTTCATTTCCACAGTCACGGTATCGAGTACAAAACACTTACCATGTTGCTTCCAGTAATCTGCCATCGGATTGATCCACTCCGGTTCAGCTATCTCTGCTCTCTGGTTCTTCAATTCATCGGTCGAAGTGTTGTACTTCTCATCTCTGATCTTAACCAAGTCCGGCCTTATAACCCCTTGCCCCACCCCCTGTGGCGACATCATCAGTTCGGGTGCACCCATTGGTAACTTGTCACCTACACAAACACACACAAGAAAACCAATGACTGTTCTAACCAAACTAAACCGGGAAAAATCAAACGGAATTCACTGCTAAAAATTTCGTGATTATGTGTCTAAATGTTTTAACCGATTGATCGTTTAACCGGATAACTAACGTTTTATCCACTAACTGTTTACATCGAATTGGTCCGGTTTAGAGCCCATATTTGGATCAGAGACATACCACGGTCTATCTGCCAGGTGCACCAAAACTTTCCGTACGTTTTGGCTATGTTCTTGAGCTCCGAAGCAGCCACAACCTCAGGCAGCCGTGGATAAGCCCACGAACCGGATTTAACCTCGTAAGCGTGAGAGTGCCAAAGCTTTTGCTCATCTTGAGGCAGATTTTCGTATAACCGGTCAGATATTACATATTCAATTCCTGTAAAAATATCAAATTTATTATAAGCTTTCAAAAAATGTGCTTTTGATCTGAGTAAAAGAACACAGTACCGATGAGAGGTGCATCGGGACGGTCAGAGGCGTAAACGGCGCACTGGAGGAACTCGTCGTTGACTCGGTGGACGTAGTGGTGAGTCTCTATTTGCCGAGACATATCTCCACCGTAAATCGCAAACGTAGAGACATGACTGCTCATTTGCTTCACCGGTAACCTCCTCTGCATGATTGTCGTTCCGACATCAATCATACGCGACGAAAACGTCATCGGATCTCCGGGAGCCACCTGACCTTCGTCGCCGTTTGAAGCCATTCCTGATTTTCTTTCTTTTCCTCAATTTTGTGTTTTTTTTTTTTTAATATGGTATTATGGTTTATATCAGATTCTTTTTTCAGTTTGCAATTAGTTTATTAGATTCTTTATAGATGATTATGATACATGGCACGCAAATTTCATAGAAACGTGTCATGAAACGGCCGTACATCGACCATGTGTTTGAATCCGACTACAATTTACATCTCTGATTTAATAAAATCGTCTACAAAACCAAACCGGACCAAAACTTGAAAATCAACCAATACAAAACCAAACTAAAGTCGAACCAAACCGAACTGCACCAGACGGTTCTTAAAAGCAACCGAAAACATGTACAAGAAAGATTCGCTGTGCAAAGAATGCTGACGGAAAAAAATTTCCCGGCCGCCGGAAAAGCAAGGTCTCATCTAAAATTCTCAATAATTGAGCAACGAATACTTCACACGCAACACAATCTTACCTTTTTCAACGCCTAGCTTTGCTCCAGTCACAAGCCAATGTCCAGGCAAATCCTGTGGTCCTTTCAACATCTCCGACGAATCAACGATCTTAGCCAGTTTCCCTGATTGTCCCGACAAGTCCTCTCTCTTCTCCTCCGTCGAGGTTGATGTAGACGGACCTCCCGGTTCGACTCTCCCCGTGGAAGCAACCGGAGTGTGGTCCCAGACAGACCGTCTTATCGTGCAACCAGGGACTTTGGAGAAGAGTAGTTTCAGGTGCAAAACGTTCTTTGATCCGAAATCCCAAACACCTAGCTGAGCTCCGGTGACAATGTGAACCCCCGAGAGATCTCCAATGTGGGTCTCCGTGTGTTCGATCGGCGATGTGCTTACGTGTGAGAAGTTCTTCCATTTGATTGGCTCGAACCAACGGCTATCTTGCTCCTCTGGTCCTTGCCATTTCGGTGCACCTATTGGCACGTGAGAGTCCCAATGTGGCTGCAAGATTTTAGGGAGAGACACTAAGTGCTGCAAATGGATAGAGAGACGGTTCAGTTTGCTTCCTTCTAAGCTTAGCCTGAGACCTGTGACCGGTTTACGCCCAACAGTTACCTGAAAATACCCAATATGTTCAGTTTATCCATAAACCAAACCAAAAGAATCGACCGGTCTGTTGTTTACCTGGTCAGCGCTGATGAACAGCTTGGGACCCATTAAGCTGAACTGAAGAGATTGACACACAGGTTCTTTCCGTTGGAGGTTACTCTGTTCAGGAGCCCAAGCTCGAGCTATTTGGAAATCCAAGAAGTACTGTAAATCTTCGATAGGAGGCTTATCTGATAAAAAGACATCACGATAAGTTTATGTTTATGAGAATGTACAACAGGTTGATTCGAACCGAATGTAAAGAAGTGTGCTTTTTTCAGAATAGAAACTCACATTCCAAGTAAAGTTCGATAGCACGAGTTAAATGCCTTAGACCAGGGACACCTTCGAGGAGAGAAACAATGGGAGTAAACGTCATGTTGATAATATCTGGAGCTGCGGGTACTGTCTCAGCCCATCGAGCATGGCTTTGTTCAAGATCGTCGCCTCCTCTTCTCCTAAATATTACTGTGATATCCTACAGGAGAGAGCTTTTTCAGCTAAAAAAAAATATTTTCATGAAATCCGTTAAAACAAGGGTAATCTCGCCGGCCATATCCCGTGACGTTTTCACTAACCTTGTCTTTGTATTTAAAGGGGCCAGTCATAGATTGACTCTCTGCTTCTTGAAACCTGTGCTCCGTCACGTCATTGACATAGTTCTCGATTTCAGATACCGGTAAAGGAGAAGACTGATGCTGTCTAATGTAAACCACGTCTCTTCCACCAATCGTCACCGAAGTTACAATGTGAGTCCCGTAATTTTCGATAAAGCTGTACCAAAAAGTGTGAACAAGTGGAGAAACCACATCAGAATCATGGTAAATGTCATCACAAGGATCACATACAAGTTCAGCTTCCATAATATATAGCCACATATTATCAAGACAACAAGAGGAATCTGACTCTCAAGTTAGTTCCTTAATAGTTCCACAGTTGTGAACCTTTGATGCCATGTTCATATATAAACAAGACCACAAGATACAGAACTGCAGAAAACAGGAGTATACCTAGCTAACGAAGCAGGATCCCACGAGGAAGGAACGGCGCGTCTAATCTCATTGCGCAAAACCAATGTAAGCTTTGCCAGTTTGACTTCATAAAGCGGAATGAAATATCCGACCAGTGCAAGAGATTTCGTGGATGCTGCATCGACTTGCCAAGAGCCCGTGTAATTGAACATCGCGTTAAAGCATCCAAGTGGTATGTTCCCTTTTACACCTGATCTCTCATTGAAGTATTCTGCCATCTGCCAAAAGAGAGAGGAAAAAAAAAAACTAAGAACCAAGACACCCAAGAACACAAATGCAGCAATTGTCACAGTGAAGTTAAAAGTTCAATGTAGAAAGCTTCCAAATTTAGAAAAAATCCAAAGTTAATTAGGAATGCTATAAGCTAGTGGTTCCACAAATATCAGATCAGGTATCATCTATAACTGTAGATATGTAATCAGCACAAAGACCTAAAAAGGGTTAAATGTAAGAATGGCATTTATAAACAATCAGGACCAAGAATCTTATCTTAAAACAAAAAAAAATTGGGGGAAAAGTTCCGAAAAAAAGATTGCAATAAAATGGCGAAACAAATCACCTGGTGGAAGCTGCAGACAGGGATTCTCTGTAATCTACTGCTGCCTCGTGAGCACTCGATATCAGCAGGGACATCGGGAAGAAGATACCCATCGGACAATTCAAGATCTCTGTTTTGTCCTTCTTCGATACGAACAAGCCTTGACCCAGGAGCTCCTTTGCAGTACAGAAGCCGAACATCGGATGTAACATCGAAACCACGACCTAAAGCTTGGATCGCATTGCGAAGCGTCGTGGTCAAAGCTTCCGAGCTCGACACGGTCAAGTTTCCTCCTTTGCGATTATTATCCATTCGTCACACAGAAGAAGATTAAAGAATAAAACCCGAAAGACTAATCTTGAATGGCGATGACGATTACAAACTCATCTAGGGCTCGTGAGTTTATGTGAGGAAGAAGAAAGAGAGTTTTTTTGAGCTTTCGATTTAGCCTCTCACCAACACCATTACTGGTTTTGACTCCAATAATCGTAGAAACCGCGTTTTGAGATTTTATTATTTTTTGTGGTTTTTTTTTCTCTTTCTCTCTCTATCTTTCTTCTGTGTGATATCAAGAAGATTCCTAGGTTGACTGGTCTTTTTCTTTGTTGCTAATTAGATCCTTTCTTCATTTCCGGACAGACAAATTCTTTGACTTTCTGTTTTAAAATTTTCCCTTTTTTCTTGGGCTTCCAATATCATGTCTTGTTCTTCAAATTTAGCATATGCTTTTCTTTTTCGAGGAATATACAACATTTTACTAGTAAAAAAGTTTCCTCCAAAATATCAATGATTAAAATCTGATAGTTTAATCGACGAGGAGACTAAAATCTAAATAACAATGAACTAAATTTGTAAGCTTCAAGATTCTTTTACCTTCAAAATTTACTGTGGAAATGAGTGTTCCTTTTCTCAAACACATTTATATTTTTGTTCTGTTGATTATTCTTTCATTATGTAAAATGCATCCTCTTCACTTGTTGAAGATTTTGAATTGCCAAATCGGATTAAGCACTTCTGCGTTGTTTCCTGATTTAACTTATATGCGTATTACCGAATGTCTAATACGATGTTAATTGTATCTGATGCAAAAAATACTGTTTTCATTTCTCTGTTGAATTCTTTATTTGTGAACTTTGATGTAAGTTGAAAATTAATGGTGGAAATATAACGACAATGCGTAATATATTTACATCTTGTTGTATACAGTATACTCATTTCCTCATGTCCACCATTCGTTAACTTTCTACATGTCTGAAGATGGAGCCAAGATCTCTAACGGCACGCCTGGTATAGGTTCCAACACTTGAGCTTTTGGGACTTCTCTTGACAATAATTCCTGCATCAACAAATCAAACATCGAACCATCATCACCATTATTGATCTAAACAGAAAGCAAACATTTGATCTGGATTACATCTTTTTTTTGGGTATAAGAAGCTGCACCTTGAATGATTCAATCGTTCCTTCTTTCGCTACTATGCTTGCTAGGATCCCCTTTGCATCAAGATCGCCATTTTGCATCGGCACAACAAACCTACATTCCAAGAAAACCCAAACTTAAAAACTACAATTTGCAAGAGCGCATATACATTTTCTTGAGGTTACATATAGATGATCATTATTTACTTGGCTTCCAGGAGTTTGGCGAGCTGAACAGCGTCTTCTTGGCCAGAAACAAGAGTAAATCGTGGGAGAAGTTGTTTGATGACCGGCGTGATTACAATGTCGGCTCTTTCGTTCTTCAGAAACTCCGCGTTGTATACACAATGCGGTTCGTAGTAGAGGGATATCTGATCTTTAGGGGATACAAGGAGATATCTGAGAACAAAACGGAGCTATGTCACCGTTAAAGCAGAAAATGACTAAATCGAGAATCTGCAAGCTTGATGAGAGAGGTTTTGTTTTACCCGTTTTCAGGTCGTTGCCACGGTGGACCAAGGACAGGTCCGGCTGTGGCTTTAACTCGGACCTTGGAACCGTTTCTTGCGTTTAGCTCGTAGCTATCTCCGGGTTCCAAATAAGTGACCTACAATAAACATTTCAGAGACTCTAATGATATTTCACTTGTTTCTCATTTTTAAAAATTTGAATTGGATAGAAATGAAGAAATGAGACTAGGAAAAATGAAACAAATGACTTACATTTCTAAAAAGAGGATCTAGCAATGGCTTTGCATTCGGAGTTGCAATAACTTTAATGCCTGGAGATTTCTCAGAAATCGGCTTAAGCGTATTCAGATGGCAATGGTCATCAAGGCTTTGAGTTATGAGCAGGCAATCAACTTCAGGGAGATCATCAAGCTGCACCGAATATAGATTTTTAGAAGCTTACAATCACAACAATGAGAGAGAAGGTGATGATGAAACTGCAACGCAAAACATGCTCAGTGATTACAAATGATTTTGTCATAAAAGATGATATGAGAACAAAACGAAGTGTTACCTTGAAGCCCTTCAAAAATCTCTTGGCAGCATCATAGAGCCATGGGATTCCAAAATCCAAATTACCCACAAGAATCGGATCAACAAGTATATTCAATCCACCTGTTTCCCATAGCCAGCTGTTTCCCTAACTCCACAAAACGGAAGACATGTCAACATTTTTGCTCATGGAACCTCAAATATGCTCAAGAAGTAAAGATCACTCAAAACGACCTCCATATGAAGAAACCCCACCTCCAAGTATGTAAGCTTGAACGCATCTTTCCCAGAGCCACTAACCCCAGCAGCTCTGTCCTCTGACAAAACGGAAGATACCACAGTGAGAGGCCGGGAAACACGCGGCGAGGGCTTGAAGCATATGGAGAGGGACCTGGTGGAAGGGCTGTGAAAAGCCGGCGAGAACAACGGAAACGTGGATGCAGTTCTGACTCTTGTTCTAGTGTTGAGACTTAGAGGAAGAGCATTGGCGTTAAGTGGCATTGTGGCTGCTCTGCCACCTGAAACCACCGGAGCCATTGATTTTGATTTGCCACCTGACAATAATGAAGTTTTTCAATGAGTGAACAGAAAAGAGATTCACTTTCGTAGAAAAGCTCAGTAACACAGTCTCTAAAATCATAGAAAGTCAACGACTTTTCTGCATGTCCTTGGGGCTTTAAGAATACGGAAGAGTTAGAGAGGCTAGCAGGATATGAGATGCCCAAATGTGAGAGATATTGTCTTTAGAAAGATTTCTACTTTAGCTCTCTAATCTGTTGTACGCCAAGTTTAGTTTTTTTCTATGTAAAAAGAGTTCTTCTAACACAATTCTACTGTTGTTTGGTTTTTTTCTAGACTCTAGAGAGTAGAGAGTAGACATTCAGTATTCAGTAACTGCTCTCTAACCAGCTTACTACCGTTATAACAGACCTGTAAATATGGTTGAAGCAACTGAGACCAAATGTGTCTTTGGCTTATCAATAATATAGCATTTTCCCCAAATCTAAAACCTATGGTCATACGAGGAACTGAATTAGGATAATCAATTAACATAATTATACGGAATTAATCACTAAGCAAAGTTCGAGCTTTCATTCATTCAGTAGCCGCGAGACCCAGAAAAGTATAAATCAGAGATACGAAAGAAAGGGATGTTTACAAGGAATTAGAAACACAGATGGAAACAAAAGAAGAAGAAGGAGACCTGATTTAGAGTTTAATGGGAAAGGTAGTCTTCAGTTCTTCACGTCTCTCTGTTAAGTGAATGGTTCTTGTTGTTTCCCTAACACACAAACACTCTGAGAGAGAAGAAGAAAAAAAAGAGAGAGAAATTGGTTGGTGTGAGAGTGAAAACTTCACGACGTTGCTCCAAAACGGTGCGTCTAGAGAGATTACCGGTCTCGCTCTGGCCTTGACCGACCCGGTTTACCGAACCAAAATCAAATCTTTTAAAAAAAAAAAAAATTAGAGTTTTGCAAACTGGTTAATTGTGTTCTGATCATTTTTTGCCGGTAAAAGTCGTTGCTGAGAGGGAGGGATTCGGAAGACTTGGTGTGTTATGACGAGGTATTTTGGGAACAAACCAGATGCAAAGATATTCAAACAAGTCTTCACTGCTTGTGCTTTGACACAGGAGATGTTAACGAGGGATCACTGCAATTTGAAGTTGTGCACAAAGACTATGGAATCGTATCGTGGTGTTACTAAGATGTTGGCAAGATCAGACCAAGTGTCAAGTGCATGGTCTTGTTGCAACCAAAACATCAGACTTTGTGAAGGCGGAGGAACCAGAATCATCGGTCTAAACCACGTAATCAGGATACCTTCACATCCATAAATAGATATATTCTACGAGACACTAAAGATTTTGAAGTCACAAATGCTAGAAATGGTGTTACATTCCTGACACTAAAGCCTAGAGAATGAGAGTAAAGTAGAAGAGATTTTAGGGTACAATGAGAAACTCGTGGTTGTTCAAATGCTTCTTAACTCAAGGCCTCGATCTTCAATTCTTGTGATGAGTTAATTTTAGCATTTGTGGGGATTGCAACAAACAATACGTTGAAGTTGATGTCAGAGATAAGCAAGACATAACCACTTCTGTTTTAATTTTAAACTAGTTTTTTTTTAAAGTATCATTTATGCTTGTGAATTACCTTTTTTGTTTTAAGTTAAATATCATTTTTTTGTCAATAAATATCATTCATAAAGTATAACACTTTTTCTACCTAAAACTAATATTAGTTTAGTTTATAATTTTAGAATTATATATTTTTTATAATAGTTTGCATTTAAAATGAAAATCGATATTAAACTTAAGATAGAAGTATGCATTTAAAATGAAAATTGGCATTTAAAATGAAAATCAACAAGTTATTTAATCTTTAGTGAAATAGAAAGTAACAAATAACTTGGAAACCATATCTCTTTATCATAACCAAATGTAATTACTGTAGTATTTAGGTAAGATAACAAAGTTAACCGTGTTAAAATATGTGTGAAAGTTGTACAAATGCATTCTTTTAGAAACATTCTCTTCTTCTAATTAGGCATGTAATTGAATTTACTATGTCCTGAGTTTATGAAACACTTTCTCGCAGATGAAAAAGAAGAAGAAAAAATAATATAAGTGATTTATTTGCTTATTTGAGTGCAAATGATTTCTTATAATTTAAATTCAAAGTTTAAGAAACCTTCGATCACTTGATTTAGTGTGAAAATTCAGTTTGAATTTTGAAAAATGAGCTTGAAATTTAGTTTTCGCTGATTCGCTTGTTTCTATTTGTATTAGGTTAGTTTTACGTCACCTGATCCGCATAAAATTCCAATTCCAAAATTTTTGTTGGTAATTGAGCCATTTGTGCCAATGTGTGATTCAGAGGGCAGTTCAGACGTATGCTGTTTTCAATGAAAGAGAGGTCGGGGCACACAACATCAATGCGATTATTACTCTTTGGAACCACTCTGAATGGTAATCTAATTCACGATCCACCTTGATGCTTCTAAAAAGGGGAAGAAGAAAACATCTGTTCTACTCGATGATCTTAAGAAGAAGGCTTTACTTTGTTAATCTATGAAAATAAGGTGGATTTAGAGCAAAACAGAAAATCGGGAGTTGTGTGAAGTTCTAAATATGAATATTATTGTTTTATGTTTCTTTTTAGCCTGATATGTTATGTACATGATTTCCAACTACTACGGACATAAGCGAGACCAGAAATTAATTTGACTAGGTTTAAAGGTGTAAAAAATCGGATTTACCACTAATATCACCAGATTTCTTTAAAAACTGAGGTAATTTTCATGATTAAATGAGTTTAGTTGACACTCGCCATTGACTACGGAGCATGCTCCATTAGTGTTTCTTCATAATTGCAACTAACACTATTGATTTAAAATCTCGGTCCGATTTTGATTTTGTGTATGTTTTAAGTTGGATTGGATCGGTTCAACCAAATTAAGGTTTATCCTGAACCTTCGTGGAATAAACTACTCGTGTGGAAGCCACGAACAAACGGCAAGAGAAATGTTTAAACTCGTCGTAACTCATAGCCAAACCCACTTGGCCAAAGAGCCAAGAGATTTGCGATTGACCAGAGCGAGTTGATCAAGCTCGGTGGAACAAGATTTCGGGTTGTGTTAAATTGGGGATATCGTGTTTGTTGATTGGAATTAAACTCCGAAATTGTATTTTCGTTGCAATTAGGTTGGATTTATTTGGAGATTTAGGGTCGTGGGTGCTGGGAGCTGGGTTTAGGGTTCTTCAGAGTGGTTCCTGGGAATGATAGTACAAGGGTTCACTGGCCTAATCGATAAGAATGCATTATAAGCTAGCTTTTGTGGGCTTGGGGTTTGGTCCAACTCTTATCAGACAACTTCGTAGTAAGGTTTGATTCAGAAAAGTGTTCCACCGAAGTGAGAAGAAAGAGAGCTAGAAATACCAGTGTTTTTGGGTCTATGTAGTATAAGGTTTCAGACAACTTAAGTAATGTGACTATGTAGCTAACTTCACAAGCCTTTCTTCTTTCTTAAGAGATAAGGCAATGTGCACAGCTTTTGATATTACAGATTACAGTGACGAGGAAGAAAACTCTGCTGTGGAGTTTAGGATCATGGATAGAGACTGGAACCAGAAACAGAGGATTTGATTGTTGTTGTTGTTTGATCGGTCACACCAGACGTGCTCGAGCTTCCATGTGTATCAACGTCCCTCAGCTTTGAGATGCTCCAGTTGTCTCCATATAAACCAGGATCTGACATAACCTGTGTTATTTCGATCACTCCCTCGAGCATTTGCACGGCCTCTGACATTGTTGGTCTCAACGAAGGAGATGAGTTTGTGCAAACAAGAGCAACGTTGATCATCCTCACGGCTTCTTTGCTGTTGAAATCACCTTCCAGCACTGGATCTACAATCTCCAATGTGGCCCCTTTCTGTTGCAGCGTTAGCGCCTGAGATTTTGATGTAAAAAGAAAACAGGTTTCACTAAAGAGAAACTTGTAGGCATCGAGTGGGCTAAAGAGAAAGGAAAGCTCCACGAGTTACCCAATTGATAAGGGAGGCGTCATCAACACTTCCCTTCTTTTTAGAATTACTCTTCCCACTTACAATTTCCATTGCCACAACACCGAAGCTGTACACGTCTGCTTTCTCTGTTAATTGACCCCATAACACATATTCCGGAGCCATATATCCACTGCATTGAAAGACAAACCATGAATATGTGCTGGTACTTACAAGAAACCGCACCATGACTGAGCTATTTTTGGTCGACCATTTTGTTTTGTGTTGTATACTTACATGGTCCCTGCAATTTTGGTGCTAATGTGAGTGTGATCTTCTTCGTGGAGCCTAGCCAATCCAAAGTCGGATATCTTTGCATTGAGGTCGGCATCTAGAAGCACATTTGTGGTTTTTATGTCACGGTGAACCATTCTTATCGCCGATCCTTCATGGAGGAATTCAAGCCCTCTTGCAATTCCAACACATATTTTTTGTCTGGCTCCCCAATCCAGTTTCAGGGAGCTCTTTCCTGGAAATGGATGTAAACCAATGAGAAATGATGTTACATCACATGTGATAACATATTGAAAACGTGAAGAAAATCTGAATAACCAAAGAGAAAGCGAGTGATCTACCAGACATCACAAGAGCAAGAGAGTTGTTTTCCATGTACTCATAGACGAGCAGCAACTGATTCTTCTCGACACAGCATCCATGAAGCTTGACAAGGTTTGGATGGTTCAGACCAGAGATCATTCCTATCTCATTCACAAACTCTCTGTTTCCTTGGCGTGACCTAGAAGAAAGCTGCTTCACTGCTATGATTGTTCCATCTAGCAGCTCTCCCTATATTATGTAACTTAAATCAGAAACCAGACAGCCATACTTGTGAAGAACTTTGCATCAGTTTTATCATACTTTGAATACGGATCCAAAACCTCCTTCTCCAAGTTTGTTGGCTTCATCAAAATTGTTTGTTGCAGCTTGTAGTTGCCTCCAACTAAAGAAAGTCGTTTGCAAACCCTCGGCTCTCAGATCTATTGTGATCATGTTCCCAAGAGAAACTCATCAGTAATGCTATGAGTAAATATGAGTAATGGATTCATATACTTTCTGCGCTCTGCTACCTCTTTCTCTCGTGTTCTTGTCTCGTCTGCATCTTCTCCGAGCAAATAATCCCAAAACCAAGAGGGTAATTGCTAACAAGGCACCCATAGTCCCCAAAATTAGTGGATAATTAGTGTGATGTTTTATTTTCTCCGCTGAAAATGATACACTAAAAGTGTAAATATATATATCAGCCAATCTACCAAAAGACATTTTTAACAAAGTAGTTTCTTTGTCTAAGAACCTCCGCATCGTGGTTCCTGACCTGAAATTTTGAAAGATGAATTTTATCATTAGGTGGCAGGAAGATGAAGCAACTCATCGTGAAGAAAGCCACATAAGAAATACTTACTGTGACACAAGGAGATTGCAGAGATGAGAGGACCATAGTATCCTCTGTTTGGAATGAGTGTTGTCCCTTTACCCGCCCAATACAACCGAATCTCTAAGATATGATCGGTCACATTCGTATTCAATGTTTTGATAACAGGCTTCAGAGTCCCATTAGCCTCTTCTTTGATGTTAAAATCCCTCAAGAACAATTTTCCCTGATTAAAAGCATATATATGTGGATTTCAATCTTCCATGCATGATTGAAGAAAACAATGATTCTGTAATCATAAGTGTGACGCTTTACCTGAACATAAACGTCAAATATGCGTCTGCCAAGACGACTGTATAGTTCTTGGTTTGAAAACTGGATCTCCATAAAATGGAGTTTCACATTGTAGGTTCCATTTTCCAAGCAAAACGCATAATAAGTTGAAGACAGAGCAGATCGACGTGCGGTCTTATAGATATCAGAAGAATCTCGAGATAGTCTTAAACTAGTTGTAATGATGTAAGAGTCATCATCACTTGGATCATCGGTAAAGTCACCAGTGTTGCTTATTCCCCAGTTTTCCAGTTGCTTATTTGTTGCGGACATGGTTTTACCTTCATCATCAGCCTGATAAGTGATTTTACCCCTAGAGTTTGTAATAGTTACATTTCCTCCACCACAATTTATATGTAGGAATCGCTGATCTACAATCAACAATCATCAATAGAAAGAGTAGAGACGTTTACAGTTTTGTAACGTAATTATTTTAAAGGATTTAACAACAAACAAAAAAACATTATGACAATATTAAGTTCATGTTAGAGATAAGTAAATAAAGCTCTATTATATGTACTTACAGTTCATGCATTTGGTTGGGCCGGCACATGGAAGAAGCCCAGTTCTATATGACAAGACGATCAGAACATTTAGCTATCTCATATAGCACAAACTTTATATATTGCAAGAGATACAAAAATATGATCCATTCTTGTTCTTACAAATTATTCTTCAAATATGAGCTCCGGTATGTGTTAATAGTACTGATTCAACAGAAACTTCGACGTGAGCAGCTAATGATATATAAGATTGAAGTGAAGATGTTCCGTTTCATGTTCATACGGTATGAATTATCATACCTTTTTGCCTGACAGCTTGATGACCAAGAGAAATGGTTATAAGAAAGATCACTGTAGAAAAACGACAATAATATTAGGTTGGGATGATGGCGTGTTTCTCAAGCCATACAACAAAGCAGGGGAAAACGTACATATCAGATTTTCTGTTGAGGGAAACAGCAGATTCAACGTCTCCAGAAAGCATGTTGCCAGTCAGATAGCTGAAAAGAAAACCAATAATTCTCAATCTTCATCTCTTTATTCTACTCAATCTCTGATTGTAACAACTTACGTATGTTTTGGTGCATTTTGTACTTCTTGAACTTCACCGGTCAACTTGTTAAAGGATAAATCTCTGCATTAAACAACTCTGTGAATAAGTCTTCTTTTAGATATTCTCTGATTGTATAAATAGGACTCTCTAATGTTTTTTTAAATAACCTTTCATACTTGCATATAACTCTCACAATCTATGTTTTCATGTACTTACTCATGAGTCAGTGACAATCTATAATTTCACATATATGTGGTATAGTATAGTAAATTTAAGCATATAAAATTACAATACCACGCGTATACACAGAGTTCTGATGACAAGTTTCAAACTTCGTGAAGAATTTCCACATATCATTAAAAAGAACTTACAGTCTCTTTAATTCTGTCTTATTCCAGATGTAAGGAGGAATTGGACCAGACAAACCCACATTCCTCAAAATCCTGAAACAGGGAGGGATACATTATTAGTTTGAAACTTTCCGATAATAGAAAACTTAAGCTTCAGAGGAAATATAAATACAGGGTTTCGATGAATTCGCTGGATAGAATTGGAAAGGAGTTTATCCCAGTCGTATCACTAATTCTCCTGCACATATGAATACATATATCGCTTAAAACATGATTCTTGTTTCAATCTTCATTTTGCTAATCTACTAAAGGTACAGCCAATTACACATCAGTAAGGTTTTCAAGACGGGTCACTTCCACAGGAATAGGTCCTTTCAGTCCACTTGCGTATATAAATCTGCTGACCATAATTGGATACAGTTTAATTAGACGGTACAGAAACAGAAACGATACGGTGAAATTAAAATGGGCAATAATCTTACGTACAACTCTTTAAGCCGAGGCCAGTTGCCAATATACGCTGGGATGGTGCCATTAAAGTTATTGTCACCTATCCAACTAAATATTGAAAACAAACAAAACTAGTTTAGAGCTTTGTAAAACTTTATCTTCGTGGACTATTTATAAGCGTTTTTAGTTTGTCAAGATCAATTCACAACCAAACTACACACATACTTCGAAGTAACAAAGCATGTATAAAGTGCTCAGCACGAAAGCTTGAAGTACACGTTACAGGTGCTCATAAAACAACTTCTTCGAAGTTTCTAGAAAAATGTGTCTTGGTCCTCTCTAAACTCTGCGAATTTTACTGTGTTTTTATGGAGTCTGAGTAGAGATTAGCGTATCCAGTTTTTAAAAAAAGAGGCAAAAAGCTTTTGAAAGTTTTCATTTCAAAGGATAGCAACAACCTTTGAACAAAAAAAAAAGAGGATAGCAACATGCTGTACAACTTACAATTCCTCAAGGTTTACTAGTCTAGCGAGAGTGGTAGGCAAGCTTCCATTAAACTGATTGGATGCAAGATGCCTGCAAAACCCAGTTTCAGAAAAGATCAAAAGATTCAATCATTCAGATGCAAACTATCAAAACTGATTGGACGGAGGATGCCTGCAAAGCTAAAGATTGTCTTACAATCTTCTTAGGCTGGTCAAGTTACCAAGCTCATCAGGAATCGGACCAGAGAACTGGTTTGCTTCAAGCCCTCTGAAAATTTCATCCGACCACCGTAATATTAAGTCAAATCAAAAGACACAGAAGCAGAAAACAGTTAGAGACGTACAAGGTTTCCAGATTCTTGAAGTTTTGCAACCAAGTTGGTAAAGGCCCAGACAAATTATTCGCGGAGAGCACGCTGCGGGAAAATTCAAAGTTATTCATAAATCAAGAGAGAGAGAGAGCGTAAATAGAGAGAGGGAGAGAGAGAGAGAACATGGAAGTGAGATATGTCATTGAAGCCCATTCCACTGGGATGGCCCCCCAAAGGTAGTTTCTGATCAGGTTTCTGCAAAGAAGAGCAAAAACTCGCTTGAAAATATGAAAGGTTACAAAACTAATAGCAACTAAGTCAATCATGCAAAAGAATTGTAGAATACATAATTCTATATACCCATGATTCCTCACAAACTCATATGTTGATATGTTTTTTTTTTCATGTTTACATATCAAAATATTTCATGTAAAAGTATACAACTTTTTTATTGTTTAAATTTTTTTTTATAAACTATAATGTATAAACATGAATGCAAAATGCAAATACTGTTATTTTTGTTTGTATTTAGCGTATGCATTTAACATCTGTAAAATTATATTTTTTGATAAAATACTAAAATTTTTTTAAAGAGAAATATAGAATTATAATGTGTAACCACATCGACGCCGTAAACCAATCGAAGCTAATTTTACAACGTGCAACAATTTTTTTTTTTTGGTATGCATGTTTAAAGCATGTCTTGCGAATTTATCAAAGCTTGTACTAATCATGGATTTCTTTTATAAATTCTGCGTGGTAGGAACTTTACATTGACTGGAGATATCGAAGCTTGGCCAACTCAGGTGGAAGTTTCCCCAGAAGAGTAAAATTCCCGAGAATTCTGTATTTGTCGAAATTAATGCAAAATAAAGAAAAATTAGTGAATAAGAGAATAAAGAAAATGAAAAAAATAAGCCTTACCAAAAAAAAAAAATGAAAAAAATAAGAATAACACTCACAATACTGTAACATGACATGTCATGTTGTTGTTGAAGGTACAATCACAACCAATGGTGTTGTTCCCCTCCGGGTTCGAAACAAAACCAACTTGTTGTATGATCGTTAGAGTTTCTAAACGACATGGGTCTCCAGCACTAAGGTTCAGTCTCTTTATACCAAGTGTAGTAGCTATCTCCCCAAGCGCAGTCACTACACAAATCATCGAGTATATATATATGGAAAGATTATGGATACTGACATCTGATATTAAGAGAATTAAGATTTGGATTTAATACATTCGTCTGGATGGAGAGCTGGTGAAGTGGATGCTGTTAGAGTTGAGAAGAAGCTTGTGGTGATGGTGAAGAACAGTAGGAGAGCCGAGAAGACGATCCACATCATCGATGTAGTGACCTTTTTGTATGTGAACTTGTTTGGTTATATAGTCACGAAATTACCATCAAGAAGAGATGAATAAGTGTCATACATACTGAAAACTTAATGGATACTTTAAGGGTCTTCTTGGGTCGTCGGCTAGTAGAGAGTCAATCTTAAATTATTGTGCAAGTTGCAAGGGTCTATAGTGACAGGTCATGAATGCTTGATGTTTCATGTCCCTTTTATCAGTTTATGTGTGTTTATTCATCATTTTACACCAAGTCCGATCTAATTTCAGCAGGTTTCATATTTAATACATTCTCTTTCGTGTCCATTTGATTCCATTCCATCCGATGTAAACCCAGAGAGAGAGAACAATTTAAATGATTTTGGAAAAGTTATAAGAAAGAAATTTTGATTCAGTAAGCAGCGGAGATTTAAATAAAAATATATAATTAGAGTTTGACAAACATTCATAAAGATACCAGTGTTTTTGGATCTATGTAAATTGAGCTAGTACTAAGATTTTTTTTTTTAAAGAATATAGTAGTAACATTTTGGACAAGTGGTAGTTATAAATCATAGGGGAAGACTAGGATACTCATCTTCTCTATTGAAAGAGCGAGATCGATTATATCAAGAATCAAGGAAGATTCCGCCCAACCAATATTTTAGAATATAAAATCTAGCTTTATCTTAAATGTATTATTTAAATATTTTTTTTAATAAAATTAATTTGCTTTTATCTCTACATAAACTTATATAACATTATTTTTATAAGTCTAATAATAATTTTGTATAAACACCTTTGTGTTTTCAGTCTTATCAATTTATTATTATTCTTATGAAAATCTAATATAATTCTTTCATAGCACATTTATTTTCTTATTCTTATTTTTTATACCTATAAAACACAAATTAATTGGTAATTATCAGTCTAAAATATATATACTTTTAATATATATATATATATTACTTAATTTCTTATTAAAAACAATTATAAAATTGTACTATCCAACCCCACATGATCCTTTAATTCTCTACTTTATCTCTTTCAAAACCACAATTATTTTATTTTCAATTTCATTTTTTTTCAAAACTATGATTTTTTATTCATATATCTAACTTTTTAAAAATTATCGATTGCTATGAAAAATCTTCAGGACAACGATTAAATTAGGCAAATTTTTTTATCTTTTTTGGTAGTAAGATTCCACCATATGAAAAAAACAGATTTAAAACAAGCTCTAAGCATATCCAAAAAAAATTGGTATGAATATATACCTGAGATTATTTGAGAAAATCTGTGGCTCTAAAAAATAAATTTTTATTTTTATTCAGGACAAATTAAGCACTCAGATTAATGCGTGGTCCGCCAAACTTCTCTCTAAAGAGGGAAAGAAAGTTCTGATTTAGTTGGTAGCACAAGCCCTACCTACTTATGTCATGTCATGTTTCCTCCTCCCACAAGGTTTACTGAAGAAGCTAAATGACGCTATATCCAGATTCTGGTGGAGTACAAAGCAAGATAATCGATGGATGCATTGGGTTGCCTGGGAAAAAAATCAGTGTCAGCCAAGATGATGGTGGTTTGGGTTTCTGAGACCTTAAATGCTTTAATCTTGCACTCTTGGCAAAACAATTATGGAGATTGATACATTATCCGCCATCCCTTTTGGCGAAAGTCCTAAGAGCGAGATACTACCGATTCTCAACACCTCTGGAAATTGAAAAGGCCAATAACCCATCATATGGATTGAGGAGTATCATGGCGACAAGAGAGCTTCTACAAAGAGGCTTGAGAAAAACGATAAATTCAGGAATAAGACGAGAGTGTGGCTTGACAACTGGATACCGACCTGCCCACCAAGACCCGCTTTGGACACAGGAGAAGGGAGAGACTTGGACTTATATGTCCATCACCTAATTAACCCAGCTACATCCGAGTGGAGGATGGACCTCATTAACCAATTATTTGATCCGAAAAATATTCCGCGTATAAAGAGCATCATACCAAATAGGTCATACAAACCAGATAGATTCGTGTGGGCCTACACAAAGTCTGGTATGTATTCCGTAAAAAACTGGTTACGAGCTGAAGAAGTCTTACCAACGGTCATATAACTAAGTTTTACCCCCTTAAAGAGTAAAGTATGGGATCTAAAGACCCCCCGGAAGATTAAAAACTTCCTGTGGCAAGCTCTCGCAGGTAGTATGAGTCATGGCTACCAACAGGCAACTAACGTACCGACATTGCAGGACAGACAGCCGATACCAATGTCGTGGGGCAGAGATAGAGTCAATTAATCATGTACTCTTTGAATGTCCTCTGGCGCTACAGACATGTGCTATGAGTGCAATCTCATCTCCTCAGGGTATCTTCCCGAGTAATATAATATCCCAAAACCTTGCACATCTTTTCTTCTGGGTCACATCACAAGGAGAAACCGCAAAGTTCTTGGAGGCTTTCCCCTGGATTCTATGGTACATTTGGAAGGCCATGAATAAGAAAGTTTTTAACAACAAGGATATCTTGCCAACAGAAACTTTGGAAATCGCTATACAAGAAGCGGAATCATGGAAAGTCGCTCAGAAGGTCTTAGAGATTGGAGAAATCCAAATCACCAGCCAGACACAAAACTCGCAAGAAGCAATGATCGTGGATAGGACGATGGAAAATAGACCGATGTTACCGCATTGCCAAGTGGATGCCTCCTGGGTAAAGGAAGGGCACACAACAGGCGGGGGTCTCGTACTTGATTTGGCAGATAGTAGTCACTTATATGGGCTAACTGCGACAGTGCAGACTCTCTCACCGATTCACGCCGAATTTGGAGCTCTCTTATAGGCTATGAGAGTTTTGATTCCTTTGCAAATTTCTGGGTTGGTGACTGAGACAGACTGTTTACAGTTGGTAAATATGATTGAGGAGGAAGAAGAATGGCCGGCACTAGCAACAGAGCTTGAAGAACTGGAGTTTCTGCGCCCCAATTTTTATAATCTTTCTATAGTTTTTACCCTTCATTCTCTTAATGTCCGGGCTGATCGTCTCGGTAAGAGTGCTCAAGCCCGTGGTTTGATTTTTTCCCATGTAAACTCTTTGCTTCCAGAGTGGCTGGCTCTTGAACCCAATATCTTTGGAATTGATATTTAATATATATGGAGCATTTGCAGATAAAAAAAAAATCCAACTTCTTAAAATTGAAATTATTCATGTCTTTGAACCAATGATAAAAAAAAAAACAGTCATGCTTTTTTTCTCAGCAAACAATTTTTCATACACACAAAATCGTTATCTTTATTAGCAATCAAAGATGTTTTTTTTTGGACATAATTGTCTTTTTTTTCTTTCATGTCAAACAAACACATAAAAGATCGCATAGCTTAAGAGTTTAGATTGACTTTTCCAAAGTCTATAATAATTTTTGCTTACCAAATATTGTATTCATGCTTCAAGTACAATTTTTTATTTTGAGATTGAAGAAAAACTTTTTATTTTTAGTCATCATGTGCTTTCTACTACTGTTTGATATAGATATATATCTTCTTTCATAGTTTCAAATTTTGGTATTTTTTAAATTTAAAATATTCATAAAAAATTGCAATAATAAGTATTAAAAAACTTCTTTCCTTATAACACAACTTATTGTACGATAAAACCTAGAGTGATTTCTTTAAATAGTTCTGCAATTTTAATCCCAATAGAAAATCTTTGTTTGAGCATTTCCTCTAAAACCTATTTTACAGTAAAACATTAAAAGCCAAAACATATAAAATATCAAAAATATTAAAAAAAAAATTTTCCCTTAAAAAGATATCATATTACATGAATTTTTATCGTTTTGTCTCTATTGATTCTTCTAGATCAACCTGAAAATCTGTAATATCAAGATGAGTATCGTCCTCGAGGCAATGGAAAAGAAGTCCGGGATCATCAAAAATAAAGTTTGTTTTCCTTTCTTTCTCTTTTGCCTTACATGATTCCCGATACAAGTTGACTAAATGTTTTTGCGTATGACATGTACGTACCCAATATCCTTTCATGTCGCATGTGAAACAAACAGTTTTCTTATATAGAGATGATGATGGCCATAATTCCCAGCCATCATCATCTCTATAAAAAAATTTACTATATTTTTTCATGATTGAAATCATGTGGACGATATCCTCTTCCTCGTCCACGTCCATATCCACGATTTTGACAATGGTATTGACTGCGTCCGACGTACTTGCCAATTATTATAGATGGATGATGCAACATCGCTTCTGGGAATAGTGTATATCCAGTTGGACGGCTTTGATGGTTCATCGTCACGAGTTCGTTATTCTATTATGCAACAAGCAATACATGCATTAATTTTGAATAACGAGTTTATCCATTTGCCTGTTATTGTTGTTGAAAGACTACATTTCCAGAGTGAAATGTGGCGAGAGTTTTCTCGATCGTATCATAATCACTTATAGCTTCTCCACATAACACCATCATGGATGTTATACCAAACATCGCTTCCATCATCATATAATATATAAAAGTTGATGGCATAGTGCATTGAGGACGTCCACATGGGATTAAGAAACTCAATAGTTGATGTTAAATGCCTCTAATGGTGTCCACATAGGATTTAGAGATTCAATTCTATTGGTACACATCATCATTATTTTTAGTTAATTCGTTTTAATTATTATAAGGAAAATTTCTAAATTTTATTAATTTTTTTTGTTGTTATTAGGAAAGTTTCTAAATTTTAAGTTAGCTATTAATACTAAAGAGTTTTAAAAATAGATCTTATTTTTCTATTAACAATAAAAAGGTAAATTAATTATAAAAGAAAAATCATATATATTGAACAAAATTATTAAAAATTATATTTAAAACCATAATTAAATTATTTTAAAATTTTAATCACGACAAAGAATTAAAATCTGAACTGCTAACTTAAAATATATTAGTTGTGGTCCGTGTTGATGTCGTAGGCCAATGAGAGCGTCCACATAGGACATATATACTCAATCTGATTAGTCTATATCAGCGTTTTTATATATTCAAAACATCAATATTTTAAATACAATGATGTGTTAAAATAAAATAAAAATCAATATCAAGAGAGGTAAATCAATAAATAACAAAAAATTTATATCTTCAAAAT